TAAAGATTTAACAACATCCACTCCTTCTATAAGCTCCCCTTTGCTATTGAAATTTGCCGACATTTTATTGAAAATTGGCCAACCTGAACACCCCCTTCTATTAGCAACCCCCTTCTATTGAAAACTACCGACATGAACACCCTCTTTTATTAGCACCCCCTTCGAATGCCCAACTAAAACTGCCCAACTAATACTGAGCTAGCAAAGCTCAATTTTCTAAATTTTATTGCTAAAAAGTGATTACTTTATCAAGCATGATGTTTCTGCTCTTTCTGGCAGCCACAAAGTTTGTTGCTTTGTTAGCAAGAATGATTTAGAGACAAACATTTTTAAGGAAGGGAAGAATGGTTAAAATTATCTTCAATTGTCTGTCAAAAAAATTCTGACCGAAAATATTTGTAGAAATCAAATGATGCAAACAATGAGACCCGTGAACTTGTCGTTCGCCGTTACATGGCTCGAAAAATTGACTCGGAAACTCAAATATTTTCCTTTTAGGATAAGCGTATTTTTCAAAACACCCAAAGACAGATTGTTTCTGTAAATTTTGTGACAGATCCTTTTAGGAGATTATTACGTCACGTGTTGTCAGTGGGAGGGTTGAAACGCAAGAGAAAATGACAGTAGAAGCGATTGAGAAAAGATTTGTAAGAAGTGGTTGTTGATAAAGATTTGTGAGGGTTAAATTGTTAAATAGAAGCGGATTGACGAAAAAGGACAACTTTATATATACTTCGTCCCACTATTTTAGACGCTATAAGTTGAGGCATTGTTAGTCAGTCACATGACCTTTTTCAGAGTGCATGTATCATAGCTTTTAAGAAATTTATTTCGGTATTTCCTGGTAATTAGAGTATCATTCAACTTGAAAGTCACTGCCAAATGCCCCACCTGCTCTAATTTGGCTTTTCATTAGACCATTGTGACCGTGCATGATAATAACCGAGGTATTAAAAGCGAGGTATTAAAATCAGGTCAACTAAAACTCACACACCTACGTTCAATTTTTAGTGATTAACAACCAAATTTCGAATCTTTTTTATGAGCATTTCCGTTCTTTGCAATTCAGTTCCATTTTTGACGAAATCAAGTGAGTCAATCCTTGCGAACAGGCTTGAGTAAAGCTTGAGTCAAGTACAGTCATTCCTACAAGAAACTCGCTATAAGAAACAAATACTAGGAAATGGGGGAAATTTGGAAACGATTGAATTCTGAAAAAGGCAGGAACACATAAAAATCCATCACAAAAATTTAGACACAGAGAAATGTTAAAACTCAGTCGGCGCAACATTCAATTCCATGTTCAAATGATACTTTTCTATCCCCAAAAATTAAGAAACTTTAAAAATTTCTTTTCTAAATTCTCAGTTCTCAATTAGACAAGCACTCAATTCCTTGAAAAACGATTAGGAATTGGAACCCAACACATAAAAGGAATTGCGAAGGAGAAAAGAAGAGGAAAGGGGCTCCTTTGCAATTCCTTTCCCCCTTCTTCATCCTTTGACACTCTGAGGCTCCGGCACCCAGGGTACATTGGTGCAGACTAAGCGGCCGATAAAGCATTATAATTAAAAGCTTCTTTCAAGCCACAAAGAGAAACTAAGTTGGGGAGAATAGAAATACTTTTTTTTATTTCATTTCTTTCCTGATTAAATAAATGAGTTGGTTTTTCTGTTGAAAAAAATCTTCTGAAAAAGATTTACCTGACCAGTGAGTAAGGGGCGCTAGCGGCAAGATAAGAGCCCAGTGGTGGTCTATCATAGAGAACGAAAAGACAAAATTGTTATCTATAAGTTATGATTTTATATAAAGTCAAAGTGCACCAAATTGATCATTTTGCCTTCTCGCAATCTTTAATAAGTAGTTTCTTCTAGGGGGTAGGGGGAGAGTTGTCCCAACGATAATTTTTCGTTATTTTGCTGTTGCCATGCAAAATATTACTTTATGTAAGCAACCTCTCATTGAAACAGCACTTACCAGTTATATTATTTTCTTCAAATATGACGTCATCGAAGCTAGCTGCAGATCCGGAAGAGTTGCTTTTATTCGTTAAATTCGAATTAGTTTTATTCCGGAAGATCCGGAAGAGATAAATTCGAGTGAAAAAAGTACTCAACACAACCACAATTCCTTAACATATAATACTAACCACTGTTTAATTAATAAGGAATGCAAAGTTTATGCATTTTGAACGCAGTAGCAGATCTTTGGTCGTATGAAAACGAAACAACTGCGAAGAATTTGTAAAGGTAAGTTAATGGGCGAATGAGCGAATGGACGAATCGCAGGTCGCCTAGGGTCTGGAAACGGGGAGCGCTGTCCTGCTAAGATGACATCCAGCAAGCTATATCATTTTGCCTGTCTGCATTCGATATGTCCGGCAGATGTAATTTTCTTACTTCTGTTTATCCATAACATGTTGTGGCTTGAAAACCTAAAGTTAGTTTTCCTAAATAAAGAAGCATTGTGAGGCCTTTCCTTGTACAGAAAACACTTCCCCGACGCCTCCCGCATTTACCTTGCATTTCTCAAATATTACATTTAACTTCTTTCGATTCATTACAAATTTTGATCATTTCATACATAACGTAGGCATATGACAAAACTCACTCACTATCAAATGCACCTTCCTCCAGCATATCTTAACCTGGAAAAAGCAGAAAGAAGAAGAATCTTTTCTTGGGTTGGGAAACAAAGAACCCCTTCATGCTTGAATTCACCTCAGGCCCCTTTGAAAGTTAACAATTCCCTTCACGTTGTGTTACCTTCACAGAAAATGCTTTTGGAGCGTGGGATTTGAGAAGGTGTGAAAGGTTCATGACAATGTCAGAGGACCCTTTGTATGGGAGGAGATGACATGGCTTAAAGAAATGGCCAAATCTCGTTGAAACTCCAAGTATTTCGCATAAAGTTCAGCAAACCGCAGAGCTTTCGTATTATCTAGAAACCAAATGAAAACTCTATCTTTAGGCAGAGATTACTTGTACAATTCAAGTTGATCCATCATTAATACGTTGACAAGGCTTAAACGCCAGAGGGTGAATACACTAGTGGTTGCATACGAATCTTCAGGATTCCTTAAGTTTAAAGGCGACAAAAATCTTATCTCTAGTTTGTTATGTATAACCTGTATAACCCTCTGATTCAGAATTAACCTCCCAATTGAACAGACGGTGCTCTGGGATCACAAACATAATTGTATAATAAATATACTTTGTGATTGAAAATAATTCCTCTAAGCTCATTGATCATATAGAAAATGATGCAAGATTGATCAATGGTCCCAAGGTAAAAGATATAAGAGGATTCATTTACATAGGATGAATAGAAACATACATTTCAGAAGAAAAGGTTTTTATTAGAAGCTTTAGTAGCTTCTTTAAAAAGTTCAGAAATACTCTCATTCCTTCGCTATCAATATTTTTAATTCATAAGCGCAAAAGACAAATGAGGATTGATTTCCAACACATGTTCAATTAAGGTAAGAAAGGTGCTCAATAAAAGAACGAAAGAAAAATGTGACATTAATTACTCTAATCTTTGCCAAAACCTGACGAGGAATGCAATACGATGCTCCTTCTACTTCTCTGCAACTTTTAACACGCCAACCATGCAACTTTTAACACGCCAACCCCTCTTCACCCCCTTAACAGTATGGGTTTAAAATTTTTATTCTTATTTGACTGCAGCACAGGTTGGCACGTAAAAAACCTTGTTTATAAAGCATCAGCAGGGAAATATTCAAAATTGATTGGAGGTAAAGGGGGCTGTGTGCAAAGTTAAGGCAGCTTTTCAATTTTGGCAAGGATTCGTTGTCTGTAATGAAAGAGAAGTTTGTTGAGTTTTAAAAAACCAGAAAACCCTAACTTGTACATTATTTTTGCAAACTTGCCAGTTTTGTAGACTTACAGTCCACCCAGGCGCGGATCTAGGCCGGTTGCACAGGTTTCAAAAACAGGTAAAATTCTGAGAGCTATGTTTTTCTGTAAATCTTGAAATTTTGATCTAAATTAAAATTGCAACAATTGCTGCATTTCTCCCTGACTGACTACAGTTTTTCTGTTTACATACTGAACTGAACCCCCATAAGATTCGGACAGAGTTCCCAGCTTCCTAATTAATCATTTATCCCAAAGTATCCGAGAATTTCAAAATCAAGGAAATCAGTAGCCACTCGAAGTTTGGAGTATGCTGTCTATGCGCCAATATTGAAACTAGTGGCTATTGTTTTCTGAAAACCTGTGTAAACCTGTGCCCATATGTTTCCCTTTTGCGAGAAAACCGGTGGCTAAAAAGCATATTTGATATCGATATCCATAGCTCGGAAATGTGGACGCTTTCAAACAAAATGAAACAAAATGAAATACGGATGCAGATAAGAATCTGAGGTTTCGTATTGAGGGACTAGACTTTCTTTCTCGGATCAAGAGAATTAGAATCGAAGTTGCAAGATAAGGATAAAAGGCCATGCTGAAACGGAGTAAATTCTGACATTTTTAGATAAAGTGTTGGCAAATTCATCACATTTCCTTAACCTCACTAGCATCTTTTAGCAATATTTATGAACCAATAAGACTTAGGGCTGTAGCGGGGTAAAGCACCCCGAAACCGGTCAAAATTTTTTCTAGATCCGCGCCTGCTCCAACAAGTGAGTTTTTGAGAATCATTACCTATAATTTCCTTAAAATTATCTACATGCGAGGGAAGGTTTTCCCCTCAACCTGCAAAACTCTAAAAACACCTATTTTAGGTTATGCGGCAACACTGAACAGGACCGCTGAAAACATATTGTCTGATGAACCGAAATTTATGAAACGGTAGATTGTAGAATTCCGAAATTTTATGACCTTACAAAATAAACTTATACAAATGTTTCTTGAAATTCCCAAAACCAAACCAACTTCTTAAGTCTCTTAGCTTCCGTAATGAAATACCAAATACCAATGAAAATACCAAAAGATGAAAAATAACTTTTTCCCAGCATGAAAAAATACACAAAGAATGCTAATATTGATGAAATAGAATTAAGAAACTGTTAGGAAGCAATAAGAACTGTATTTTGCCAAAGCTTTAAAAAACTGGAGTACTCCAATGTTTCTAATATTGGTGCATTCTTTTTGACAGGGAAATGTGGTTGTGCTATCTTCAATCTTTAATCTTGAATATCAGACTTAAAAGATAAATTGGCGACGACCAGTGCCATCTCATACAAAAACGCAAAAGCACTACCGGTAACTGTTATAAAAAGGCGTACTTCAATCTTTAAGGTTGGGGAGCCAAGATGGCGTTTGAGTATCATTCTAATGTTTACCCGTTTTCCGAAAAATAACAGTTTAATACTTTTAAGCCAAAATTTTACGTCTGTAAATCGACGTTTTCTAGACAAAGCCATTTTGAGTGATTAAAATCTGTTTTCGGGATAAGAACCATTGTAATTGTCTTGGTTTTACACTAGCAAGATTAGATAATTTTGAGCTGGTCTATGAGAAGGTATGGTGCCAACGCAATGCGCCACAAATATATAATCGCAGAATTCGTTTAATTTCTATTTGCGCAAGAGAAAATCGAATTCAGTTGTTTAAGACAGGCACAGACATACCATTCGTATTAAGACATGCCATTTGTATTAAATATAGGTATCATTGGACAGGCATTAATAATTACAGCGTTGTCTAGACAACGATATCCCGCAAATCGTTTCCAGTTTTTCGTATAAAATTTAATGGATAAATCATTTACTCTTTCTCGTCCCCACTGTTTTTATCAGCAGCTGATGATTCATCCGGCTTCATGTCATCCGAATCCTGCTTTGCATCTTCCTCTTGCGCCACAACTTGGCCTTGCTCTTGTTCCACTTGGCCTTGCTCTTGTTCCGCTTGGCCATGCTCTTGTTCCGCTTGGCCTTGTTCTTCTTGGTCGTCGTTTATTTTGCTTTGCTCATCAGTTTCCTTCGTTTCTTTATCACCGATTGCTTCATCATTCTTTTCAGAGCTTGCATTTTGAGTTTCTGGCTCAGCTTGTTCTTGTTTCTCTTCTGCCTGATCGCCTTCCCCCTCACCGCTCTCGCCTTTGAAATGATAGATAAATTTGCTGGGACTTCGCAGTTACGTTATCAACTACATTATATCTTTCAATTCAATATAGACATTCCGCACAAAAAATACATCCATTATAACACATGTTTTACGAGTTTATACTTTGAACTTCAATACAAATATTTGACCTCCATCAAAGCACAAAATATGTTAATTATGGTAGAAAACAAGGTTGGAAAAATGCTTGATAACAGTTTAAAAGCTCAAACGGGAAATATGAGTTTATTTAAATTAGCGCAAAAAACCACGAGTTATTGTGGATGTAATGGAAGTACAAGAAGTTAAGTGTTTTTCTGAGTGGATATGTTGCATATCTTAATTGCTACATGTGCACAGCTCCAGCTGTCATTGGGAAGAAAAGTCACAGGAATTCCAATCGCAATATCTACAGCCCATTTGGAAAATATGTATGAGTATGAAAATGGTTTTGAAAAAAGCAGACATTTTGAAAATGCTTCAAATTTCCATGTAGCACTCTTTGATCATAAAACGTCAAAACATGGATAAAAACACCACGCTAGGAAATATATATACCCAGTTGTGGATCAAAAATGGCTAATCAGAAAACGCGAGTCAATAATTCTTGAGGTAGCCCAATCAATGCTGCTTGTCTATTGAAAATGTTACCCATGGAGTCCTAAGGTGAAAACAGGGCATTTTTTAACATATAAAGTGGTGGGGAAATTCCCCACCAGCCCCTTTTATTGCCCACCAGTGGAACATGTTTGCCCCACCACTTAAATGCCCTTATGATTCGGTGACTTTTTTACTTTTTGCCTTATTTGAGATATTTGTGGATGAAATCTTCATTAAACAGGTTTCAAATCTCAATTCATTTTTCCCTGGAACTGCTGCTTCTATAGGCGATTCCCCTAGAATATTTTTGAAAGCCTGTTTATCTGTAAATTCTGCCTTTATCTATATGCCCTTTTCTCAAATGCCCCACCAGTGAAAAATTCTTAAAATGCCCTGGGTGAAAACGAACTCCTTCTGTCTTCTCTCCTTCTGTGTAGACAGAAGGAGTTCGTTTTCACCTTAGGAATTCATTGGTAACATTTTCATTATGTTTTTAGATTAACGTCAGGACATTCGAAGAAAACATCATGTTGGGTTTCCACTATTTTATAACAAACAAGAATAGAATCGATAAATGTACTAGCTTGCGTGTATGGATTCCTGAGGTAAAAACGAACTCCTTCTGTCTACACAAAAGCAATTTTATGTTTATGTAGATAGATTCCAAAACTGCTAGATGGGACGATCGGGCTCTACCAAAATTCCGAAAAATGTCGCCATTAAAGTTTTTTAGGACAATCTTGGTTTTCCAGTAAATGCTGCCTGATGGCAGAATCGCATTTTCTGACTGTTTTGTTGGTCTGCAAGACCGAGGAGGCAGTTCTCTTTAGGAGAGAGTTATGTTTTTAATGAAAAGGACTTGCCGTTTTATCATACCATGTATGGGCCTGTTTGGAGACCTCACTGTTCGTTCGTTCTATTACCGACAATGGGAATATTGAGCAGCATTTATTTAACTATGAATATAATTTCAAACAATTTGATACACATCAGAAAAAGCAAAATAGTCTAAATGTACAGGAAAGAAACAAACCGTTGGCTACTTGGCTTTCCAAATCGTCCATTGCTTTTGCGATGGCATTTTGGGCCGCCTCGTCATCCAGAGATTTAGCCAAGTCCATCGATCTGCCAAATGACGCTTTCGCTTTTTCAAAATCGTTCAGCTTAACTAAAACAAAAAAGATGACTGTTAACAAAATTGTTATGTGTCACTATGTATCATTAGAATTGTGTCACTGTCTCGCTCCTTTTCTCACAGACAGCTTCCAATGCAGGCCAGGTGTACTATATGGCACAATTACTGTTAAGTCAACGGAATAACTGCATCCAAATAGGCAGAATTAAGTTCAATAAGTTAAAAACATGTTTCTTATTTCGAAGCAAAGAGCGAAGAGGGTTATCAACAATTTACAGGTGTTGTGACGGCGGTGAAACATGAAAAAGCACTTCCAAGCTCCTTCACTGATGGATGATAAAACTAAAGGTAAAACTGATGGTAAAACTGATCTTGACGATTGATCGCTAGAGCCAATTGTTAGGATGATGACGTCACGCTAACATTTAAGTGATTACATAATCAACGGCAGTTGTAACAGCAAATGATGACTAAACATATCAGTTGGAATTTCCCTCTAGCTGAAGAAGACTAAGCTTTGGATGGGAAATTAACAAGAAAACACCAAGGACGAAAACTTCTCATTTCCATTTCCAGGTCCCCTTATTCTATAAATGCAAAATGAGAATTTTCGCTTTATTATGTCCATTTGGATAAAATATTTTCAATGTTGGATAAAGTGTTCTCCATTAAAAAGTTTTGATGCAGATTTTATTTGGTGATGAAAACGTTCCCAAATTACTTAAAAAGTATATTTCTGCTAACTCAACCCAAAATCTGGTCGGATTGGTTTCAAAATACCAAGGGCTTAATACACGATACCTTTCAACCAACAACTTAGGCCGTCTTGGTACCCGGATAAGCTCGCTTTGTAGCTATCATAAATTTAAATACACTGCGTTTCGCTATAATATAACAACTTCAGCTTGGTACCCGGGCTGGCTAGGCACCGGGCTGCGCACCGGGCTGTTGCGAGTACTAGGGGAGAGCAAAAAGAGTGGGCTCTGATGGCATAGATACTTTACTTTGTTATTGAGTTATTTTAAAAAGAATTGTGGTATCTTAAGTGTGAAAGGAAATATCTTAAAAGTTATAGCAATTTTCATTAGGCTCTTCGAAATCTAACAGTGTTTGTTTACCAGCTCTGGCACAGGTCCGGATGTCTTTATCAACAGTTTCCGAAAGAAAAAACACAGTAAATAGTGGTGCTCCGCACTTCCACCCAGATAGCGTGAGTCTGAAAGCTCAAACCAAAACTTCTGAAAATCAAATTGGATGAAATTGAGGCATTGAGATAATGCGAATAAAGTTCTTCCCGTGTAGAGAGTAGGACGTTGCTTAAATTGTGCTAATTTCGGAGTAGTTTTCTTGTAGCCGGCAATGTAAAGTTTAAAGACTACCTTTTATAAGGTTCATCCTGAGATACTATTTGTGTTTCAAACAGGTAAAGGCAATAAAAGCTTTTAAACACTAGCAAATTCTAGATTCCGTTGATGCCGATCTTAAAACTGTAGTTATGCAGTTTCTACCAGTGGTTCCTTTCCAAGCGTCAGTAGTAAGCAAAGCTAGAGGGAATGATCTAAGCCGGCTAGGGTCGAAAGAGATTTTTAAGATAATCGCACTAATAGCATTTTAATTTATGGGCTTTGTGGTTAGTGGGCGGGCTAAACGCTCTGCCATATGCTGTACTTCAAATTAGATAAGCCACTTGAAACCACTTAGATCGTAAGTATTCAAGGATTGGAGTGCGGTAGTACCAAGCACCCCGAAGAGGGAATGCACGTCAAAACAATATCACTTGACTAGTTACTACAGTGCTTAATTCATACTCCACTCGTTAGTTCTCACCATAGCACCCTCTCCAGCCATCATTGAAAGCAAAAACGCGTGATACAGATAAAAAAACGGGTATCTTTAACCTTTTCGTCTGGTAAGCTTCACGACCATAGACTGAACTGAATCTGCGTCAAAACTACTGGCGCCTGACGAAAAACCATCTTGACCAACTCATTTAATATCACGACATTGCAAACTCTGCATATAGAGGTGTCTTTTAGAGCTAAAATCGTTCCCACCCTAAAGTCTTCAAACTTTTGAGGCATCCTTACCAACCCAAGCTTTTATCAAGGACTTAATAAAGCTGCTTAAATCAGTGACTGAGACAGAAGCAACATGGCCAATAACACATTTGCAATAGTGGCAGATGAACGGATCAAAACATCGACGGAGACAAATGAAAACAAAACAAATTCAAGTACCACGTTCGAACCACGCCCTGTTTTCACAGTGTTACAAAGGTTTTCAAAGCTGTGACTTATTTCCCAGATAAAAAATGAACACGATTTAAACTCTTCGAAGCTTCTTCGCCAAAGAAAGATTCGTGGAGGACCCAGATAATGAAGTTAGCTCGATCTATATCTAGGTGTGGATATTTCAGAGCTAAAATCGTGGCAAACGATCAGATTGTTTGTATCTTTTTCAATGTCATGAAAATTTTCACATTTTTAAACGCTGGCTCATTTATGCAAATATAAATTCCAAGTCCTCAGTTGCTAGTAAGCCTTTATTTTTTCGTAAGATAATTCTTGAGATGACGAGAAGTTTATCTCTTGACCTCCTACCTATTTAGGGTATTATATAGAAATCCGCACGTCAAACTCAGAGCTCCTACGCAGTCTGGCAGTGTCAAAGAGAGATTGACATGCGAAAAAGACTGATTACGATGCCTCATTCTCGCGTTCATCTCTGTTAAAGGCGATTTACGACAAGTCACACATTTCTTCAATCGATTATGCAGATTACTCCGCCCCAGCTGACTTTGAAGCAGGTGCAAACGAAAAGAACGATAAATCAAAATCACTTACGCAGCATAAAATAAAAGGTGGATGTAGCAACTGACGATATCAGCGACTTATGATATGATTGAATGGGGAATCGAATTGACATATCTACCTTCTACCATAAATGATCATTGATTTGCTAACTGAAGCATATCTATTTGTCATGCGAAAATACCAGAAGATATATATGCCACAACGTAAAACGGTTGTTAATAACTGAGGACTGAAAACGACACTTAATATTGGCAGCATACATGTGAGCAGCGGAGCGAAAGGTCGTGGCAACACTGATATTTACTGTCACTGTCTTACTTACCCTTATTGAACAATTTTTTTGCGGTACAGAATTTGAAAATGGCTTTGAAAAAAGCAAACATTTTACAATATACTTAAAGCTTTTTCGTCTGACACTCCTCAGAGCATAAAACGTCAGAATAGGTTCTGAAAAAACACGATGGAAAAATATATACCCAGTTGTGGATCGAAATAGGCCAATCAGAAAAACGCAAGCACAAGACCGGTATAGTAACTAAACCGGTCTTGTGCTTGCGTTTTTCTGATTGGCCTATTTCGATCCACAACTGGGTATATATTTTTCCATCGTGTTTTTTCGGAACCTATTCTGACGTTTTATGCTCTGAGGAGTGTCAGACGAAAAAGCTTATTGAACAATTATTATTTTTTATGAGTGTTTGGCCTTGATAAAGTGCAGCCTTTTGCTCTCCATATTTAAACAGGGACGTCCTGAGATGGATGCAGTAGGAGAAGTGCTTCCTTCCTTCTGGAATGTATTGCCTTTTATCGTATTGATCACAAAATACATGCTAGTTATTTTTCTAGCTATTTTACCAACCGAAGGCCACAGAACGCACTCAGAAATATTAATCTCCGTCACACGAAAAATTATATCCAATAACGCAACATTAATTTAAAAGCAATATTAAGATCAAGGGTCTGTTCTGACTGTCTGTCCTGATAAATTCACGAGAAAGAATCTATTTGACCAAACTTCAGCTAAATGTTCAGACTTTGACAACTGCAAAAATGGCTAGCAGGGCTAAGTATACCGAAATGAAAACCTTAATTTTAATCTTCTGTTAAAGTCTGAAAGCACAGTGTTTGACTTACCATCAGCTTGTGCAATGAGAACAGATGCGTTCAGCTGCCAGACTTCATCTTCAGCCTCCTTCGCAGCCTCCAGTGATTGCTCACCATAATCACGTGCTTCATCGTACTCCCCCATTTCAAAATGGCACCTACCGATCTCATGGCGTAGCCAGGTACTTTCAAGAGGCGTTTTAACAAGGGGAAGCTTCTTCTTCCAACTACAAGAAACAAATTCGCGTTCAAATAACGTAATTAATGAAAATAAAAGCAAATTTCGAACAACATCAATGATTTTGTCGATAAAGAACTACTTAGAAATGGAAAGATTCATAAGTCAAGCTGTACAAGGTTCTGGTAGAATACGAACTTAGCATAATTCAAGCAACGTCCTACTCTCTACACGAGAAGAACTTCATTCGCACTATTTTCAATGCCTCATTTTCATCCAATTTGACTTTCGAAAGTTTTGGTTTTAGCTTTAAGACCCACATTATCTGGGTGGAAGTGCGGAGCACCACTATTTGCTGTATTTTTTCTTTCGGAAACTGTTGATAAAGACATCCAGACCTGTGACAGGGCTAGTAAACACTGTTAGATTTCGAAGAGGCTAATGAAAATTGCTATAACTTTTAAGCGTTTTCCTTTCACGCGTAAAATACCATAACTCTTTTTATAATAATTCAATCTTATTCGTTCTTCCCCTAGTACTCGCAACAGCTCTTCTATCTCGGTTACAATTGAGGCAAGGAAAAAAGGGAACCATCTGTATACATCTAACGCACAAGAGATTTTTATATTCAAATTCATCGGTATAATGTGAATAGACAAACAGGCGAGAAGCAAACTTTTTCCGAATTTCCAATTCAAGGAAATTTTCCCTGAAGTCGTTAAATATAGAATATTTTGTCCAAAAACTTACTTTTCGATAGCTTTTTCGTAGTTCCCGGTTCTTGCATACGACCTTCCAATGTTATCAAGAGCACGCGATTCGCCATCTTTGTGTTTGCTAGCGCAAAAAATAAATGTGGTCGGTTAGGCAAATATTCAGAAACGCAACACTGAAAACTTGCTAGTGTTTAAAACCAGCAAGTAACACAAAACAAAATAACAAAAAATATACTGATTAAAGTCCGTCACCAAAAACAATTTGGAGAAACATTTCTAAAAGAAATACTTGGGGTGTCATTTTTGGATATAACGTTTTGTCCATTAATATATGATTGAGAACCTATCCAAAAATGATGTGGGCTATAGAGAAATCAATTTACGGAATAGTTCTGTGAAAGTTCTACAGGCCTTAGCAGATAATGTGTTTAAGAGCAGCATAACGCAAATAGAAGTTTAAATGGGCTGAAGAAAGTCAAAAAACATGATTTTTTGAAAATGCAGAAAAGTCAATAGATTTCTTGAGCTATGGCGACACAAAAATCTGTTTTTGGAATTTTTTAATCTTGATCAAAGATCTTGAAAGATGAATGGAAGGTTGCCTAGCGATTATCAAGACAAGTGTGTCACTGCAGACAAACCAAAAGTAGACGACAAAGACAACCGACAACTTCCAAAGCAAAAAGATATAATTATCTATACAGTGTGTTTTCACTTAGACCCATATCTGGTCTTACAATGTATCATTTACTATATGTTTTCTAGAAAATATCTATGAAACATATTCGAGAAAGTTAAAAGCAGGACTGGATTGAGGTGGGTGCTTTTGGTGCTGCACCATTAGGCCTATTCCTGAAATAGACCCAGACAAGAAGACGAAAAATTTCCTGGATTTTAAAAGGTCCAATAATAGGCTCTTTTTGTGCTGCAGCATCAGGCCCAACTTGGGCTGAATCCGGTATGGGTTAAAAGACAGCACAGGTAACATCGTCACTTGGTCCAATGAAAAAGACGGTTCTAAGGTTATATGCCATATCAGAAACAGAATGTCATCAGTGAAGGTAAATCATGAAGTAAAACAAAAGCTCAGTCTACATGTTAACTTCACAATCATGTTTAGAAAGATTGAGAATGAGCAATCGAAGAAGCCTGTAGACAGCGGGAAATACCATAAAACAGGCATGATTATAGGCGCAGAGCTCAGACTAAACATGACCGAATGATTATTAAGATGCGTAGGCCATGAAAATCCCAATTAGACTTAAATGCAAGAATATTAGGAATGAAAATCTTGAAAATAAAGCTATAATGAATTTAATTGGACTTTGATCATGTTCAAAATACAAACATAACCAGCAAAGGGAGTTTCCTGCAAAACGATTCCATATTAATTGACTGAAGATTTCGGCATCGGTCTTGTACGTATTACGTAAAGTTTTCAAACGATTAATTTGAAATACCAAAGCTAGGTAAAATAGGTCTGGGATAGCTCTGTATCTCAAAACTACGAAATACAGAGTTCCAAAAGAAGAAGTCTAGAGGAGGAAGTGTCCAATGAACATAAGCCTACTTATCATCAGCTGCAAAATTCTTACTTTTTCTCAGATATATTGAAGTCCTCTAAGTGGTGTTTCAAAGCTTTCTGCGGTTTCTCAAGGTCAAGGAGAGCGTTGCCAATGCAAGAATGCAGATTTGCGATAATCTCATCACGATTGTTCAGCGTCATCGAGCTTGTCTCTTCAACTTCTTTCAGCGTACTTTTTGCCAGTTTTAGACTCTTATCAGCATGTCCATCTGATAACGCTGTCGAGAAAAGAGCTTTCTAAAGATTTAAGAAAATCAGGCATCAAATATACCGACACCTTTTTACATAAATAAACGTGTTAAGTTTTTTGTCCCAGATTATCAGAGAAATATACGGATTGAATGGTTTTTTCACTTGCAAAAGATTGAAAATTGTGATCGGAGAAACGGCATTGCAACACTTTCACAGTTTAAAAACTCGTTATCTTATCAAAGTTATGAAATATTCGCGGAAAACAATGTGCATATCTAATCAATGGCAGACAATCAGTATTCAATGGTTGGCTACGTACAGGCCTAGACCAGCAACGCATGGCGTTAGAAAACGTCTGTGAAAGGAAATTCAATTGATCCTTCTTCAACTCACGTCTCTAAAAAATTTAAAAAATTCCTTGTGCTCTTGAAAAGATTTTTCCAATCTAGTCATTGAATTTATTAACATTACTGTCTAGCGATATGCCAAGAAACGTTCGATGCCGTATAGCCAGCGCTGTTGGTATATAGAACAGGACGGTCCTAAGTTATTACTCCAAGTTTCCCTCTTAATACGATCATCATGTTATTATATCTAGTATCATATACAAAGATTTTAAAAAAATTTTTGATCCATCATTTTGTTAACATCTTTAGTATTGGTGCAGTATATCAGGAGAAGTTTATTTCAAACTTCAAAGTTTATAAAACAACATTTTGTGCAGACTTTACAAGAAAAATGTAGAAAATCCAATTTTCATGATGTGACTATCAATTCCTAATCCTGACTTCGGTAAGATCCTGATTCCCGACCGAGAATAAATTCTTCAGTAACGATTTCGTGGGTGCCAGGTTTACTACAGTACTAATACTGATATCAAATAGTATGTAGCAAGTATAATGCATGAAGTATATGGTTTAAAGAAATCAGGCATGTTTGCAGAAACAATCCTTGTATAAAGGCTACTATCTTTGAAACACTGAATGGTAATTGCCTGACAGTGACTTGAACATATGATTTTATTAAGGACCACCGACAGGAGAGTGTAGCTGAAGCGTGTGCCACAGAGCCAGGCCTCATTCTGAGGCATGTAATTTTTAAATCTATGTCAATTGTCATATTCTGAAAAGTATATCCGTTGTCAAGCAAGGAGCACATACGCATTGTTTGCTCCAGGGCACGGCCTCGCTCTTGGCGGCTCTGCTTTTATTGTGATTACACTAAGCAAAACTCTCAAAGTTGTTCTGTTCTACACCCTAAAGCCATTACAGGTTTGCCTAAACAACTTCGAGCAATAAACAGTAAGTCACAATGCTTTTATTGTCATATAAAAAGAATATATTGCAAATAACCACTTGACAAGCCTTAAACCATATCTGTGTAAAAAATAAATAAGAATAAACGCACTATATATGTTTACAAACCTGCGTCAATTTCTTCTAGCTTTTTCATAAATTTTGCCATTTTCTTCGTTGAAACCTGATCTTTGGTTAGAACATTTTTCTTCTGACTTGACATCTTATCTTTTTTCCTTGCATAGAGCGGTTTTTGCTGTCGCCAAAAGTCTGTTCGCTTGTTCAAATATGTAAGACCATCTTCAACAAGTTCGTGTATTTTCTTGTTTGATTCGCTCTTTATAAAGTCTAAACAAAAAAACCAACATATACATGCGTTTATTTCCATTGAAAGGAAAACGAGTCGCATTTAGGCCAGACCATTACAATAAAATTATGCACATGATTGTAGAGATAAAACCTTAAACATGGTGCAAGTAGGTTGAGAGTCTATATTGCATTTCTCCAAAAGTCCAAATTAGCAAATAATTAAATTTACGTGAAGAAGATATTTTCGGGCTACTTTAAGTAGCAATGGCATTTCCTTTGCAATCGCACAAGCATGGCAGTTATCGGTGCTGAAGTGAAGATTTTCAGCATCCACAATTTCTTTTTTCGTAATTATTCAGAAAACATAATTTTATATCATGATATGTTATTCTCCTATTGTAAAGATACAATGACGTAAAACACATGTTTAAGAAAAACCAGATGTTCCGCAACAAATTATTTGACAAAAATTAGCAAAACTCTACGTAACTACATATAAAATAACCTTGCAAATCAAGTATGTAGGCCGAGATGGCCCTTACTTGCTGCTTACAATAACATAACAATTATGCGAATACAAAGCTAAATTTTCAGCAAAAGCTATTAAACTGAAAAATTATCAGCTGTTAATCTAAAATGCTATTGGGGTTGCTTAAAAAGTTTGATCTTTTTTCAAAGGACTTTTTGCAGAAATTCCTATATTCTTACATTTTTATTTACAATTCCAACTAGTCAAATTGCAGAGAAAACATTCTTTAACATATACCTGTATCCTGCATTAATTTTTCCAAGTATTCCTTATCAGCATACAGCTCACCAAGAAGCTAAAACAAGTAAATATTACAATAAACTTTCATGTTTTAAAACTGTTACAGAAACAGATGCTGTTGCTGTGATTCTCAATAGAATTTTGCATGTGGGAGAACAACTTGAAAGACACGTGCATATTGCTTATGTGAGTGGGGTATCACACGCTGGGCTGCCGATAGAGGTGGGAGGGGGCAAAGAAGGCAAACTGTCCCAGGGCCTCGAGGCATACGGAACCTAATATAGAAAGGAATTCATTTAAGAATGGTATTAATCATGGGCATAATTTTGCTCTGTAGGAAAATTTTTTGTGAAGGAATTTTTAGCACATATAGATCCTTGTGCACCAACTTGTCAATAGACTAGCACAAAAAGTGAAAGTTAGGAATCTATAAAATTGAATGAAGGATAATGGTACGTCCGTGAGGCAAAAAATTGCAAATTTCTTCATTTTAACTATTAAACTATTAAACCGTTACAGCTATTGAAACAATCAGGTTAATAAATAGGGTTTAACTCCTGCAGCGGCATCAGGATCATCAGCAACCTTATTTAATGTAAAATAGACAATATTAATGCTTATACGAGGCATCTAAGAGTCTGGATTAAGAATACTATCGACAACTGTAGGTATAGGCTGAGCAGCGGCATTAATCAAAGAAAACCAAGTTTCGATAAGAAATGACACATGAAACAGCATGAAATAAAACTTATCACATACCTGTTTTACTGTTTTGTTTGAAGGGGCTGGAGCTTTAGTTTCTTTATTTCTGCTTGCTCCAATCTTTGCTTTATTTGTAGCTGGCTTGCTATATCCTTTTGATTTTTTACCCTAAAAAGGATTAAAACCACGATCACAATATAACAATGAAATCTCACTTAAATCTTATTGCAGGATTTAGTTTATTGTCAAGTAGTACCCCGTAATATGTAGTGTAATTTCTTGCTTGAATTTTTTATGAAAGTTACAAGATAGAACCGGCAAAACCACTTTTTGCAGAGCAAAATAAACTCTTTTAGACAAAGGAAAAAGAAATCATTCTATCATTCTGTAAGTTATTGTGCTTTTTAGGGCCATTAGCTTTAGTTTCATTGCCATGTCTTACCATTTGAATATTCAGAACACATGGAGCAACAAAAACATTGAGATTTGATTAAAAATAAGGAGTATGGGCAAAATGGGATTGCTGACTATAAACCATTGTACGATCTTTGAAATGCATACTTGGCTTAACCTGGCTTAACCCAATCCAGAGAATCCAGAAAAGGTCCGAGTTCAGGTCCGTAGATAAGGGGGGCATGGGGCGGCAATACTACCCTTGGTACATAAGAATGCCAGCTGCTTGCCACCCTGAGAAATTTGGCTTTAAATCTTTTCAATGGTTTTTTTTTCGTCGTTTTTATTGGATTGTTATTTGAGTCAAGCCAACATTGACTCAAGAAATTATTTTTATATCGGAATCTCCTATTTCCAATGTAGGACTTAAGAAAGTGCTTGGTGCTTAACAAATTGAAATATTTTCCGATGTTAAAAAAAGCTTTTCGGGGAAAATTTGAAAATTTTTTTAAAATCAAGTTTAAGAAGCGACGACCGTCGCTTGGCTAAAAAATAACTGCATCTGTGTTGGATAGTGGGATGTTCATTTTTGCAAAGTGCATGCTGATGGACATTCTAAAGCCAATAAACATAATTGTGAAGCAGCTTTAATCGTCCAGTGAAAATCGTGTCACAGCACTGTCTGTAGTTAAAGCAATGAGGCAAGACCTTCAGTAAAGATGTAAAAACTCGACTGAGGACCAATGCTTGAGATGCTTGCGGAATTTTCTCGGTAAATGTGTTAAAAAAATAGTGGCACTTGATTGAGGAGGAGTCAATACGTGCATTATTAAGGGTAGATTCCCCTTGACGACATTCCATGAAGACAGAGAGGGAAAGTTATTCTGCATCCCTGGCATTTCGAAGTAAAATTTTGACGGAAGACATAACATTTGAAAGTAATTCAGTTTAATGGAAGTTCAGCTGGTTGATTGCTGAAGAAATGTTACAGCCTTTTTGCTTGTTTTTCCATTAACCAACCCCCCCCCCTCTCTCTCTCTACAAACTCTTCACTTTGAACCTTGCCTGCATTGGACATTGGGAGTCTGCCACCCCTACTCCACTGACCTGGCTACGAGCTTGACCGAGTTACGTTTCTCTACTGCCGAAACCTGGCTCACAAGGTCTATTGTTAAAGGGCAACCTTTCCGGAAAATTGCAGAAAGAGAGAATATTTGCGAAAGTTCAAAGGAGATGGCTGAAAGTGCTAGGAAGAAAACTATTTTGAGAACATATGAGAAAAGAAGAGTCACAGAGTTGTTTTTGAAATAATAGTCAAGAGAGCTTCAAGATTGTAAAAAAAAATTTAATTGTAGAGGGAGATTCAAGTAATGGCAAAACATTCGATTCTTACCCACCAAAGGAAAACTGTCAAAATAATCTACTTTTGAATTCTAGACGTACTGATAAATTCTATTAAAAATCGTTTTGACAAACTCAATTTGAAATTTGTTCAAGTCTGGAGTCGTTTTTATTAGGAGCGCTTTATTCCCGAAAATTTTTACAATCAGATTTAACTGAAAAGGCTACTCTCAAAATTTGCAGGAACTTTCCTATTTCATATCGAATCTGACGTATATGAAACTATGGCGTTTAGTAATACAAGAGAGCTTGAAAATATCGTCTCCGATTTTCTTTTAGTCTGAATCTATCTAAGATATTGAATAGGGTAAGGGAAAGTAGTTTTAAAAAGGGGTAAAGGAGAGCAGGTAGGGTACCTATTGCTAAGAGATCAGCATAAAGAAAGCTTTAGAAAATAAAAGGTCGATTTAAATGTGTGATTTTCCAATTGAATATGTAAAAAAGAACTCCAAGACTTCATATTCTTTAGTCAAAAATTATTAAACGATGATGTTGAAAAAACTGTCTAAGTTATCATAAAAGTGCTAAAGTAATAACATTGTAAAATTTTATATATCTTAAACGAAGTTACTAACTAGATCATCCTGCTTTGTGAAGAATGACAGATCACCTTTGTTTTCCAATTTCACCTTTGCCGCGTCTATAAGTTATAAAGAAAATATGCTATTCTTATGTATCCTTTAAAAGATGCTATTTTTAAAATGTATCCTTAGTGACCCTATATTCAATAGCAGTTGCATGGAAGCTTAACAACAAGGATAATTGGGAAAAAAATCAAGAACTGAGTATATATTGAAAATAAGCAGAATGGTGTGTATAAATTCAAATTTTCTTATTTTATTCAAAGATGCTCAAAAGAGCCCAGAAACAAAGTCAAATTCTTTATCCCTAAAAAGTTGTGATAACAGGACATCACCAAAAGGGACTACATGCAGTCTTTTAACAATTTATTTCCTCCAAAATAGATGCTACTATTTTGTTAACTAAAGTAAAAAGAAATAAATAGCACTGGCATACTTCCAATAGAATTATCAATTGCTTCTTGGGCCTTTTGAATTCCTAATCTGAATTCATCCAACTCAGGTCTTAGTTTGTGACCTCTGTGGTAGTACATCAAAGCATATTCAAAATCACCCATTGAGTAAAGAGCCTCAGCCTTTTGGTATAAGCCCTGGAGGAACGAATTTTTGAAATGTAACTATTTTATATTTTCAAAAAAATTAAAGAACATAGATTTGGAATAGAAATGTGTTCTTAATCAAAAATATTTTGCTGAACAATATTTTATTAGTGAAATTTAAGATTAATTCAGTTCAAAATAATGCAATCAAACTGAATAGAAATAGGTTTCGAAAGCGCTACAATACCACTGAAAAAGTAATGCACCGGCAATGAAGTAGCTCTACCTTATTGAATTCTTTATCTTCTTCAAGTGCAGCTTCTGCATCACTCAAGGCAGCTTGTGGATCACCAAGCATTAGATAACATTTTGATCTTGATACAAGACAGATTTTATCATTTGGCTGGATTTCCAAGGCCTGTCAATTGAATTAAAAAATCTATATTAAGCTGAAAGATAAAATAAAGTGCTGAAAGTCTATAAAAATAAGATATTTAATAATGAAATCAAAGAACTTAGGGGACATACTGATCAGGTTCCAAGGCTTTTTTCTTAAGAAGGCTTGCCTGCCCAGATATGGTTAAAGAAACTCAAATTCAAAATTTCTTATGTAACACCCATCATAAGAGCTGCCTTGTTAGCTCACATACTTCCATTCCACACTAAAATATTTGTGAGATCTATTGTGAGATCTAAATACCTCATTGTGAGATCTGATTATAGAAAGACAAATAATAAATCAGTTTCTTTTCATATGTTTTTATTTCTGTGATTCAGGGTAAATTGGGCAAACTTCTTAATGAAGAGGCCACACCAAAAGCCAGATAAAAAAGAGAAAAACAAAGAGCATTCAGGGACAGAAATGAGAAACAAAAAAATAAAACTTTGCAACTTCCATTTTTTAAAAGAGCTGATTTGCAGCTGTAACTGCTTCCAACAAGAGACAAAACTTTTCATGCAAAACAGAATAAATCTGGAACCATAACACTTCCCAATTCAAATGGTTTATGCAGAATTCAAGTATATTTGGATTTGGAAATAAAATATTAGATTGGAAACCACTTTATTGAGATTGGAAACCATTTTTTTAAAAGAGCTGATTTGCAGCTGTATCTGCTTCAAACAAGAGACAAAACTTTTCATGCAAAACAGGATAAATCTGGAACCATAACACTTTCTGATTCGAATTGGAAACCATTTCATTGAGATGGATGGTGAAAGCCACCTAAAGTAGGACCTTGAGCAAATCATTCTTCCCAAAGTCAGTGAATTCTGTCAGTGAAGCACAACATTTTTCTCAAAGTCAGCCAATTCTGTCAGGAAGCCTTTCTTAAAGTACCTAGTAGCTTATGGAATCTGTACATTTCCATTCAAAGAGTGTCTTTTCTTCTGAGATGCATGCATATAGGAAACACAAGTGCCTGATTTGCTTAAAAAGGAATTTTTTAGAAAAACCTTCCAAAATGGACTAGGGAAGCTAATATAGAAAATAAAAGAGTTAAGTTTGTAATAGATTTGTTTAGAAAACTGCAGATTCATCCCAAAAATAGTTTACATGCATTAAGGCTTTCAAAATAACACTTTTACTCTTTTCTGTTTATCTGATGTGACAAAATGATCAGGGGCTGCTGCAACCTCAAGCAAGCCTCTTGTTTCTCTGCTCTAATGTTATCACCCATTTCCCCTTCCAAAGTGCTCTCCTGGGGTGCAGAAAAAGAAAGACATCGTTTTAACTTAATAAAAGAATATAAACAAATAGATACTTTTTGAATGTGTGGTTGTGACTTCATAAACTGACAGCCTGAATCTGATAAATCATTTTGATTTTAGCATTTGATTTCCTTCTAAGGACCTTTGCAAGCCAAAAAGCTCTGCTTCTGGGCAAAATTTGCTTCTCAGAGAAGACCTTGTTCACCCCAGGTTCATGGCATCACTTAATGCCATACATCTGTGGCATGACCAAAATCAATTCCAGTATGAATCATGCAAACACTTGCAGCAACAGAAACACAAAGTAAATGTATACCAAGCATAAAATCTTCTTGCAAACAATTAAAGATGATGACATATTAGTTGATTATCCAAAATAGAGGCCTTCAACACATTAAAAGGTTTTGCTTCTGTTGGTATACTGACCAGCAAATTAAGAATCAGGTTTATGGGGTGGGGGGCATATAAAGCACAGAACTTGGATAGTGTTAACCTGGAATTAATCTATGGTATCATTTTTTGGAATTAATCTCACTGGAATTAATCTCACTGGAATTAATATAAGATATGGTATCATTTTTAAAGTAATTGTAACACCTTGTAAAATAATATAGCATCAAATCTCGTTTTCAACTTTATCCACCGTGAATTTCATCTTTATTGGAATGAAAACACACACTTTGTTTTCTGGCAAGTAATTTAATTTGCTAACAGATCGCAGGTGAAGTTTTAATGCAGAGTTACCAGGCGATTTTGCCGATGTTTCTATTTTCTCGTGGAAAAAAATAAACTCTTTACCAAAGGTCATTTCGTATCTCTTGCTAAAGACAAATGAAATTGAAATATTATCGTATATGATCTTTTATCGAACAGAAATTTCACGAAGGAATTTATCCTCTAAACAACACATTCACAGATCATTACAATAGAACTGTAACTAATGGGCCTACCATCCGATAACTTTCCAGAGCTTTCTTGTACTCTCCTTGCTTATAAAGAGCATCGCCTTCAGCTAAGTAAGTACTGAATGAGCTCTTTGGGCCCTCAATCTCTTCTTCTTCATCTTCATACGAGTCTTTCATCTTGCAGGCTATCGTTAATGGGTTAACTTTTGTTTTGCTATAGGTGTTGTTGGCGACAATCGCCGAATGTCCTCCGCAAAACTTTGGTTTGACAGTGTCATGACAACGAGGTACTTCATGTATAGTTTAAAAAATCTCATTATGAGAAAAAGCTCCTTCTCAGCAAAACATTACAAATGAAAACATCAGGTGTGTTGTGTTTTCCTCGTCTACACTCTACACGAGGTGGAATTTTCCTTTAGCTTAATACTGACGAAGCCTTTTATGCTTGAGTGCAATTTTCCATTCTCCAACTTAATACGTTCAATGTTGTCTTTCTATGTACATATTATTCGTCGCAAAGTTTTTAGAACCAAAACCAAACTACATCTTATCTTACATGTCATTTTGAAGTCATTAAAAACAAGATAAATCGAATTGTCCTAGCATTATAAAAGTGAAAGGTGATTATCAAAATGCTGACCCATTTCTTTTTAAATTGTTAACAAAGTATGAAGAACTGAAGAGCGCACATTTTACAACTTTTCGCAAAAATGGACAGACCAATACTAGGACTAGGCCTAACTTTAGGTCAATAACCGTTCTGCCACAAGTCTTAGATGCTTTTATTACACCTTTTTAACCTCATTTGGGCGTGATTTCAAGCACGGATATCGTGGTTAACAAATTTGGTAAGGCTTCTAGTAAAATTAAAGATTAGTTTTAAGGATGGTAAGGCGAGGGCGAGGGCGGTTTTGAGGTTGCAGCCCCTGGATGAAGGTGGTAAATTAAAGCCGTTCTTGATGAATCTCTCCAAAGCATAAGATTGTATTAGATATGACATCTTCATTGCAAAATTCCATGCAAATGGCTTTTCTTACGAAGCATTAACAATCAATAACCGTCTTATCTTGCAAACAAGAAATAGAGAGCCAAGTTTCTTCAAATCTTGGTAAGCTATAGCTCGTGGTGTTTCTCAGCGATCAGTTTTAGGCCCTCTGCTTTTTAGCATAAATATTAATGATCTTTTACTTTTTAATCAAAACAGAACTATTGCGATAAGAGCCTACAACATAACTAACAAGTTTGAAAATGTAATATAGCCTTAGAATGGTTTTCCGACAACTCCATGAAATTAAATGCAGATACTGTTATCTTTAGGTCATTAAGCAGAGGTTAAATGATTCACTTATGGTTAAGACTGGAAACGCTGATGTAACTAACAGCTCTCAAGAGAGCTAGTTGTGCAAAACTCTCCTTCCACCGCCACACTTCGAAAATTTGCCAAAAAGCTAGCTATAAACTTTATGAACTTGCCCGTTTATCCACGTATATAAATCAGAAGAAACTAAGAAATTTAATGTGGTCAATTGTTAATAGTCTGTACAGAACTTTCCTTTAATCTCGATGTTTCACAGCAGGTAACTTACAAGAAAAGACCTTGAGAATGACATAGGTCACCAACTCTACCTTTAAGTCAGCTACTAGAAAAGGACAGTGTAGCTATCATTTGTAAAACGAACTTACTGTTACTTATGATGGACATATACAAAACTAGAAGTGACCTGAAACTGATATCACCTGGTATATGCAAGAAATGTTCTTTTAAACTATCAGCATGGAGACAGAAAGTATCAGATTTGAAAGTCCGCAGCTGTGTCAAATCAGGGGCGGATCTAGAAATTATTCTGAGGGGTTCTAAAACGTAAGGCTTGGTAACCCAGGGTGTTGCTATGCACAAACTCCGTACCCCTGCTAATAAGCCATAATGAAATGTAAGTCTTCCATAAACTAAAAAGCCTGGATGCCTTGATTTATATAGTAATTTTTGGTTTCAGCTTTTATGCCAATTGAACGCAATTTGCAGCTCGTCCTCTTATATTCACTTAGGGTACAAAAGTATAGAAACTGTAGTCAAATATGATATGATGGCCCGCAGTGGCAAAAGGCCCGAGCCCACAAATTTTCAAAGCAAAATTTAATTTTCGACTCTTTGCAGCCATTTATTAGAACTTGATCAGCTTGACCAAAAAAATAACGTGGCTGGTGGAATGAAGCCCTTGAAGTGCAGTGCAAAAGTTGAACACAGGGATTCAAACACAGCATGCATCGACATATGAAGCCAAACCAAACAAAGAAGGCCCTGAACGTTTCGCTATGGGCCTGGCGTTTTGAGTATTTTTATGTTTTTGAAATTCTTAGAGAAAAAAGTATTCGCAGGAATATAAGTAGGTATAAAAAGGAAACCCCTTTTGGTCAATAATAGTAAGGGCAAGTTTTTGAGATGTTTTTTATGTAGTTCTTGAATGATTAAAAAAAGAATAACAAGGGCTCGGGCAAGCTTTATCCTCTGAATATAAATCATACCTCATGGTCTATGAATAAGACGTGAAACACGGAGTTGAAACTTGAAACCGTTCTGTTATATAAACCACAGCGTTTACAAGTTCTGCCGTTACAGCATCGAGCATCAGGTAAAGATCGTCAAAAGATCCACGAAAACATATTGCAAATTTGCGCCTAAGCATTCGTCGCGTGCTGTATCATAATTCAACTCCCCCTGGTCAACCTCAACTCCCCCTGTTCAAGCTCAACTCCCCCTGGTCATAAAACCACTTATACATTTGACTGTAGATTGAAGCGAAGAAACTCCCCCTGGTTTGTCGGTATTCTTTGATGTTTTGGATTTTTGAAATCCATGGGTTCTCGCGCCAAAGTTTAGAACCCCTCGACCTGGCACCGTGATTGGCTAGATTCACTTCCACGGGTGCAGAAACTCGTATAATTTACAGGCCACGGGTTCCTTATGTGGCTGGATATAAGAGGAGACAATGCTTTCCGAGTCTGTAGAATGCTATACAGGACAACCAGGGGGAGTTTCATAACACTTCAATGCATGGACTGAAATAACAATGTTGAACAGTTGTGAGACGGGGCATCGAAGCGGAAATAACAATTTCAGGAGATGTGCATACTTCCCGGTATTATTTAAATGGTTTAAATAATAATAAACAAAATTGCGGTAGAATAAGCTTTAATCCCCAAAAAGTTTTTTCTCAAATCTGAGGGGTGCTTGAGCCCCCTTCGCACCCCACTGGATCCGCCCCTGCTCAACTCCCCCTGTTCAAACTCAACTCCCCCTGGTCATAAAACCACTTATACATTTGACTGTAGATTGAAGCGAAGAAACTCCCCCTGGTTTGTCGGTATTCTTTGATGTTTTGGATTTTTGAAATCCATGGGTTCTCGCGCCAAACTTTAGAACCAAGTCTCGACCTGGCACCGTGATTGGCTAGATTCACTTCCACGGGTGCAGAAACTCGTATAATTTACAGGCCACGGGTTCCTTAAGTGGCTGGATATAAGAGGAGACAATGCTTTCCGAGTCTGTAGAATGCTATACAGGACAACCAGGGGGAGTTTCATAACACTTCAATGCATGGACTGAAATAACAATGTTGAACAGTTGTGAGACGGGGCATTGAAGCGGAAATAACAATTTCAGGAGATGTGCATACTTCCCGGTATTATTTAAATAGTTTAAATAATAATAAACAAAATTTCGGTAGAATAAGTTTTTATCCCCAAAAAGTTTTTTCTCAAATCTGAGGGGTGCTCGAGCCCCCTTCGCACCCCACTGGATCCGCCCCTGCAAATGTTACTATCAAAAATTACATTCATCAATTTAAAACAGAGATATAATTGCCTGCTATGCGAGCAGTTGATAAATACAAACTGAAGGCAAAATATTAACAAGCTTTTACAAAATAAACAAATAGATGACGTAACAGAAATTAATGATTTGGATTAGGCTGGTGCTGTATTTGTTGCAGAAAAACTCAACATGTTAAAAGGAGAAGAAATCGATCAAAACCCGCCTGGGGGGAACGATTAAAGCAATAAATTAGGAAGCCGAATCAGGGTTGCAAAAGAATGAAAGCATTGAGTGAAAATTAATAAAACGAAAGCATGATTATAGATTCGAGCGAAAGCATCAAATAAATTAAAAGGAGAAAAGCACAGAATCTGGGACAGTAAGGGGGACAGTGAGAGAATCGTAGCTAAAGACGGCAAGCTGAAATGACACCAAAACAGCACCAGTCATTTCAATCAAAACCGTACCTTTCACAGCAACGAGGGGAAAATTCTACCAAAAATAAAGACAAGAGATTAACAAGATACCTTAAATTGAGAAGTGGAGTAAAGTTTCTGGAATGATACCTGGGATAACCGTGAAAGAAAATGTGACACAAATTGGTTACAAGATTTAAAAGAGGAGCTTTTTAATAAAGAGCAGCGGGAAGATTTGACTATTGACAGTGAAAATGTGAAAGTTATCGCACAAAATTGGGAAACCTGAAAGCGCCTGGCTTGATGGATGGCGTTCATGGGTTCTAGTACAGGAAGGTTTCGTCGCTCCATACTCAAACTGCTACACAGTTGAATAGACTTATTGTTGCAGGTGAGGTGCCAATCAGGACGAAAAAGGTGAGGACAGTTTATATACAGAAGGACTTCTCCTAAGGAAATATTGTTTGCAATTATTGCCCGATAACATGCATCCCTCTAATGTGGAAGATATTGACAGAAATAATCGCAAAACGGTGTATACAAATTGGAAGAAAAAGAACTGCTACTTGAGGAGCAAAATGAACTGCTACATATCGGAGTGGATCTAGGGGTAAAAATGATTTTCTGTATAAAAAAATTCTGAGGGAAGTAAAGACAAAGAAGCGAGAACTTTCGTAAGGTATCGGACACAGTGCCTTGCTCTTTGATCTTAGAATTGTCTGCAAATGTTGAAAATTGTTGGCTATGCATTATGGCTAGTAAAAAGTTTGATTAGCTCTTGGAGTCTCTATACGTTGATATTTCTCATAGCTCTGGTTCCACTTACCCTGATCCGTAGAAAATACAAGTGCGGATTTCTAGAACAAAAGATTAAATCAAACAACCGGTCTACATGGATGACTTGAAGCTTTTCGCAAAAAAGGTCGACATCTTCATTTTGGGGTTTCAGAAATGCGCGGTAGTGATTACAAAAAGAGGGAAAATGTCAAACCTAAAATGAGTATAGCTGAAAAGTAAAGATGTCGTTAAAGCATTAAATGCTGAGGAAGTATACAAAAATCTAGGAGTCTCAGAGACAGGTGAGATACTGAAAATAAGATGAAGGAGAAATTTAACAAATAATTACTTTCGGCCAGTGGAAGGTTATTGAATTTAAGGTAGTCAGCAGGAATCTGATAAAAGGATTTGCCCCTATTCAGTTTCTCTGATGATATATTCTGCATGGAAAGGGGCTTACAACCTCTGAGGAAAGAATGTTGAAAAAATTAACAAAAGGCTGATTAGAGTAGCCAAAATTTGGTATTAGGAATCTGATGAATCTAACGCAGGGGAGCCGATGATAAAACATGAACATTGGAAGGAGAAACTGAGTCACTCATTACTGCTGCACAAGAGAAATGTATTCCAACATATTGCATCAAGGCAAGAGCAATTATGACCCAGGACCCAGATAGCTTATGTCATATGCGTGGAAAAAAGAAGAAAAATTAATGCAGGTTATTTGTGAACGCACTAAACTGGCACAAAAAGAGTACTATAGGAGATATGACAGAAGTCTACTTGGAATTATTTAACCTGCTGGAATTCAAACAGACTGATAAATGGAATGAGCACACACCAGAAACTGTCCTTGAAAAGCCAGTTTTTGTGAGACTTTTGAAGTACAGACCGACCATTATATAGAAGCTAGAAGACCTGACCTTCTATTTATTGACGAAGAAAAGAAGAGATTGTGGACTTCGCAGTACTTGCAGACCACAAAGTTGAACTCGAAAGACAGAGAAAAAAAGGGAAATTCAAGACCTGGCAAGAAAACAGCAAGTATGGGGCATTACATAATAAAATTATTCATTGCCTCAATCACAGAATAATGATTAGACCAAATCAGAATCTGAACAAAGATTGCAAACCACCGAGTTGCTGAACACTGCCAGGATCAAAAGGAAAATCTTCGAGCTTTAAGGAGGCTTGTTGTTACTGGGGTCATTCAAGAAAACACTACCAACAACTGTTGAAATGAACTCACGATAATGATAATATGACATTTTATCGTCTTATTTGGAAAGATCCTCAATGCAAAGTATCAAGAAGGCAAAAGTCTGGTCAGGTGGGGTGGGCCATCCTTTAGTTGCCGACAACTTTGAAAATTTACGGACGAAGCACCACTAGATGACAGAAAACTTATCGTTTTTGAAATGTATTTTTCCGAAAGGGGCTCCACAACACCACACCTCCCCATAGCTACAGCCCTGGATATGGAGCTTAATATTGGCGCACAAAGGCACAAACGAGCGTCAACCATTTGAATTGTTTTGAGACGAAAACTTGACTTTCCGCCAAATCATACCAAATGCCATTGATGCCAAGATGCAAAAATTTACAATTATTTGCCCTCCTAAGATGCAGCTAAATTCTCACAGTCCTTATTTCTTCTCTGACTTTGCAAAACGTATTTTGACACAAATTTCAGCATCAAAACTTTCATGAAAATGAACATATTATTTCGCATTATTTTTATGTGGATGCAATCATAATCAAATTAAAAATCGCATATGTTATGCTGTTCATATAATGTATTTTTGTCTTTAAGTGCCAAAACTTTTTCACCGTAACCATTTAACACCTCAAACCTTGATATGTACTGGACAAGGTTTTCTAAAAATTAACGACTCGTTTTCGCTTTGAATGTATTATTGTTTTTCAAGAATGTTTAATATCATTGAGAAAATTCCTGGACAAATTTGCCGAAAATATCATCAACATAGCCGTAGATTTCGTCCCGCTGAATACTGTGCCCTTGAAGTGCCACTAGTTTCAAGACGTGCCACTCTTGTTAATATTTATTATCTACTGTAACATGAAGAAGCCATTTGTAAATGTTTACTGCTAAACTTTGCAAAACCTGCTATCGATACGAAGAGTGCTAGGTGTTTGAAGAAAAGAAGAAGATTTCGAAAGAAGAGTTTTCAATCAAAGGTGGAAAGCTGTTTATTCTTCTCAACACAAAACCCATGTCAGGTGCCGTTCAGTTAAACAGTCGCCGTTCAGTTAAACAGTCGCAGGTAAAACCAATGAGTGTTCACAAATATAAGGAGACTCTTGAGTTTGTTCTCAAATGAGTTTGTCCTCTTGGGGTACAGCGACAACTGAACTGGGTCTTAGCGACGATGTGTCTTCTAAGTCAAGATAGCAAGGACAAAGGTGCGCTAGGCTTACAGTCGTTGTTGGGAAGCCTAACCCAAGACATGTATTATATTTTGAAAATAAAAGTTAAGTTAACAGAAAGAATAAAAAATCAAGCTACAGGCACTTCAGTGCCAGAAACTCAAGGGATAAAAAGTCCAGGTAACCGAGCAATAAACTGTTTGCTCAAATGCGCAGGGTATGGATGTCACTGCAAGGCCTCTCGGAATATGAGGCCCCAAGTCGCAGTTACTGCTGCCCCCTAAAGATATACGATCGTAAATGAAAAAACCTGATGAGTGAAAGTCCAAGAAAGTGAAAGTTCACTTACCTTTGAAAACCAAACGAGGGCGTCCTCGTACTCACCCCTTTTGAACCTCAACCGCGCATCTTGCAAAGCAGTCTCCAGCAATCTTGCAGTTTCGATCTTTCGTTTCTTTTCATTTGATTTAAGGGACTTACGACGCTCTTTCTCGATCATTTCCATCCGTAAGCTCTCTTCGATCAGCTTCAAATTCCCCAAATTGTATGATGTCATTTCGCAAAACCGACAAAGATTATCGCATTACGGAGAATGACTTTACCAATTTTTGGGAGTCAATTTCGTTTGCGCAACCACGGTTTTCTAAGATCTTATCAAGACAAGAATTGTAAGTTTTGGTCGGCTTTCATTGAAGGCAAAACATTGTGGTCTCGTCTAAGCGCGTTTTTGAACTTTTCTCTGCAAAACTCTAATCTGCAAAATCAATGCATAATAATTTTCCAGCGAACTCACACTCTGCGGTTGGGAAACGCGAAGCAGGTGGACAGCGTTGGCAAACGGGTATGTTGATCAAGCGTCTAACAAATTAGTCCAGTTGCAAATTGAAAGAATTTCCTTATTAAAAATTGATTATTTCTTCCAATTGGCCGTAAATTTTAAAGCTATTGAAACCAAGAAATTTGTTTGACTGAAATGAGGTCATTCAAACAAACTTTGTATGCTGGGAAGAGTTTCTTTTCAGACGATAGCTTGTCTGGTGCAAAAACATGGCTCGGCACGTTGCATTATTCATAACTCTCTGCCACTGAACAGTCTTATGCAAAATGCCATTCTTAAACTAATAAGCAAAACCGTGAGCAGAAACTCACTTAGCATCTTAGGTATTGGTATTTACGCAGATCGATTACTATCGCAAAGAATTGATATCAATTCTCAAGCGAACTTTTAACAAACTGGTTGTTCTAGTCGAAGTAATATTGGTGCTGGGATTATTGAAGAACTCATACAAGGCCATTTTTACAGCTCCTGTCACGTGACCGCCGTGAATACATAAGAACGAGGTTGTTTATCCAAAGCAATAATAAATCAGTTACGAGCAGATTACAAGCGCCATTGGCGAAGCTTTGCATCAAATTAACGGGAGAAGGAAAGGAGACATGATGTGTCAATTGCAGTTAAAAGTATCCCATAATTTCATAACCACTAAAGCAACAAACGTAACATTGACAATTTAGGACATCTGTTCAAGATATCGAATTTTTCTAATATCGGCTATCAATCCTAGTTGCATCTAACATTGGTAAGATCATAAAACAGAATTGCATGTATAAGATACTGTAAACATATAGCATTGAGTCAAAAGCAACATTATTTGCCTTATCAAGGAGTCTAATCGAACATTTTAGAACGCCCTCCAAAATGAACCCCTGTATTTTACATACAGACGAATCCTTTTAAGGATATGCAAATGGTTGGCTGTTGGTACAATGAACCTTGGGTCAGAGATATAAAAAGTCAGATTGGATAAAAAATAGTCATATTGGATTTATGAGACAAATAGTTGCTAGTAGGCAGCAGGTCATTGTGAGGAATCTTTCTAAGAAGCACTCGACGAGTTCTCAGATAGGAAGCACTCCGCGTAGCACAGAACAGGACAAGTGCCAAAAAGCAGTCACACAATTGCTAAGAAAATTCACGTTTATATCCCAACAACAGTCAATTAGAGAAAGATATTTTAAAAGGGAAGTCAAAGTTTAATGGCTTTAATTACTGAATCGATGGTTCCCATTTTTGTTTTACAAAAAACCCCTCTGAGAAAGTGTTGCAATACCATTTCTTTTTCATTACGGTCTAGGCCAATACTCGAGGGTCGTTGTCAGTCAGATACTTTCCTTATATTATAATTATTATTTTATCTAAAGACAAACGAATTCTTTTCAGTAACAAACGAAATCTAGATTGTCAGTCACGTTAACTCTAGCTCTAATATTTCTATGGTCAAGTCAAAAAGTAAGTTTACATTCACTTCTGCTGCTGCCATGATTGTCGCTAAGTTGATTGGCTAAACAGTCAAATTGCCTTTCCAGAAGGAGCTGTCATAATCTTTCCATCCTTCATCATATATAACGTCGTCAACATGTCGAAGTTTAGGCTTAGGGAAAGCATAGTTTCGGCGTAGTTTTAGCGTAGTTTACTAATTTATTTTGTCTTACTGTTAATGTTACTGTTAAGAACGTCCGTTGCGTAATCACTTTACGTCAACATCATTAGGTACTCATTATCTTCCCTCGTTATTTCCATTCTCTGGTCACTCATTTGTCAAGTTTGATTTTGTGTTATTCTGTTGTCAGTGCTCGTTGTTTTTGTTGCCGGTAAAGTAATATATCTTCTTCTTCATCTTCAGTATCTGTCTTTGTTCAATGGTCAGTGTCAAAGCAAGTTTCTCTTTCGTCAACGTAATAGTAATTATTTTCGACTATCTAGTCAGTTTCACTACAATGGACGACAGTTAAAAGTCGTTATGGGTTCATGATCACTATCAAACATGTCTTGTTTATTTCTTATCGATGTTGTTAGCTCATCAGTCAGGCTGTCAATCCCTGTTCCCTAAAAGTAACCGGTCAATATCATCATCATACCTATCCGGTCAATATCATCATACCCATATTTCATCATCATCATCATTGTCGTAGTTCGTAAGTCGCGTCTACAGGCAGTCTGCTGTTGCTGCTCATTTGTTGTTGTTGCTGCTATTGGTAGTCCAGTCAAACTGTCAATTGGTTGTCATATAAGAGAATTGTCATTATCATCATCATCATATTTCATCATCATCATCGTCGTCATAGTTTGAAGTCGCGTCTACAGGCAGTCTGCTGTTGCTGCTCATTTGTTGTTGTTGCTGTTATTGGTAGTCCAGTCAAACTGTCAATTGGTTGTCATACAAGAGAACTGTCATTATCATCTTCATCATATTTCATCATCATCATCGTCATCTTAGTTTGTAAGTCGCGTCTACGGGCAGTCTGCTGTTGCTGCTCATTTGTTGTTGTTGCTGTTATTGGTAGTCCAGTCAAACTGTCAATTGGTTGTCATACAAGAGAACTGTCATTATCATCTTCATCATATTTCATCATCATCATCGTCATCTTAGTTTGTAAGTCGCGTCTACGGGCAGTCTGCTGTTGCTGCTCATTTGCTGTTGTTGCTGCTATTTGTAGTCCAGTCAAACTGTCAATTGGTTGTCATATAAGAGAACTGTCATTATCATCATCATCATATTTCATCATCATCATCGTCATCTTAGTTCGTAAGTCGTGTCTACGGGCAGTCTGCTGTTGCTGCTCATTTGCTGTTGTTGCTGCTATTTGTAGTCCAGTCAAACTGTCAATTGGTTGTCATACAAGAGAACTGTCATTATCATCATCATCATATTTCATCATCATCATCGTCATCTTAGTTCGTAAGTCGTGTCTACGGGCAGTCTGCTGTTGCTGCTCATTTGTTGTTGTTGCTGTTATTGGTAGTCCAGTCAAACTGTCAATTGGTTGTCATACAAGAGAACTGTCATTATCATCTTCATCATATTTCATCATCATCATCGTCATCTTAGTTTGTAAGTCGCGTCTACGGGCAGTCTGCTGTTGCTGCTCATTTGCTGTTGTTGCTGCTATTTGTAGTCCAGTCAAACTGTCAATTGGTTGTCATATAAGAGAACTGTCATCATCATCATCATATTTCATCATCATCATCGTCATCTTAGTTTGTAAGTCGCGTCTACGGGCAGTCTGCTGTTGCTGCTCATTTGCTGTTGTTGCTGCTATTTGTAGTCCAGTCAAACTGTCAATTGGTTGTCATATAAGAGAACTGTCATCATCATCATCATATTTCATCATCATCATCGTCATCTTAGTTTGTAAGTCGCGTCTACGGGCAGTCTGCTGTTGCTGCTCATTTGCTGTTGTTGCTGCTATTTGTAGTCCAGTCAAACTGTCAATTGGTTGTCATATAAGAGAACTGTCATCATCATCATCATATTTCATCATCATCATCGTCATCTTAGTTTGTAAGTCGCGTCTACGGGCAGTCTGCTGTTGCTGCTCATTTGCTGTTGTTGCTGCTATTTGTAGTCCAGTCAAACTGTCAATTGGTTGTCATATAAGAGAACTGTCATCATCATCATCATATTTCATCATCATCATCGTCATCTTAGTTTGTAAGTCGCGTCTACGGGCAGTCTGCTGTTGCTGCTCATTTGCTGTTGTTGCTGCTATTTGTAGTCCAGTCAAACTGTCAATTGGTTGTCATACAAGAGAACTGTCATTATCATCATCATCATATTTCATCATCATCATCATCGTCATCTTAGTTTGTAAGTCGCGTCTACGGGCAGTCTGCTGTTGCTGCTCATTTGCTGTTGTTGCTGTGCCTTTGCTGTTCATTTTGCTTGTGTTGCTGTATTTAGTCCAGTCAAACTTCAATTGTTGTCATACAATGAACTGTCAATTTTATCTATCTACTTTTGTCTCATCGTCACCTTCGTCGTGATACGTACAGTATAGTAGTTTTAGTATGTTTCTGTTCTGTTGTGTTATTGGTAGTTCAGTCAAATTTCAACTTGGTTGCATATTTAAGAGAACTGTCCATTCATCATTTATCATATTCATCATCATATCGTCGTCGTAGTTCGTAAGTCGTTTATCCGGCAGTCTGCGTGTTGCTGCTCATTTGTTGTTGTTGCTGTATTGGTAGTCAGTCAAACTGTCAATGGTTGTATACAAAAGAGGAACGATCATTATTATCCTCACCATCTTTTGACATCATCGTCACCTTCGTCGTGCGACAGTCACATCTATAGGTAGCTTTTAGTATGTTGTTGTTGTTGCTAACTTTTCCTGCTGTCGTAGCTCAATCGGATTGTCAATTGATTCTCATATAAGAGAAATATCGTCATCATATTTCATCATCATCATTATTCTCGCTATCAGTCTAAAGTCACGTGTATGGGTAGTCTTCAGTCTGTTGCTGCTGCTTAACGTTGCTGCTTGTTGATGTTGCTGCTGCTCGGTGTTGTTGTTGCTGCTGTTGTTGTCATTTGTAGTTCAGTCAAACGGCATTTGTTCTCATACAAGAGAACTGCTTTTATCAAATGTTACCAATATATTTTATCATTATCATCAAAGTCACAAGCAAGGTAGATTTTACTCTACTGTTGTTGCTGGTTGCAGTTGTCGTTGCATTTTGTTGTTGCTTGTTGTTGCTGCTGTCATTCTCTGTAGTTCAGTTCAGTCAAACTTTCAAATGATTCTCGTATAAGAGAAATATCTTCATTATATTTCATCACCATCATTATCCCCGTTGTTGTTCCAAAGTCACGTGGATTAGTAGTCATTAGTCTGTTGTTGTTTGTTTCTTCTGGTTGCTATTGCTAGAAGTAGTTCAGTCAAACAGTCAGTTTGTTGGAGTGAAGAACGCTGGGAAATCTTCAAAGGGAGAGGGAATCCTCCGTCCTGGAGTCGCAAAGCATTTGTAATAATGACTTCGTTCCATGATTATGCTCTTTAACACCCGGACAGAGGTCGTCTCACTTAATAAAAGACTTCTCTCGTTAGTCTCTCCAACAACAATAGGATCTCATACTTAATAACAGTCATTGTCATCATCATCATAATCATCTGTCATCACTATCATCACCGTCATCGTTCTTAAGTCATGGGTAAAAGTAGTCTTGTCTGCTTCTGCTGTGTTGCTGTTGGCTGCTGCTTATTCGTAGTTCAGTCAAACAGTGAATCGGTTCTCGAATGAAGGAATTGTCATGATATATCTTATAACTGGAAAGTCATTTTGTCCTAAATTCAGTGATACTATCACTTAAGACTTTGGTTATAATATTATATCATTGATATTACCTTCGTTTATTGTATCATTCCCTTCGTTTATTGTCAGGATGCTAGGTTACTTTGTTTTGCTGTTCAAAGCCAGGTCAAATCAGAATAATAGAAATCAAAGTGAGTAGAAACATAGATTTCAAAGGCAACTGTCGCTCACTTGAACTTCAGATAAAATGCAGCCAGGAGAAAACTTCCGAGACAGCCAAAACCGAGAGAGAAAGGAAACATGCTGCACAGCAAAAAACCAAACGGCAATATTGAAGAGACCTACAAAGTTTCAAGGATGGATTCATAAAATTCTAAATTTCCACTTTTGCGGTGAATAGCAAAGTGCTATGCATAAACGGCCGATTTAGTCAATCCAAATGGAAAGTAAACAATGTCCCAATTTACCCGACCTACAAATATCACGTTTGGCTTCTATAGTCTCCCTGGTGACGTAGAACTATTTTTAGTAATCATACCTACATTTTAGAAAATCATCTAACGTTCGGTGATAATAATATCTAAACAGGATAAGCTCTGCATCAACTCTAAATAATGCTGTCACTGAAACTGCTTCCATCAAGAAAACCGTTCTTTTGCTGCATTCATCGAATGCTTTGAAACTGAATCAAACCTCTATTCTGTTTTTCCTTTCTTCACAGCCGGTTCATCCTCAGATTGTTTTTCTTTGCTTTCTTTTGCATTGGGTTTCTCTTCCGATGCAACCTGCTCATGCTCTTCGTCATCATCGAACCTCTTATGCTTGCCAGTCGGTTTCTGTTCTCCGTTTGCAGAACCACTGCCAGCGGAATGCCTCGTCCTCTTTTGATATCTTACGGGCTTTCGCTTTCCTTTTCCTGAAAAATGGATAAAAATAAACGAGCTTCCAAGCATTATATAACAACTGGTTTGCTACGAAGAGTATATTTGCTTACTTATATCCGACATGGGGCTCATTGATGCAGTTGCTAGATGGGTGCAATGATTTGGGACAAACGAGGGACAAGCATTAACGCCTTTATTAATTTAATACATCTACCTAAGGCCCTAGTTAAAATATGAACGTTGAATTGGTATTCACTTCGAATGGGTCTAGTCGCAGCGGCCGATTCGTGATTTGTTGCAGCAGAATTCAATCAACAAAATATGTCACAAATCATCATGTCCATCGTTTCCAACCGATTGTGATTTTGTGGAGGGAACAAAAAATGTTGCAAATTGCGTAAAACAACATATCGTCCTCTCATTAAATGAAAATACCAAATTTCCCGCGGTAAACAGGTTACTCAAGTGCCTCAATAGCTGTAATAGATTAGGCTTAATAAAATGGCTCAAAATATGCCACTTTCCACCAAATACAAGGCAATTAATGATCAACTTGGTACTCCAACACCTATATGCGATCTTGCAAATGTTTTCTTGAACTTGTCATGTCGCGATTAACAGAACCTGTTACAAAACTTTTTGACAAAGCCTAGCAAGTTTCACAAGGGTTTCAAAGCTGCGAGATCGTCCGATAAAAATTTCCATTTTTTTCTTTCTTAAAAAGTTACTTTTTACAATATTTAAATCAAAATTGTTGCCAACAGTTTGAAGATTGTTTTGATTGGTCTTTAACTATAAAAAGACGTCTAGCTAATGGCTTCACAAAAGTGGTTTTATTTTCGATCACCACGTTGTTTACAACGTGGTCGCCATCACTCATTTGTCAAACTTGTGAAATACTTTTGCTGTGCGAAGGCAAGACACTGATTTTTGAGTTTTGGTGCTAGAGGAGAAAATCAATTCAGATTGAGCATTTGGCAACTGAATGCTAAAGCCAATAGCACATAGCAGATTTCCTTCTTTGAAAGACGAAGATTTTTGTCTTTTGCCGTTGAAAAAATTAAATCTGCCGTGACTGGTTGTCAAAGATTTTTGTCTTTCAGAGACAGTCTTTGAAATTAAACATGTCTATCATTTGTAGATAGTTTTTTAAAACTTCAAAATACAGTCAGCTTCAGGTCCCAATAATCTTCAAATGCCTTTGAAGGCAATCAAACGAGACGTTATAGCAAGCCGCATAAAAAACCTCTGGAAAGCATAATTAACATCACCGATACCTAGATGCATTCAAATTTTGACTGAAACCTCTAATAGTAAATTAATTCGCGCAGCTTGCGATTTCAAATAGTGCGATTTCATAATATCTACCATTAATAATGGATTGAGATTGTGATTTCTTAAATATATAGACTAAAAATCGTAGCAAAAATCGTACCGTAGCAATTGCAATCATGGGAATTTAATCTTGATGCAGGTATAAACTTTAGCAAAAGCTGTGTGCCGTTTCAAAAGAAAAGAAAAAAACTCCAATTACGTATATTTGAAAGAAATACAGTAACATCAATACCTCTTTTTTGTCGCAACATCTCTCTTTCTTTTTGTGATTTTTCCCAGAAAGCTTTTTCTTCGTCTCCTAATTAGTATAAAACAAAAACCACGTTTTCAGAGTTTATTTCTACATAATACCTAAGAAAGACCTATGAAAAATTAGACTATTTCGCATTTGGATGTGATCAAGAAAGCAATTTCGATGACACAAAGGAAAATCAAAGCATCAACAAATTCGAGTTTCACGGTGAAAAACAGATATACAACAACTGAAAGAGATGCATAAAACATAATGATACGCAGGCACTCACCTTCTAGGATACGAACTGTCGCTTCCACCCCTTTAATCATGACCTTGTCATCGTTTGCTGTTTTAACTGCATCGATGGCTTTCTGTGCAGCTCCTTCTTCCTTGAACCGCACATGACCCTGTCATGAGATCAAATGCTACTTATTCTACTCACTATTCTACTCAGATTCTCAACAGTCAATTGTTGATTTAGTGCCATTAATTGCTTGTTTGTAGAAAACAAGGTGTGTTGCAGAGAAGCATATACCCTGAATTACACAGCGCCCATTTTGTTCAGGTCAGTTATGAATTGTCAGGTCATCTTAATGGTAAATGTCAAAAATCGTAAAATGCTTTATAGAAGGCGTACTAAGATATCTTAACGCAGCATTGGAGAGACAAAAAGGAGCGCAGGTTTTCTTATTGCATGTAAAGCAATCACACCACGTGAAGATTCTTCGCTGGAAAGCGCATCAAGTGCAAGTTATTAGGCAAATGGGCTTGAGAGGTTGAAAACAGCCGCCGTTGAACGAGTAAAATTGAACTGATAGAAGCTTTGTCGAGCATAATAAAACATTGTTAAAAGGCTTTTTCAAGCATACATAAGTACATTTATGGTAGCACTGACTAGAGAGAATCAGTGGGCCTAATTTTAAGAAGGTCTTTACGGCATCATGTTAGGCCCCCAAAAAATGATGCACAATTTTTGCTACACGTTTTGCTTTGATTTTCACAACATGTTCAAATCATAAATGTAGGAATCAAAATGAATTGGACAATGATTTCAACGACAGCTTTCTCTGAGCTAAACTTCAAGGTAAAATGCAGCCAAGATAAAACTTACGAGACAGCCAAAACCGAGAGGGAAGGAAACATGTCCCGCACAAGGTTCTTTGCTACGCAGCGAAAATCAAACGATAATATTGTCATATTGTCAGCAGCATTATCAGCAGCATTATTTAAATACATTAAAACAGCTGCATTATTTAAATGTACGAGACTGAGTGACGAAATGGTAATGGAGATCTAGGATTATAATGACTGTTGATAATTATGATGATTATGACCAAGGGAAGTGCTTGATATGATCATTATATGATTGGATGATACTGATGATGATCAAGGAGTAGGACGATCAATGCTGATTACAACCAATAAGAATGGCGACAATAAATTATGTGATGATGATGAACAAGAGCACATTGTTCTAGACCAATCAGCGGGTTTGTTTACAAAATGTCATTCGACTCGAAATTGAGGCAGGTGATTGGCTAATGACATTTTGTAAACAAACCCGCTGATTGGTCTAGATGATGATGATGATGATGATGATGATGATGATGATGATTGATGATGATTGATGATGATGATGATGACGACTCAAAAAAGTTTCCCGAAATATGTAAATGGAATTTCGCGAAAGACTCGAGGTTCATGATAATGCTGAGAATAAGCTGACAAACCTCGGTATCGTTTCTGTTGAAATCCACCCAAGATATTTCGTGATGCTCTCCAAATAGAGCCTTGAAAAGGGAAACAAAAAAGCATATTAGAATCTTTTAGATATAAAACTTCTTCAAAGATATTCTGCAATGAATGGGTCCGGCAGCCTTTGGTAAGTGAATAAAGGAAAAGTAAACCATTGGTTGCAGTGGTCATAATTCACGTATTTGCTACAGGACTTTAGGAGTTTTAAGAAAATAAGTAAGCCTACAGCTTTATACTTCTTTTCTCTAGCGAGAAGACAATTGCTCTTAGCTTAGGATAATAAGAAAAAGCAAAAAAATGAAGAAGATCAAATAGACAAAACAAACATCGCTGTTGTAAAAACAATCTCAAAAAGCAAATGTCAAAAAATGATGGGATTCTAAGCCACATGTAATAAATTTGACAGAATCTTAAAAACAACTTTTTCATTATAAAATAAGCACAAAAGCCGTTATTTGATTAATAGAATCGTTGTCAAATAAGCTTTTCTACGGCGGATAGCAGAAAATAAATCAAAAAGGTTCCAAAAGCCATTCCTATTCGTTATAAAATACTTTTTAAAATTTAAACAAAGGTAAACATCAATGTAAAGACCTCGTTTGCATAGGATCATTAAAAAACACTACTATTAAATCGAACAATAGGAACAATTAATAGCTGGAAATTTCCCATGAAAAGCAATACAAGTTCTGATATCTTCAATTCTCACTGTTTTGTCTATGTTTTGTGAAAAACCACTTTAAGGAAACTACTTAAAGATTTAACAGTTTTGGAGAAATAAAATCATGTTGCTGCTACTCTGAAGGCAAAAATTATGTTTATCGCCTTGACGGCTTTAAATCCAGCTAACAGTTTTTCGAGTTTTAATCTGTTTGCAATGGTTCTTTGTCTGAAGATAAGAAAAGCATGAACCAAGCCATTTCAAGATTCATATACAATACAAGCAGTTTGTGGTGTATTTTTCCACTTATACATCAACTTTTTTTATCTTAAGTACTCTCTTGATAGAAAAATCAGACGTAAAATAAACAGTAAAATGGGGCATTAGTTTCAACGGGATCCTGGATGCCTAGAAAGCATAAAATGTGAAACATTTAAGGCGTTCACTCCTTAATGGGCAATGTGAAAAATGAAATTACGCTGATGTAAATCTTATTAACGGTAACTCCATATAATGTCAGTGTCAATTTGACTCATTTATAAAGTTTTAAAATTGAGCAGCCATTTACTACTGCTTTTTTGCAGATCCTTTTTGCTTATTTTCTGGATTCTTTTACAGAAATTTAGAGTAAAGTTCCCCTACAATAAAAAGGCCAAAAGAAAATTTCTCTATCTTTATGTAAACTTACTGAATATTTTTATAGATATCCCGTAGGGATGATATGTCTTACTCGTCAAAATATCGTGAGGAAATCTGTGGATAATTACCTTCAAGTCTTCACGAGATGTGCCTTCCCCTGCACCATTAAAATAAATCACACACCCTTTGACAAATGGATCTTCTACCTGCAAAAAATCGTGAAAATATTGTCTGATAGCTTTCTGGACAGGACATGAATCCCGGCGCTAAAAAGAGCAAGCAATTGTAATGTCAACAACAAATCGAGTGACTTAAACTCGAATTTTTCTGAGTAAATGAGACACAATAAAGCTATCTTGGTAGCCCTTTCTTTGTTGATTTACCTTGTTTACATCATTCATACGCAGTTAGCCATCTCATACCAAAAGTCATAGCATGAAAAGATTTATATTAATCAGACAAAAAACACGTACCTCTTCTTCTTTTTGGCCACTGAAAGAAAATAAACAGATTTTTTGAAATAGAAATCACAGCAAAAACTGGCCGCAACAGCATACTTCATTGCAAATGGACTTCAAGCACCGCTAAGCAGAATTATATAACCTTTAACCATAAACAGCTTAAAATGCTCCCGGGATGGTTTCATCAAAACACTGGCATTCCCCATACAAAAATAGTTGTGACGAATAGCATGAATTGGGCAAGATCAAAGGGACTCTCCCGACAGTATCCGCTCCATCCATTGAAATTTCAAAGAATGCATACTTTAAACAAGAACAAGCAAAAGGAAATGCCGGGGATTACATGAAAGATTCGAGTTCGGTTTCGGAATGGGAATATAGCGAAGAGTGAACGTTAAATTTATTAAAAATTGGTTGCTTCGCTTGGCTTAAAAGAAGAGAGCAAAATGACACACACGCGGAGGATCTTAACTTGCATGCTGAAAAAAATAAAATCAAGTTGGTTTGATTTTTTTGTCATCTGAGCAATTTTGCTTCCTCCAAAACATCACCGTGTCTGCATAGCATAACAACGATACATTTATTAAGCGATACATAATCACATAGTTAAAAAATCAAATTCAGATTTTGAAATGAAATTATGCATGTATGTTAATCTTATGACTATACACTTTGCCACTATAAATGAGCAAATTCCGAGACTTTGGGTTAAATGCATATCCTCATTTGGTATGGAAAAACCCTATTGGGCCTTCTGTGCCTAGCCTAATCTTAACATTATTACTACGTATAATAAATTAAGTAAAAAAACTTCATACTCAGTATTTGATTTGTTTTTCTTTTCACTCTTTTTCTCTTCGTCCTTTTTCTTATAATAGTCATCCCTGAAAGACGAAAATGTGTTATCAAGCATAGGCCTATGGACAAAGGGGCTGGGAGGACTGCGACCCTCTTATCAACCAAAATTTATCGCATTTAAGGCTCCATTCGGGCAGCTCCACACAAAAAAGCAACAATATTCTCGGTGAGGTATTTACAAATTCTTCCGATGAATATGTGGTCCTTGGGTATCTGGCAATTTCTATTAGCTGACGTTTAAGTTGTATCATGATGTCTAGAGGTTGTTTTGAAGACAGTCAAGAGGCCAGTATGTGGGAGTTAAAAAATCAATTTAGATTAAGTCAGGTTGGCAAAAAGTAAAAAAGATCTATGAAAGTGTGAGAGATGTAGAGAACACAGCTGCCCCCGACAATTAGACAATCTGGTAAAACTAAGGGGATCTCATGCTAGTTTATTTTCATCCTTCTTGGAAAAGGCCTAGTTTCACAGCTCCTCCACAAACCTCTTTAAAGGCTCCGGCATTTCTCGTATGAACGACACCTGGTGACCCATGGCACCAGACTGATATGGCTTCGAAAAACTTTTCTAAAAAATGTTGCTTAAAATTTGCGGCCATGCTTCAAAAGACTCCACCTAAATGAATCTGTTTGTTTTCTACAAGATAAGTTAAGGTAGACTTTCACACTTTCCAATAAATAAAATACACTCTTTTGTGATGGATATTTTTTAAGGTAATTTCAATATGCCATTGATGGCAGTTCAGTCTTCGGCATCTTTTCTAAAGAATTTAGACTTCTTCTTTCGATGTTGATAAAAATCTGATTAAAAAATCTTTTCAGAAAATATTCAAATATCATTTCAGAAACAAAATTTATAAACAAAAATTTAATCAATTAATTTTTGGTACGGCAAAATTTGGAGATGGCATGAAATAGCAGAAACATAGCATACTGTAGTAACTTTTCATCCAACACTCTTTAGAGTATAAACATCGGATAATGAACGAAAGTAAGCTGAAAATTTATATCCAAGTGTGGTTCGAAAACAACGTGAAAGGTAGAACGACGCCTTTGATTGGCTCTTTTGTTTTTACCAATCACTGACTGCTAAACTCTCACATAGTTGAAGAGTCAAAGAGAGAAAACGAACTCTTTCTGATTACGCAAGTTTGGATTGTTTGTTTTGATGTAAACATATTCTAAAACATTTAAAAGAAATGACGACATTGCCTGCCCAATGCCTGCCCAATGATTTTGGTTCTCTGCTCACCTTGTCATCTTTAATAGAACTGTATCTCCAATTTTTAGGTCTTCCATATCTAAGAATTTTTTTGCCATTTCTGTGGTAGCAAACTCAACAAATACGGAGCCTTTGAAATTCTCACCATCTCTTCTCATTTTGATGAAGATGGTCTAAAACAGAAGAAAAACTTTGGAACATACCTAGACATTTAGTGGCTTACATGACTGCCATTTGAAGACCAGAAATGGCAAAATATTAATCACTTGCAGCCAATAGTTCTTTATTATTTCCGATAAATAATAAAGAACTATTGGCTGCAATGATTTCCAGAATACCTACAATCAAGGAAAAAGGAACAACTCAAAAATGAAAATGATACTTGCGAATGAAAAGATATAATTTCATTCAGAGCTCAGATATTTCCTAAGAAACAAATACTGGTTTACAAAAACTTACCTCCCCTTTTCCTTCAAAGAACTCCTCTACTTGGTCAAGGGTGTAGTCAGTTGGAAATCCTTTCTGAAAACACACAGTTACATAGATAAGAAGCTATCCAGATTGAAACAAGTCATAAACAAATCAACTCTGGAATTCAAAGTTTTTTTACTGAGATGAGGACTCAACTCATGACACATAAAAGAATAAGGACAATAACAAAATCAATAGGTACAATACCGGACAAAAATGTTAAGACAAAATGCAATTTTTTTAATTTTCTACATTACCTTGCCCCTTGTAGTTCTATCATTTCTCCTTCAAAATCATGCATTCAACATTGAATTGGGGGAGGGGAGAAAGTTATTTTTTAAAGTAAGTGAAAATATAAGCTTTTTTTGAAAAGTCTCAACCAATTTTGTCTGGGATTGTAGCATTTGTGTGTTGAGAGCTTCAATATAAACTTTAATCTACATGTCTATTTATTATACACAACTTATTTATCATTAATTTACCTTAGATACATATTGCAAATAAATAAAGAAAACACGTTTGCTCATTGATAATGTGGGAATCAGGAAAATCTATCTTACCACATATAATGTTTTTTGCTTTGAGGCTTTCATCATAATGGGATCAAGTGTTGATGGAACCTCTTTCTGTGGGTTTCTTCTTATTTTCTTGTTGTCTTTATCCAGCTAATTATGATACATTAATATTAGAGTGCATTCTCATTATATGAATGATGGTCATGAAACATCAGAGTTTATTCTCAATATCAAGCTACTTTGTGCAATATTAAAATACTGTTTCTGATATTAATAACTAGAAAGAATACAAAAAAGTAGACCTTTTTAAAACGGAACTGATGACATGTCTCTTGTAAAATATATGCAAAAGCAGATAAATTTCTTATAAGGCCATTACTGATGTCATGAATTACTGTTAGCTTCAATTAATTATTGACTTTGTTAGATTCAGAAAGATACAGCATTCAAATCAGGTAGGGCATATATAAGCTAGATCTGACCTCCAGTAAACCAGTTTTTGACTTCTCCAGAGCTCCCAAGATCACATCAAAATCTGTTGACAATATCTGAAAATAAAATGGAAGGATTTGAATTGTTAGACATTAATTCTAAGAAAATATATCCACTTATAACAAGGACGTAAATCAGACATTGGAGACTTTCAAGAACTAAGCACAATGTAAAGAATGCAGCCTCTCCGTTTAAGGAGCACCTTGGCATGCTTGTGTCATTGCCGAGACGTGCAATAAATCACGCTCCTGGTTTATAAGAACCCTTCAATGGCGCTCCTTGTGTTTTGGTTTTGAATAGTTATTATACAAAGAGCCTCTTTCAAGGAAATTGTTATTGCCAAATTAAAGCAAACCCATCCTGAATATTTTTTCGGTCAATAACCAATAAACTGTCATTGTGGTTCCTGATTGTTATAATTGGATTTCAACACATTGACGCAACTTTACTCATTCATTCTTTCATACATGTGCATGGAGACAGACTTGTGCTTCTTTTGGCTTCTTTTTCACGACAGAAGTTTTTAAATGGCCAGTAATTCAAAGGGTCAAGCCATAAAGCTATCTACTTTTCGCAAGTATCGCAAGGACGAAGTTATCGGATCAAAGACCGAAAAATGGAATGGGAAGACAATAATGGTTTCAATTTGGTGTAAAGTTTGCTCAAAACACAAAAGCGTTATTTTATCAAATCCTCTTTGTAAAGGAAGTGCCAGGAAAGCAATTGAATCGTACGTCAATGGAACGATTTGATTCTTCCACTTCTTCTGACTCCGATTCTTCATCGGAATTTTAAGCTGGACATTGACAAACTGCAACAATAATGTGTTTTTTTTGTTTTTCGTGCTCTATTAAGTAGTTTGTTTAGATATTTCTAGGTACGAAGTATTTACATGCGAAAACATGCCGTTTTTGCCTACTTTAACGTAAATGTATTTTTTGGTAAAACACGCGCCTTTGCAAGGCGAGGTGTGCGTTTGAGCACGCCCCTGCTAAAATGCTCACGGAGAGGCCTGAGGAAGATGTGAAAACATTCCAAAAAAGTTAATGAAGAATTTAATCTTAAAAGTATAACTGGGATTTAAAGAAAGTAATAAGTACAAAGTTATCTTTACATCAAATATATAATATTCTTACCTTCAACCGGTTAAATGTAATGAGACATTCCAGTGAAACCCCTTTCATTCAATTAAGGAAACTCTTTTAAAAACACTCAAAATAATTGATGTACATTTTGCTTTTATAAATGCCTGAAGGTTCTGGAAAAAATAGCTAACATGAATTCTCAAAAAAAGGTTATTTTTAATGAAGCAAAGACAAAAGTGCAGGAAAAGGATACATCCATTTTCTTGATTAATCTTGTCTTGAAGGAATTTATCTCTTGGAAGATTTTTGTCACCAAAGTAGTACTGCAAAACAATAATATATATATATACTTGATTATATTGAGATTCTCATCCTAATTAAAAAAGCCATATTAAGGTTCAGGAAGTCTATAAATACAAAAGAGAAGATGGCAGAAAACAGTCAAAACATGACATACTAAAGTACTTTCACTTGACACTCTTCAAAATATAAATTTTTGACATTGTTCGAAAGAAAGGAGAAAATTTATATCCAGACTGGTTTTGAAAGTAAGGAGAGAGGATTACTTTACTGATTGGTTCTTTTATTTGTTTACTAATCAGTGGCCGCTAACCTCTCAACTAGTTTTAGTCATTATCCAACATTTCCACTTTCAAGAGCGTCTGACAACAAGTACTTTAGTATATATGATATTTTTCTGCTATTTTGCGTCATCTTCAAATTTGCAGTACCAAACACTTATTGAATTACAGAATGGTTCAAATTCTCTCTGTCTTATCATGCATAACTTAGCTATTACCTAAGAAAAATATCATCATTCGAGAGACTATTGCAACATTTTAGGAACATTTACTAAATATTCATTCATTGGCTTGTGTTGCTTTCAAATCAGTAAATCTAATCTAACAGGAGTCAGAGTACAACAAACAGGAGTCAGAGTACATAAAACAGGATTTCAAAATGTTATTCTGTCTCTGTTAATTATATTGCTTATTCTTGAAAGACTAAATGAAGTATGCAATGTGTAAACAATGATAGAGATGATTCCCTATGCTTGAAATAATTATCTATTGTCTGGTCTTTGATATTCAATGGATTTCATCTTGGAATGAAAACTCTTCAGGGGCAACTCTAGATTGAACTGAAAGAAGAAAATAAGGAGCCAATTGATTGACAGCTCATGAAGGACAGGTGCTCTTTCTCCTGAATTTATGGGAGAATGAAGGCATATGGTGGGATTGCCTGAGATTGTCATAAATGATCAAGTCTGGTAGTAAGTGTGATGAGTTACCTTAGTCCCTTCAAATTTAGCCTACCTTCAATTTTGGCTCCCTTTAATTTTTGCCCCCTTTAATTTTCGCCCCCAAACCCTTTCAATTTCAAAGCTTTGACCTAATCAGTTTCCAAGCAATGAACGTTCATGCGGCATGGACTACATTCGGGCCTCTGAAAAATCTTTTTTTCAGAGTGCTTGGAAACTTTTTGCTGAAAAATCGCTTTTGCCATTTTTTCTTGAATTATGGAGGCACTTTAGAAGGTTGTGTACGAGACAATAAGTATAGAAGATCGCCAATTCCTAAAGGTGGACTCGAAATACCGATTGTACTAATCGTTAATAAGGGTAAGGCGCCAAGCTCTGTCTTCAATCAAATGAAAGAATATCTGCAAGACTACTATATTGAGCCAGAGAAGCTGATAGTATCTTCTGACCAAACTGAAGCCGAGGAGAGATTGGCCGCTGATGATCTGGACGAATATGGCCCTGAGGAGGAGAACACTTTGGAAATGGAAGAACAAAATCACCCTTGCAGACATTGGAGAGGACAATATTATTGTTATCGAAGATTAATGGAAATTATTTTGAAGTACAGAAAGGCCCCTTAAAAAGACATCATCTTTGTCAAAATTTTAAAGATTAAGAAATCTTTTTTATGACCTTCAGTATGGATATTTTTCCAGAAAGTCACTAAATGAGAACTGTAACAATGAAAGCAATCATCGCAGGATGAAAATTTGACCCTCCGGGGCGAAAATTGAAGGCAGACAAAATTTGAAGGGACTAAGGTATGCCATCCATGACATGCAGAGATGTAACAGAGATCAATGAACGAGAAAGGCAGCAAGGGGAAGTTGACCTAAATGGCAACAGTCAATTTCACTACAACATAAGTCAATGAGTTGATAGCATAATTGTGCTCAAAACTGCTGTATCAAATAACATATACCCTGTTGATCCCAGGGTGGAATCAATGTGAAGCTCTCGCTCGATATACACCAATAAACAATAGAAAGACAACGTGAAATTGTTAGTCTATGCAGAATATCTCTGGCGTAAGCTACATGGATTCCACACTGGTGTTGATCACAGAAGGTTAGTACAATATATTTGTTGTAAAATTTTGATAGTTTGGCTAATATCAGCTTCTTTTCTGCTAGCTAAAATCTTTATCTTTCTTTATCTTTATCAAAATCTTTATCAGCAAAAACAAATGTTGATTACAATATACCAAGAATTAAAAGTTAGAATACAAAAGTTAGCAGTTTCAAAAATCTGGTTAATTAGGTACATTAGATAAATTGGTTTTGTTATGCTGAAGGACACATGAGAAAAACTCGCGAGGAGCTATCGAGTCATATGTCCTAGTGAGGTATTTAAACTCGATATTATAATTTCTCATTCAAAGCGATTCAATTTGTTGAAACGAAATCTAGTTTTTGAGTGCATATTACATTTGCCATAATTTTATAGAACTTATGTATTTGGGGAGCCGAGGTGTTTTTAAAAGTGTAAAGAGAAAAAAGCTGTTTGCTTTGCAAGTATCATTGGATTTTACATCAGGCCTTCATTTTCAGATAAAAGTTTTAGGCTCAAAACGGAATTTTTAACTTTTTTACTCTTCTCGCAAAGCTCAACCGTCCAGCTTTTGAAAATATTGATATTACCAAAGATCATTTAGCTGAAAAGCGACAGATTTCTTACAAACGTGAGTAAATAGCAATGCAGCAACAACTAGGACGCACATGCACATGGACGCGAGAAGTCAATCAAATTCCCGATCATATCCGAAAAGATTATAGAGATTACCTCGACCTGCCGAATGATTTTATTTTCAAGCTGGTTTGCATGAGTACTACTGTCATTATTTCCACCTTCACCCATGGTTTTGCGTTCTTCTTTGTCCTAGACGTTTGTTTTTACCGTGGACCCTACGTTAGGCCTTGTTAGCATGCTTCCATAACGTTCAAGAGAATGCTCCTTCCCATGATGCTGAGTGATTGCGAGAAACGAAAGTGTTGTTGTTGTTGTCGATTGAAAGTAAAACTGTATTCTTTTGGTAATGGTCTCCTCGCTTTAGGTATATCGAGCTAAAATATTCCACCAAAATTGCCATAATAGCTTTTAAAAGGAAATACGGTATTTGATAAAAATAACCGCGATTGCTGTAACCTTCATGGGCTTACAAATAAGGGCCCTCAATATTTTGTCTATTAGGGGTCACCAAGAAAATCTGAGGCAGAATGTTTTACTTTGAAACATTAATCAACGCAAAATATAACATGTCAATAAATGATTTCACCAACATTTCACTGATAAATTTTCCCATTGCTCTCAATTTGTAAACGTTTTCCATTGCTCGTGATATTGGTAATCGAAATTCCAATAGATTGACCAAATCCATGTTTATTGAGAACTTACGGGTTCTACAGTTGCCTAAAGTTTTTACTATGAGCCACATACAGCACCAGCCGAGGTAAATGACAGTTAAAAAGAACCAAGTGACACAGACAAAGTATTCTTAGCGGAAGCTGGGTATTTTTAATGACGCAGAAAAAGTGACAACGTCTTTAAATCACCTTAAAGAAACCCTAGTGACAATTTTACTCGCCTACAAATATTCACACCTATTCTGCTCTACACTATCATATTGCTAGTAATGCAAATAGACTAATGTAAATACTACCTATCTACTCTACAGAGAATCTTTATAATCCTATAATGGATACACATTACAATTATGCGCATGACAGCATTTCCCACTACACATGAAGCTAATCACAGATACCCACTACACATGAAACCCAACCTATATGAAAGCATACACGAGTCTACAAATAGGAAATCTTACCTAGACGATAATTTAATCAATTACAGAGAGAAATGAGATAACTAAAATTTCTTATCAAGTTAAGGATTGGTTCACTGATGATTCAAATCTAAATCGTTAAGTACGTCAAAAATGATAAATCATAATGAAGCAGCGCTATTTGAGACTGGAAACTCGTGGCGAATGCTCAATGGTGGGAATGAGTGGAACCAGCATTTGCTACAAAGTTGATTATTTACCCTTATTTGAAAGCAGGACACAGGCTCATAGGAATTTGGAGACGGCGAAAGGTCATTCCTTACCCCCCAAAGCCTTCACATACCTTCTAATGATTGGCCCTTTGGACCAGGACACTATCAAACCTGCCGGATTTAATGCAGGGGGGAATGCTCCTTTTAATCTGCAGTTGATATTATTCTCCTGAGAGATTATACTTGAATTCATTGCGCTTACGTTTTTTGTTATCATGTTACTATAAATTATTGTATGCGTCAAACCCGCTGAAGCAATCATTTCAAAAAACCACTATGGTGTTTTGGTGGCTAACGTAAATGCAATGATTACTCGTATTTGAATAGCAGTTGACGCAAGCATGATCATACTACAGGCATCAGAATAGAGACAACTCGAATGCCTTAATAAAATTTTTTGGCAATAGCAACTCGCTCCATGGCCAGCAGAAGGAGGTTTGCGATGTTGATTTCAGAAATACGACATACACGTTGGAAGAAGTGATGTGCGTCCTCAATAGAATGGATTCTTGAGAATCTTTCCAGTTCGAGAGTCGTACGCGTGACGGCAAAAGAAAACTAAGTTTGGGTCTGTATTTGCAAGGGGTGTAATTCCAGGACGAGTTGACTCGGTAGGAGGCACCGGAGATAAGGGTGCACTTCTTGATTCCCTGTATAGCTTATTCTTGGCTCTAAATCTGTGGAAAAAGTTGGCATGAAATTAAAAAAAATCACAACAATCTGATTTCATGCAAGATATTCTTCAAATTAACAACAGCAGAGAAATGAGTTCTCTATCAATAACGTGATGGGTTTGACAAAGACTATCAGGTGAATGAAACCAACTGCGTTTAACTGTAGCAATTATTGAAATATCGGAACCATCGTCTGTCAAAATGAACATTAAAAGGCCAGCATAAAATGCTCATTGGGGTTGCTCCTCCAATCATAGCAAAGCGTGCATTCTCAACAAGATTCGTTTAGGAGCAAAATAATTTCCAAGTTGTATGGCAGCCTAATGAAGTGAACCCCTGAATGGGAATTCTAGTCCCATAGGTAATAGGTTACACAAAAGTGACGAGGTGAGAGACGAAAACAAAATAGGCTTACCTGCAGTACTGAGGGTAGCTGAGTACATAGCATTTGTCAACAACACAAGCAGCACTATTATCATCACGATGGCGAGATGCAAGGACTTCCAACTGATAAGAATGAATAAAAACAAAACAATTAAACAATGCAAGACTCTACAGTTATAACAGAGAGAAATGTAATGGAGCTTCGTGCTAATTACGGGGGCTGACACGACTTTAGGAAAATAGCTATACTACGTCATAGATAAAGCTACGGGAAGAATTAATTTTCCTGCGCAGAGAAAGCTTTTTCTTCGCACATCAAACAGATAAAATCAAGTACCAATACTTAGTCGTACTCAAAAAAGTGGGTGGAAGTTTACCTTAAAACGATAAAAAACAATGAAGTCCTTCTAGAAGAAGTCTACAACACCAAAAAGCCGTATATTCAAAATTGGGATAAGTAAAGCTCGTCGTAAAAATTTCAAAAGTGTCCAAACTTTAACACTGTACAGATTGCCTTATTTACCAATGTCCACTTTAACAATGGACCAAACAATTAAGCTTTTCTTCCAGATCTTGCTGAGTTTGGATTTCATAAATGGATAAGAGCCTGGTTAATCACTCTGGCATAGAGTAAAACGAAAAGGTGTCAGTCGAGTGTGAAGCTAAACGATAGAAGGAGGGGAATTTTAGAACACGTCGACTTGAATAGCGTAGCCTGATTCAAGTATTCTTTAAAAAACTATGGTAATGATGACGTAGTGATTAACTGATTCCATTTTAACCTTAATAATTCGTTGAAGATTCACAATATAATTGTACTGAGTTTCCTCCAGAATGGTGTTTGTATTAATTTGCCTTACATTCGGTTAGAGATAAATGACATGATATGGATATAATGTTTCGTTACACAGCACAGCAAATAGTTCTTGGCTCTTCTAGCAAACAGCAAGTTTGAAGAAGTAGATTGTTTTGGAAGTCGTTGCATGTCATTTGATTTACGAATTTGCAAAATATTGATAAGCTGTGACTTTATTACCAAAAAATAAAATAATAAATACAGCGAAGAGCTAAATACCTCTCCATGATAACCTTGTAACTTGCCGACTTCAGTTTGTTCTGGGCGATAGTACCAAAAAACAGATATCATCATATCACCAGCTAAGTCACCTAAGGAAACGAATGTTCAGTTGGGGTGAAAAACAGATTTTGTGAAATGACTGAAGCTACAAAAAAACAACTGCTTAAAAAGAAAAGGCCGAGAAAGTCAAAAAACAGTTGAAAAAATCTATTAATTTCGAAATCTCAAGCAAATTGCAACAAATTGAGGAGCAAAATAAATGGTTTGAAATCATCAAACTATCATCTTGAAATTAAAGTCCTCCAGTAACTAGGCCCTGAAAAATGCAGGCTAATTCAATGTCCTTATCAAATAATGTCATCACTTATGATTGGTATCGTGGTTGATTGAGAAAACGATGCATGGTGTTCAGCAACGTTGAATGCAGAAGGGTATTAAGCATAACATGGTATGAAAGAGCACGTCAGCTAGAATATAGGAATATTGCTAACAGTCGCGGTTACAGAAAGCACTGAGCTGACAGACTTGGCCGAAATCGCGCAGGAGAATCTGACCTTTAAAGATGTTAGCAGGACATTGCTACCCCCAGATGAATCGTCAGCCAAAACATCACAAAAATATGTATTAAGTTAGAGGTATTTCTATAATCGATATTGAGGGAAAAGTCCACTTTACAAAACATTGTACAAAACAGTAAGTATTATTATTTGATTACTGTTCTGACAATCGTGATCACACTAACTAAGACCAACATTAAAACACATTAGAGACTGCATAAGAATGTCAGTTGCTGCAGAATGAGCGGACAAGATTTACTTGCAAGAAATTTCGTATTGTTCATTTGAACAATATTCAAATTTTTGAAGCCTTTGAGGTCTTGGGTGTTTTATTTTAGAAGCAACAGAATTTCAAATTCAGAGCCTCCTGCACGCTTAGCAATTTGAACCCATAATTGGTAGTTCTGGTCGTTGGTATCTCAAGAGGGTTGCCATTCTTAGGTCATAGTTTAGACTATTTAGAATTAATTTTGAAGAATTTAAGTGCTCAGAGCCTTTCAAAATGAACATGGACGGTAGTTTGTTTAGATTGAGTGTTATTCATACGATGATGTGTAGTCACTGCGTGCATACAGTAGAGACCTAAGATGATTTTCGGAAGTCTAGGACAAATGCACAAACCTTCATCTTGTTCCCATATAGCAGCAACCCTTGCAACAAATGGCAGGTCCTTTTTCCTTGGCCCTGATTTCAGAAGAACTGCATCGCGCACGTTTATAACCTCTTCATTGCGTCGCATACAAGGATAGTACCTCCGAATAACAATGCGATCCTCCTGAAGAAAATCAAATAATTTTTTTTTAGTAATCTGGGGAAAACACCTTCAGTGATGCATGCATCATATTGTCATTAAAATGATGATGGTGTCGGGCTATTGGTTATTAATTAGCATTACATTAAAAAGCAGCTGGTGTATTTATTAGATGCAAATATATTTGTTGTTCTGTAGTGAAGCAGAAATTGCTGTGAGTTTAACTCTCCAACCTGCAGATCTATAACTCTCTAACCAGCAGAAAAAGTTTCTTTTTCAAGTTTCACACGAGGACAGCGTTTGCAGTAGGAAAAGGGGATGGTTCCGTGCTTGAACACGCGACAATGCGTTTTCACGTGAAATCATGGTTCCATACTAGTTGGGCATTCCAAATTGGGCACGGTTCCGTATTACTTTGGCTTCGTTGAACAAGCGCAAATACATGATTCCGTTCTTAAATCATGCAAGTTTTTTGCAGTTTGAAACGGTTGAAAACGGAACTTATAGTTAACATGGTAAATGCCATTGAAACTAGGAATATGAAATAGGAATCACCGAACTCTGTTAAACATCTTTGTAGTTCGTCTTAGGATATTAATGGAAAAGGATCAAGAAATGCATTTTGCCTCCTTTGACAACTCATTCAAAAAACAGCTTTTACAAAAGCAAATTTCCAGATTCGTTTAACTTAAACCAGAAAACTGGAAGGTGATAACGGAAGTTGGCATTGACGGAAGTTTATTTCTCAAGTTGTATTCACAGACTACAAGTGGATTTTTGACGATGTGTATTGACAAGTGGCCTACGCCAAAAAGAGGGATAACCCATGAAAAGAAAAACATCTAAGTTTCGACATAAGTAAAATGTTGTTGACCCAGTTTTCGGTTATGTTAACTTAAATTTCAAGCCATTCTTCTTAAACAATGTAAAATGAGAGAAACCGTGCTACAGAAAACTGGCCTAACTAAAATTCCTTGGCAGAAGGTTTAACTACAATTGAAACTAACATAATGGATACTCACAAACGCAACAGGCTTTTCCACGGGCTCACCTTCGAACACCCATCCATTAATTATCTAAAAACAACAAAATATTTTGAGACCCTTTACAAAATAATTCATAAAGTAGAGTCGAAGAGTTGAGAATCACATTGAATTTGATTAACCTCAGAAAAGAATCTGATTACGTGAATCATTACGTGATTAGGAAACAATAATTAGGATTGCAATTCGCCCAAGAGTTTCAAAAATTGAATAGTGATAAATGCAACAAATCATTCGATTATTGTACATATATCAGTTAGTTCTAGAAAAAGCGACTAGAATAGAAAAGTAATGCCAAGGGGTTGCATTATGCAACAAAGCAGAGATACAAAATATTATTTGCATTATGTTAAATTGAACGTTAATTTCTCGTTTGCTTATTTATAACGTTGACAAAAAACAACAGAACAGTTATTAAAACATGCAGTGGATTTAATCTATAAAAGTACTAAAAAACTTTATTTCAAAATCAGCTACAGAGGCGACAGAGAATTATTACCACCCACTGCAATATCTTTTTTCAATCTTAAATTGCCATTTTTAAGTCATTTATATAGGTATAAAGTGCGCTTCCTACTAACGGAGTAATCTTTACACAAAGGTTAGAAAACTTTTCAAGACAATAATAAGAAGTAATGAAACAGAAAAATATATCCATCAATTTGAATGACATACATTTTAAAGCAAGACTAGAGGAACTGAATTGGTTGATACAATCTTGATTTTTGATCAGACTTTTAAATTTTTTTGGATGAGCTAAAATTGCTTGATAAGAAATGCAGATGAAAATCGCTACTGAATGAAAAGCCTTGCAATCTCATGTGTTGGGCGTAAACAACCGCTTCTAACAGAGAGGGCTGGACTTGCAAATGCACTTCGCCCACGCCACGCCTCACAAAAAGATTATCAAAATCATATGGAATAATAAGGTTTTTATATCTTCAAGACCAACTGAGCAGCTGGAAAATTTGATGGCTGAATAGCTGCGACTTTTCTGCTTTCATAATAATGTTTTCCGCTTAAACCTTAAAAGATTTTGAAGGGGATTTTTCGGACCGGATCTCTGCCAACGGGCTTATTACAAAAATAGCCTTTAAATGAATCTAAATATTACTCAGATCAAGGTCAGAGATTTTATTTAGAATAATTCACGATAATATAATCATATAAAATTACCTGCATATCTATATAAATCAATGCCAATTACTTTTATCTGTAAATAGGAAAAACGAGTAGGTACCTTGTTGCCTTGCCGCATGGCTTGCCTCTTTCCTTCAATAATATTTTCAAGTTGATTTGTTAAGCTTTTCATTTGAGCAGCTTTAATAGGGTTCATAACTTTACCCTTGCTGCCGACACTGAAACGAGACGTGGAGGTGGCCTGGAAACTAATCTTTGGAACTCTTATACCGCTGGAATTGTGTTTTTCAAACTTTGCTATGTCATGCGTCCTTGAGGCCTGGCCAGCAGAATAATTAAACAAAGGTCTGTCTAGAACTTTCATGGCATTCATCATCGCAATAGCGTTCAGACTAGCCATTCTTTTGCTACTAGGAGGGTTTATGGGCTGGTTTGCAAAAGCCTGAAATTCACACATGTCTGTGTGTGCCAGTAAATGCGTTTTTGTAAATGGGATTGCAATAGTGTGTGTTGTTGTTTTTGTACTTATGGAGCTGCAAAGAGGAACATTCAAAGTATTTGTTGAGATAGTTGGTGGAGTACGATAGACAGTCACTGGGGTATCCGAACCTTTCCAGCCTTCTTGCATAATTGTGCCCTGGTTTGAAACCCCGTTTTCTCTGAAAGAAATATTTTCCAAGTAACCACAAGTGCAACTCGAAGGACTATTAGCAATCGTAACATCTTCAAGTAACAAAATATCTGTTTGGACGGCTTTGTGATTGACCATAGTTTGCACTGCTTTGTCCTTGGTCATTGTGCTCTCGTCTTCAGAAGTCCAATTACTTGTTGACGAAACTCTACTGTCACTAATAGGCTGATTATCGTAAAATACTGCAGATTGTTTGAATACGTCACTAGGACCGGACAACATCCATTCATTATTATCTCCTTTCATTGAGGAGAAGAACAGAATGTCATCAGTTTGGGTCACACTAGAAGTGCTTCTCTTTCGCCTTTTGTCTTCTTTTGGCCTTGTGCCGTAATCCGCTTTCCTTGTTTGGGCTTTTTCTCTAATTTGGTTCAGTGTTTTACCTGCCATCGGGCTGTACGACTCAAGAACAGCATTAACTTTTGCAATAGCATTAAGACTTGCCATCCTTGGTGTACGTTTCATCGGCACCATTTCCTCGGGTGGTATGCCTAAATCAACTTTATCCACAAACCCGGTGGATGTCTGTAGCTCCTTAACAATTGACATACCAGCTCGATCTCCTTGGTCTCGATTTCGCTTCGATTTAGCATACTTACCAAGCATACTTAAATTCTGCAAATCTCCTTCCGCATTGTGCTGCACTACATTTTCCAATAATTGACCTTGGAAACCAATTGCCAATTTCGGTTTCTTTTTTGGAACAAAGCGTTTTCGTTTTCTCTTTCGTTTGCCTTTTGCCAAATCGTTTTCTAAAGCCACAGTAGCCGCAAGTTTTTCAAAGCCACAGTAGTCTTGATTTTCTAAAGTGCACTCCCCCTCCGAATCAGACAATAAACTGACGTCACGGCTTGCTTTCCCCGTGTCTCCCTCATGCCTATCTGAGGACAGGTTTTTCGCGCCTACGTCGCACGATGAAGCGACTTCGGCCTCTTTCTGGCCCAGCAGCCTTTCCGTAAATCCATTTTCCCCGGAATACCTTAATTTTCCCGATTCGCTTATCCTGTCCTCGGGCAAACGATCTTCGTTGTAGGACAAGTCTTGTCCGCCAATATCATCTGACAGCATAGTATCTTTACTTCTAATCGCGTCGTCCCGCATACGTCGCCCGGCCACGGAGAATTTAGTGTTTCTCTTGAGCCCCTTTGATTGTCTTTTGAAATCGGCAATATCCCGTTTTAATTTTTTCGTTTCTGTTCTCCTCACACTTAGATCAGATCGTCGCAGACTTCTCGGGGTAGATGAGCTTCGTGTGGCGCGTTCTGCAGGGCCATGGCTTTTCGTTTTTTGTTGTCGTTGCTTTGAGGAAATTCTCATGGCACTAACCTGAAAATACAAATTACAGGACTTAGAATAAATATCAAGGCTGCCAGGTGTTTCCTGAATTCAAATTTATTTACTGTTCCTGAATGTTACTGAGTTGATGAAGAGAAAAGAAAAACATGTAGGATGAACTGTGAAGCAATTAAAACCTTCAATGGAGATTCAAGAGCAGATGTGGTGTTTTGAGCACCAGAATAGCTGATTGCATAAATCATTAACAATGCAACCTAACTGTCTGAAAAACAACTTTGGAGAGTGGCCTGTCAAGACGAAATCATCCCACCATTTCTATAAAAACTGTTTCAGGCAAAGTCGAGCCTGTTCGGAGACCTGCTCAAAAAGCTGCCTCGTTCCCATCTACATAAATTCACGATAGCTAGTTGCCAACGCAACCTTTTCAAATCTTCCTTACAACGTCCAGTTACCAATAGCAACAAATCACAATGGAACCACTGTTATCAACAATAAGAAAAATCTCTTTCAAAACACAAACAACCTAAAATGATACATAACTACTCACTCATCACCATCAATTAATTCGAACCAACTAAAATGGGTTCCACTCTAAACAAAATGAGCTCAATCAGAGCGCACAAATCAAGAGGATCTCAAGTAAAAACAAACTCAAACAAAATTCTGCACTTATATTTTATCAAAAGACTATTCAAACCTTTGCTACAATATGTTACGATTGGATGGAGGTAACATCCAAAATATCAAATTTACCGCAATTCTTCAATCGACCCCTCTGTCGATACCAGGGGCGATAATTGCAGGGTTTTTGGGGGGGGGCGGGTTGTCAGTTAAAACACAGTTCTCAGTGGTTTTGTCGTAACATTTGTCATCTGTCGGCAAATTCGCTTGAATTCGGATATTTTGTCCCTCCATCTAAAAATTGAATTTCCGAATTCGTGAGGAATTTTACCGTGTATTTTTGGACTAAATTACTCATGAAGTTTCGTTTTCTACATTTACCTTGACCGTTCACACTTCTTGCTTCATTTATATTCAAGAAAGAGGCGCTAATTTGACAACAATCGCAGTACCTGTTTTTGGAAAAGGGGTCCATAGATAATGTAATGAGAAAGGGGAATTTAGGAATATCAAAAAATAAAAAAGATGTATTTCAAATGTGAAATAGGCAGGGCATCTGGCAAATGATTTTTTAGAAAGAATATTTGCAAAAAGAACCGCGGAGGAAGCAGAAGATTGCGGGACAGTTGGTCCGTTTAAGGATCAGTCTTTCCTTAACTCATGTCTGTGTTAAGTCTCACAAGCACACGATACTTGAAATGTTTCTTATCAAAATAATTTCATTATCCGTAGTGCTTTGGCTGAAAATCACATGAATTTCGAGAAAGGGGAGTTCCCTTGGGGGCAAAAGGAGTTCCCTCGGAAGCAAAAGGAGTTCCCTCGGAAGCAAAGGGAGTTCCTCGGGCTTTGCAAAGAAGTTACAAAGACAGGGCTTCTATCGAACAGTTGGGGTTAGAGTTAGGGTTAGGGTGTTCTATCGAAGCACTGTCGTAACTTCTTTGCGAAGTCCAAAGAACTTAATTTGCTTCCGAATGAACTTCCCGAACTTCTAGGACCAACGTGATTTTTTCAGCCAAAGCATTGCTAGATATTCGAGTTTGTCAGCGCCTTTGGAATCAGAGCGAGCTTTAATGCCCAAATATTGATTGACAGTCTTACTGTGAAGGGAAGATTAAAAATGCTTTGGAGGGGAAAAAGAAGCAAAAATGAAACTGGTGTTGGTATGAACCAGGTTAAAAAACAATCAGCCAAGCATGATTACAGCTAGAATTGTTCCAAAAATGCCAAAACACTGTTTGTCTAAGTTTTCGCTTGTTGTGATGATATCGAGCCATCAGTTGAACTAGGAATCTGATTGACAACTGATAGACAAGAGACAGAGAGACACAACAACAAATATCATGCCATTATTTAAGAAGGAAACATCACTGCAAGTGTTCTTAACAATTCTTAAAGCTGGTTTTAGGAAGCAAGATGGACACTTGGTCACTTTTGAAAATTCTAAGAAACCTGAAGCAACTGCAAGCTGCAAAGACCCCTCATCAAAAAGGGTCTGAAAGAGGTTAAAATTATGCAATGAATCAAATTATGCAACCCTAGACTTCAGTGTCTTCAGATTCTTACAGCTTTCATTACCATCTCTATATCAAAATGGCTGTGCATTTTCATTACGGCAAACTATGTTTTAGAAAAATTAACAAAATATTTCTAAACAAGAATTAGTTTACCAAACATCTCTAGGAAATATTTTTACCTAGGTTTTGCTGTGTACCGGCAAAACCTTCAAGACAGCAACTTGATTTTTCATCCAAATTTTACAACATCAAGACAAAAATTCAGCATTTTAAACAATTCTGCATTGAGTTGATTTAACTTGTTTTCATTAAAGAGGGTTTCTTTCAAAATTTGATGTTTATTACTATCATAAAAGGGCTCAGGATGTAAAAATTGGATTATTTCCAAAATACTGCTAGAAAATTGACTGGGTGGGTCAATAAACATTGTGGTATTAGGATTATTCTTAAAGGATTATTTAAACGAAAACTAGTTTATTGGTATAACATAAACATTATTGAATTGAGTTTTGAACTAAAAAGCTTGCAAATGAAAAATGTGGCTTTAGCAGTGAAGCTTCTCTACTTATAGGAACTTCTTGGTGTATTTACTGGTCTGTTGTTGAGACTGCATTTGCCAATTAATTAAATATTTCATTCTTTTCTATTTATATCAACAAAATAATAACATTACTAAGCACTTTTTTTCCAAATCTTGTGGCAGGCCTTGAAAAATTAAAAGCTTGCAACTGTGCAAGTCCTGCAGGTTTTTTATGTCAAGCTCATTTGCACATTTGCATGACTTCTTACTTATTGAAAGACAGTTCTTCAGGACAGTTACAACATAAGACCAATACATACCTAAGCCAATTAACCCTGTTTTATAAGCAATGGATTACATGACAGATGACATTTCATTGCCTCACAATCAGATATCCAATCATCAGAAAGGCAATAAATATCAGCCTGGTATTTCTTAAAGTAATTCAATTATTCTGATAAATGAATCTATCACATAGGTTAAAAATCAATAGACCTCAAATAAATGAAAGACTGTTTATAGACAGGAGTCCTTTTCTCGTCTCATTTTCTGGCTTCTGAAATTATTTTGCAGATAAAAACATGTCATTGTTTCTCCTAATGCACCCTAGTCTGAGCCAACATTTTCCAAACTTAAGTAAAATTCACTTGGAAAACTCACATCACCATCCATGATGTAGAATGTTTTTGCTATTATCACGTGTTCTTTCAAATCATAAAAAGCCAATGGGAACATTAAGAACACAACCTAAGCAATTGACGAGGGGCAGACAAATAGAACATTAACCATTCCATGTAGAAACACACTTAGTGGTGTTTTGCTCGATTCTCATATTGGTTTTGGTTATCTCAAATATAAAGATATCTGTATTTCTGCTTTTCGTGATCTCATTGGGCCATATCTACAGAGCATGGTAGATTAAGGAGATTTGGTACATCTCAAGGTACGTGTGTGTGAGCAAACTGGCTGGATTTGTGTGCAATGTGGGTCTGTGTGCCTTTTCATCAAAATGGTTCCCTTGGATTTCCCTAGACCTTCAACAAAAACTTACAATGAGAAGGTTCTGTGTGTAGAAACCTATTGAAGAAACTGTATCTGCTCTGTAGGTTTGCATATGCCATAAATGAAACAATCAATTGACAATAATTGCAGATCTTTCAGTGTCTAAAATAGAAAAGATCTTGTTGCTATGCATCTCTGGAACTTGCAATCTTTATCTCTTCTTGTAACAATAATTTCCAAAAAACACATCCTTGTGTCAAATGCTCATCCAGGCAATTTCCGTTTTGTCGTTATCACAGCAGATACCTTCTAATCGTCTATTATTTCCCGAACAAAGAAACTATTTAGAATTCCCAAACACCGAGGACCATCAATTTTGAGCGCCAAAAGTTTCTACGAATCTCTTCCAATAAGTGGACGACATGTCATGCAGAACCTGCCACTTCGATCTTAGTAAGAACATAAAAGTAAGTTATATTTACTGTTTGAAAGTGTGTCTTACCCCAGTGTGCAATCAGGTGCAGATAGTACTGACCCCCTCGTATTTCCGTCAGGGTATACGTATCGTTGCGGTGTCTTGACAGTGGATAATTTTATGATCTAAATACCAACTTATCTGGTCTATGGAAGACTCTTATAAAAACAAAATCACAAAACAAACAGCTGAAACGAAGAACGGATAGATCTAATAACTTCCTCATTAAAGGGGAGAGCCCCGATTAGGAGTTCCTTTATCAAACTCTTACCCTCTCGGATTTTCTAACCTCCTCTCGGGCACGCGGTGCTCTAATTAAATGGCAAGTTGCTGTGATGGTCAGGGCCTGATTTCTTTCTCAACCAAAGCATCAATCGGCGTACCATCGAAGGTGTTAATACTACGATCAAGAATCGATATGGCGGCAGTGAATGCGAGACGATTGGGATCCTCGATTCCCTTGTTCTCTCCCTGTCCTTGCCTTGTGTAGCTTTGTTCTATCGACGTGCTTTTACGGCTTCGCGAGGTCCCGGATGTAAGTGGATCTCACTCAGTTGAATTGTATTGAATTGAATGGAAACTATGAATGCCACTTTCTTAATTGCCCACGTGTTAGGCTGCGCCATGAACAGAGCACATGGCCTTGCAATTTATCAAAACATTTACAGTTATTTCGAATTTTCACTATCAATAAGACACAATAATGTTCCTAACCGAAATATGTAGTTATAGATAGTTATTAGCGAAATATTCAATTTAGATTAGTTTCTATTTGATGCAAGAAAATAATGAATTAAAATAAGATTATGATTATAAACGAATAAACAAACCAAGCAAAAGCTAGATTGAAAACGGGAGAAGTAGAACCAAATACCAAGATGGAAGTTTTGTAAAGCTTCAAAGATAAGCGAAAGAAAAATTTTCTGTCCGGGAAAGTTCTCATAGGAAGATTCTAGCTTTCGATATCCGGTTGGACCTTTGGAGTAATGTGCCATGAGGAACTTGAAGGGTCAACTTATGAAAGAAGTAAACAACTTTGGCATTATTAGCATCGATTAAATGTTATGATGCGCTTCGCACCGAAGTTGATGTTGTGCTTTTAGCACAAACCTGGAAAATGAAGGATAGAAAAATGAAGCTCCTTTGTGATCTAGTACCTTTTTGTGCTACCTATCAAAATCTTTACAATCCCTCCAATTTCGTTAGCCTTGCCCCACCTCTACTTTCAAATTCGCCCTTAATTGTGTGAAATAAACATTTACTTTATTTGAATTGTAAAAAGAACATTTATATACAACGGAATTTAGGTAGATAGGGCTAGTGGCGGATTTAAGGGGGGGGGCAACTAGGGGCAGTTGCCCCTTCCACGACGAGTTGAAGCAAGTATGGTGCCCCTTTTTTGGAAACTGTGCGCCCCTTTTGAAGAATGAGAATCAGGTGAAAAAGTTTCTGAGACCAGGTTAATTTGCTTCAAGGATTGCTTCAAAGTTATGTTGTTTATTCCGAAAATGGATCTGAAATTGTTGTATACAGCGTTCTCTCATCATCAATTTTTGAAAATTTTCCAGTGCCCCCCCCCCTGCAAACTGCCCCTCCTTCAAGTTTGTTCTGGATCCGCCCCTGGATTAGGGGACTGAAAACGTGGCTCCTTTTCACTGGTTAGTCTTCTCATACCCCATTGTCCAGTCCAGAAATGCCAGGTGTAGTCCAGCAGAATGGTGAGATGATAATGGGTTTTGAGGTAAAAGCAAACAATTTGGCACAATTATAGAACTTGGTATGCTGATCATAATAACAGAGATATTTTTTTCTCAACGGTTGACATGGCTAGATGGACAGGTGAGTGCCCTTCACGATGAGCGCGCAAGAAGTTGAGACAAAATGATACTAGAAAAAAATTTTGCAACAATTGATAGCCGTCAAAAGTTTCTAAACGCGATTTTAAGCAATATATAAGCCATAATTGAATTCAGTTGAGAATGTCAAACTCTTTTAATCTTGAAAATACCAAAGCGCAAAGATTTTTTCACTAAAGATATTAAATGATTTTTTAATTAAACGAGGAAAAGTTAAATGATGTTTTGATGACGTCGCAATGATGTCATAATGACGTCATTGGTCTCAGTTTTAAAATGATCACCATATCAAGCTCTATAAGTATATCAAATTATATGTTTTTACCTGAAAATACAATTCAACCATTATTTTACACCATTCTGCTGGACTAGTGTTTCACTGCGTTGTAGCGTTGTATATGAGGCATCGTTCCGTATGTGTGTATTGATCTTATTAGAATTAATATAAATATATGCGTATAATTCTTTTAAAAATAAGGCTTCTAAAGATAAAGAATACTGTTATATTTATATATGCAATTGTGTTGGTACTTGTAAAAAATCACAATGAATTCAAGGCTTTACTGTTGATAGGTTACTGTACGTTGCAGTACAGTAAAGTTGAACTTTCTCTTTACTTTTATCCCCAAAACGAACTTAAGGTAAAATGTATCGAAATAAATATACAAATGTTGAATCAAAATAGCTCTGACTCTTATTATTTTTTTATATCTTATTATTTTCTTATTATCTTGTGTACTATTTATTAATGCTTATGGTATGATTTAATCATAAATCCAAGCAAATGGTTTTCCTTCTTTTTATACTTTTTCGCAAAGGCTCTTTGTATTTATATTTGCTTCTACCTAGCATCTGTTGACAGTTTTTAGGACACTGGTTAGCTATGCTTATCTTGCAGTGTCCTAGTCCTTCCTCTCGATGTGACCACACCTCGTGCTTCCAAGCACCAAAGATACTCTTTGCAAGCACAAAGCCAAGGAAGGGGGAGAGAAGCACGGGGACTATTGTCCGCCCAACTCGAATATTTGCCCTTCTGTGCCAGTCCAAAAATTCAAAGATGAAAACAAGTTTTGTCTAAAAACTGCGTCTTCCTACATGACTGTCGAAAAAAGTCGGTGAAAGAAAAATTCAAAGACTCCACAAAAAATAATTCAATTTCAAAAATTCTTTATCAGGTGCAAGATTATAAGCCTGTATCAAATTCTATATCAAGTTCAAGATAGCAAATTTTTGAAACTTTTTCAGTACCATTACTTAAGTTTTCAATACTGTTACTTAAGTTTTTGTCTCCAAATAACAAGCAACGAGTCCCTTTGCTTCGCTAAGTTGACAAGCCGCATTTAACTCGGCATTGGTCACCAGGGACGTCGCTAAAGGAGGGCGCTTTCTCACATATTTTGTCCGTCAGCACATAATTTTTTCTCACCCTGTAGTATCACAATTTTGTGTAACAGTTGTAACGATTTAAGATTTCTGTAGCAGTTTAACTTCCAAAGAAAGCACTAAAGTACTTCAAATTGAAATTTTAGATTCTGGATATTGAAATTACTTAACTTATGGCCAACCCAAAAAAGTATGATTCGCTCTTTTTGTCAGAAGAAATAGTACCGTACCCCTCCCTCCGAAAAAAGCTTTTAGCTTCGCCCTTGTTGTCCGCCCACCTTTTCAGTGCTGGCTTCGTGCCTGTGTGATTCCTGCGCCTGGAATTGTAGAAAGCTGATGATTCCCCTCACACTGGCACCCCAGATCACATGACCTGTAGTCCACGACCCTAACAACTGAGTCATCATTGCACCTTGGAACTCTAAACTTGCACTTTTCGCAAGCCACCTTGTAATAATCTTATCCTATAGAATTTATCAGTTTTCTATATCTATCCATTTCATTCATGAAAAATGTAAACTTTTTTACCTTTGCAGTTGCAGCCTTAACAACTTGTTCTTTAACAACAAGATTTTCCAATTCTTTTTAATTATAAACATAAATAAACAAAATGCAAATACTTGAGTCTTAGAGCAAATACGTCAAAAATGTGGTTTCCTACTCTCCTACATAACACTGTTTCACAGCTTTCTGTTTCACTAATTTTGATATCGTATCCTATCATGAAAAATCGAATTCTAGCGAGTATGATTTTTAATCATAGACAAATCTATCGTTTCTTTAATCCAGCACTCCAAATATTCAAGAACGTAATGTGATGTGAAAAAGGTTGCCTTCCGTAATGTGAAAAAGGTTATTGGCAGTTGTCTGTTGACATTGCTACTGCTTTAAGACACTAAGGTAAATCCGTTTTAAGTTGTAATATGTCCCCCCCCCCCCACCTCATGGAAAACAGGGTCATAAAGCTCTATATCAGAATAATTGTCTTGAAGTTTATAGCTCCAATTTCAATTCATAAACCAATGGTATTCTTCTGCAGAACTTTGCCCTCATTTGGCAATTGTACATCTCTAAGATTAAGTGTCATTTCAAACAACTTTAATGGCCACAGTTTCTTTGAATAAAAAGAAACTAATTGCCAACAAGAAAGACAGCAAAAATAAAACAAATAAATATCAACGAACTGTCCAAAGGACTTTGTCCTGAGAACATACATACATCTTGTACATACTTACACGCCATTCTATGATAAACTTTGTCCAAAAGTGTTAGCGACACAATGCCCGCTTTTCTATCTTTTTAGTCGGCGCACTATCTGAAAGAAGTCGACGTTATAGCCCTTTTGTTAATAATAGCGGTTTTCTCTCCAAATTGGCTCAAATTAATCTTTAACAGCTGGATACAGCTCAGGCTTGCTTCTACATGCATGCCTTAAAAAGGAAATTGCATTGGTGGTTCACTGTAAACAACAGAAGAATATAAGGATCTCATCTCATACTGACAAAAAACTGGTTACATATAAGAAAAGGGGGACAAGAAACTACTTTCCTAGAACATATGCATCCAATCTTTAGATGACACGCAATTTAAGAGTCTCTACAAATCTCACTGATAAAATTCGGAATCTAAGTGGTGAAATCTAATCGTACATAAAAGTTTGGGTTGCCAGAAAGCGCGACAGATCCGCAAAAAATCTATCAAAAAACGACTAGAACAATGCCTAACAGAAAAAATCGGAAACAGATGAAATCTCTTAAAAGGAGACCAAAGCTTTCAAAATACGTTGAAACACATTCAAAGGCAAGTCTGTGTCCAAATAGCATCGTTATATTGGAGGTCGATCAATTAATCAATGCTTCAAGTCGATTATTATTTATTTATTTATTTATATTTTATTATCATTATGAAATTCCTTTAAGTTGATTTTACATAATACGTATAAATAAAACTAATTCAGACAAACTATTTACAGTAATCGATCGATCAGTTCAGGCCAACGCTGGAGGTTGATCAATCTGGAGGTTTGCGAGATTGACACTTATCATTTACATTTGATCCCTAATAAAGTCACACATAAATAGCCAGCAATGTATTCTGGCTCTTGTGGGGGACAACGTAACGTGAACTTCCTAGAAGAGGTGGTAAACATAATGAAAACAAGACTTCTGGACCCTTACACCCTTTATAACAGGCTTCTTTTAATTCAACTTGTTGGAATAAAAATTGTTACAGTGATTATTTCTAAGTAACAGTGTGCGTCTAAAACTTAAGTTAGTTTACAATAGCAATTACAATAGCAATGACCCCGAAAACACGCAAATGTATATTAGATAAATCGACCATTAGAAAATGGCCACAAAGTCTCGTTTAGCATAAAGCCATGGCCCAAAAACTGTGCCAAAAAAGTGAATGAAAGTTAAAATGTAGCTTAGAGGATTTTGGCAGAAATATCAATAAAATGAGATGATAATTGAATCACCAAGTTTGACATTTCCAGTCAGATCTAATTACATTTGAAAAATAATGCGATAAATTTTATTTATGCCATTTTTCTTTTATTATAATTAACAAATTATTCCTATCCTTTTGAATCCTGGCCGATCCACGGGTTAAAGGTCTGTCCTCAAAAATTTAGTAGACAGTCTTTAAAACTTTAACTACGTATTTGCCCTCATAAAAAATAAACCCTCCAATTTCGACGAGCTGTAGTAAAATATCTGTTACGTTCAATTAAATGACTTAAATCTGGAGTAGATGATAAATCTGACAGCTATTACAATATCTGACAAGAGATAGCTTCCGTTCTAAAAATCAAATAATAATCATAGCTTAAGATAAGATAAGATGTTATTCTTTATAAGCACTATGCAAGCTCAATATAATTAATATAAACTCTCCAGGAATCTAGTTATATACACTGTATTAGTTATGAAAACCACTGCTAACCAGTCAGCTGTAAAGTGCTCGATGTATTAGCAAAGCTGTGCACGCTTTTGGTTAGTAGAACACAACGATTATGAGTTGCCATCAGGGCTTGAAAAAAGATTTTTCTTCCTGTCAGCAAAATAAAAATTTCAAGATTTCCTGAGAAGCTTCAAAAAAATTTTCAGCCACTGAAAGTGAAATTTCAAGTTGCTTGATTTGTTTTCTAAAAGCAATCATTTTGTTTATACTTTATAAGATGATCAAGGAGATGTGATCGAGCACAATAATCATAGTTTGTTTTCAAGGTTAAAGTTAGAAGATCTGAAAATCTATAATAACTTTGACTTAATTTCATATCAGTACTAGCAAACTAGATACTATTGAAGTATTGATGTATCCTACCCCTTGCCCTGGGTTTTATGTTTGCTGCTCATTTTTATCATCATTTATTAGTTCATACAACATGTAAGAATACTATTTCATTTTTCAATGGTTAAAATCAGGGGTCGTGCTAGAGGCAAAGATGTAATCCCAAACGCTTACATTCTATTAAGCTAGCGATGAAAAATGTATGCGATTGCCAGTAGAAAAGTATGAATAATAATGGACATATCTGCACAGGTTTTGGGGCACCTTCAATACAATTGACGTAACAAGACTGGCTGTCTTTAAGTGTTTTTACTTATCTAATGGCTAATGTAAAAAGAGAAATGAATTTTGTTTTAGCTTGATTGAATTTGATCAGTAGCTGAAAATCATGCCAGAATTGCCGGAAATCTGGTATAACAGACGCTGATAATACCAGATGATTGTGTTTTGAAAACTAATCTTCGTTTTTTGTTAGTAATGCAGAACAACAATTAAACAGCGTTCCGTAGAAAGAGAGTAACGTTAATTTTATTTTCATATTAAAATCAAGCAATGGAGATTTCACTCTTAAAATTTCCTGGCAAACAGCAACAATTTCCTGCAATTGATTTGCGCTAAACATTTCCTGGCAGCGCCACTCCAAGCGTATACTATTAGTCATGTTCATTCTTCAAAATTAGGATAGAAATGTATTTTCCTCTTTCATCTGTGAGTTCTTCTAGATTGTTAACTGTGTAAATACTAATTTCTGACATTACGGTTTTAGATCGCTACAAAAGCGAAATACCAGAAACCTTCCTTTCAAGTGCATTACAACAATTAACTTGCCCTGACATCTAATCTGTTAAAAACTTCCCTAAGATTAAAAGTAGTAGGATGCTTTATCAGTTCATTTTTGGTCAAATAAAAATTTTTTATTGTGTGTATATTGAAGAAAGAAACAAAGAGAGTTATATAAATTTGCCACATTGTACAATGGCTGTTTCACTTTAATACAGCCCAATGAGCCTGTTATTACCAAAATTACATAACTAAGAAAAACAATCAACACTGAAAATAATTTTTAAGAGCCATAAGGACTTAATCTACTGGATTCCACTTTCTTGCAACATTAATATGCTCTAAAAAACTCTTGGTGTTTTTAGTTGCATGTAAACTGTCTAGTCCAAGAACATCTGGTCCTAAAGTTTTTAATCTATTTTGCTTCTCAAAGAATTTTCTAACTGATTCCTTCTTCTTCATGACAGCGTGCCCATGTTCCTCTTCCTGGAAAAAAGCAGTTACAAGAATAACCTTAAATTTCTTGTTGTGTAATGTTTGTCTTTACTTTTAATGACAAAGAAGGGAGCAATGGTCAATTAAACAGTGAGAATCTTTACAAGAAGACTATGCCTATATAGAAACGTTGCAAGGAATGCATTTACATTTGCTTTATAAATATTCGGACAGAAGGACTCAGATCTCTAGCAATACATTTTGCACCAAATTATATGTGAAGAACTACACAAAGAATGTTTAGAAGGACAGTTGAAAAGAGCAAGAACTGTATGAATCAGAGCTAAATCTTAAGCTCTGTACTTTCTATTATCAAGATCTTTTTGCTGTACATGTGAAGGGTTGGACCACTTTTTCAAACCATTTGTGCAGGCCCTTAAAAGATTTAAAAAACGCCTTTCCAAGAAATAGTGCAGTTAGTGAAACTAACATTAAGGAAAATATTTTCTATTGTATGCAGGTCAACCAACCAAGAGGTCAAACAAATTTCAACTGAAACCATAAACTAAAATTTCTCAGTCTATTTCTTAAACATTAACATTGGCTTAATTTCAAACACTTTATTTACAAAGGGTAGATTTTTTGTAATTTTAGAAACCAATAAGAAAACTGTAGTCAAACGCACAGGGGCCTATAAGCATTCTTTACCTACATAGATACAACATTGATACATAGACCTTGCTTTCATTGGCCCTGTCTCCATGCTTGCTGATTCGATTTAGAATCTTTTTCCAAGATGCATGTCAAGAAGTAGATTCAACCAAAGGATGGCAAAATGGAGATTTCAACAATACTCACAACTGTCAAATATGGAGTAGCAATCATTTCTTCAACTTGGCGGACTAACAAGGCTCTTTGTAGTTTGTTGTATTTCATGTGACCAGTCACTTTTCTTACTTTTCTGTTTTTTCTGCAGAAAGAAGGAAAGCCTCTGTAAAGATCCGTGGCTACTTGGAATAAATCAGCTGGTTTTAGTTAGACAGATGTCATATAAATAGACCTATTCATTCAAGTTATTGTATGTCTTCATATTATAAACCATAAATTGATATACCATTTGAAAATTACAAATGAGATGTTGTGTTAATAAAGTAATAGAATGTAAAGTACTCCAAGCAACACTGTGTGTACGCTTATCAAACAAACAGAAGTATAGTGCTTCTTTTCAAGCTGCATATTAGAAATTTCAGTGCTTTTTTTATAAAAGCCCTTGCAAAGAAGAAATTGTTTCCAATCAATTGGGAAAGCGTGCAATCGATATATATTCAGTGATTGGATTCAGTTACAACAAAATGTAACAGAAAATCTAGAAAATACTAACATAAGCCCTTGAAAGTAAAAAACTACACGATGCTGCAGTATGCAAACCATTCACAAAGTGCATACTGCTAATATCCCATTAAGGTGAGTTTGTTTTCTACAGATATTCTAAAAAGCATTGTTTTCAGTGATTTTCCTGGGCATGTTTTTCATCCAATGTTCCATATCCAATATTCCAACCATTTTTAAAATCGCTTTAACTGCCATGAAAATATTCTAAGTGCTAATATAGTTCAAATACTAAGTGCCTATAGTATTCCAAAACATTTTTGTTGGAATTCCTTTAAATGCATTTTTCCATTGAGATCTGGTTAATTCAGCTTGCTTATATTTCCTTTGTTTTGATAATATATTTCCTTTGTCTGATGGCTTTGAATCGTCTATGCCACTAGCTTGGGTCACAAAAGATGACTAGAAATGCGTTAATTGATGAGCGCGAGCGATCCAATGCTTGTATGGTTGGGTTTGCAAGAGTGCTAACAGGATCACGAGTAATCACTTGCATCAAATGAAAAGGCCGGCAACAAAGAGGTGAGGCAAATGGAAAATAGCATATGAGATCTGAACATTAATTGCGACTTGCAAAGCCAATGGAAACTTTATGGTTTCAACAAAGAGTCTGAACATATCTATTATTGTTTTTACAGATACAAGGAAGACTTTGGCTAAAAATTTATATCAAGTAACTTCTCAAATTCACATATGAGCGGGAGAAGCTATGTAATGATCCTCTAGGCACTCAAACAATCAAGCCCGTAAAGTTTCTGAGGAAAGTTTGGAGGCATTCGCAAAATGACATTTGGAAACACATCAATTCCTTATCTGTTCCCATATAGAACTGGCCTAGGCCCTTATCCATATATTACTGAATTCAAATGAATATGATACAAAATCATATATGCTGGGATGTGGTCCAAAGGGTACCATCCCTTTTGTCAATGACAATATGGAGCTGGAGTCTTCTTTTGCTTTTGTTTTTGCAACATTTTGTTAGTGTCCACCTTACATACCGAACTGGCTTTCTTTACACAGGCACACATGGCTATGCTATGAAATAGAAGTGGCATAATGGAAACCGCTTTATGTTAAGAATACAGATGAACAAGGAGGTCTTCAGACAAATACCTTTTGCCAAAGATCAGTAGTGATACTGAAAGAGTTCTTCCAGTGAAAAGGCCTCAATGAAAACAAGAATCAGATATTTAGAAAAACTGCACATCTTTGGCGAGTTTATGTATTTTTCATAATCTTGTGCTTTTTCTTTCCTCCATTTCAGTTGTTATTTAACATTCTTCCAAAGAACCCTCTCAAGAAAACTATATTCAGAGGTGTGAAAATTGCCTTTCGGCAAGGCCTGAAATTACTGTTATCAACTTATCAATTTTTAACCTGCTGCTGTTATCAAGTTAATTATGCAGGATGATTAGATTCTGAATTTTCTATAGTTTAAATCCATCCTATATCCATACTCTTGCTGTGCTGCCTTTAGCTTGTTTGTAGTCTTCTTAAGCCTATTGCTTCTTTTCTATTGGAATCTTCATTACAGAAATGCAAGCAACACAAGTTTCGTTTTTCCTGGGTCACATATAATGGTAGTTTAACTGTATTTTAAGGTTGCATGGCATGAAAAAAGTTGGATTGAATTATTATACTACATGAAGTCAGTGGCGTAGCGTCCGGGTATTCAAGGTATTCAGTGAATACCCTGAGATTTCTCAGAAAAAATATTAATACGACGTATAATTGTAATAAGTAAAAAATGTTTTGGGGCTATTGATTCTGGTTGAATTCGTTACCTTCGATATTCTACATTTAGTACAAGTACAAAATATCACGAAATTCATGGAAACAATAACGCTGCGAAGCATAGAGAAGCTGGGAGATCTTTGAAGCTAATTTTGAAGATTGAGCTACTTCATGTTGTATGGAGATCGGTCATGAATACGCAGTGAATACCCTAGACGGTACTTTAACCAATCAAAATGCTCCTTTCCATGAATAATATTTGCCGTTAATCAGCTAAAACAATGGTTCTGTACGCTGAGAAATATGCAGCGTACAGCCTCAAAGTTGGTTCAAAATAGTCTCGTTATGAGATCGATATAAACAGTTAATGGACGTCGGAGCGGTTGGAGTGATGGAGCTGCATCGAAAACAGTAAACATGACTTAATTAAAAAACTATTGCAATGTCTGTATTACTGTTTCATAATCATTCTCTCATTTGACCCCTAATCTTAATCTACCAACAGCAAAGTGGAAAGGAAAGGTAGGCTGCTACATAATACTACACTGATTCAGATCTGTTCCCTCTTGAAATGCCACTTTGTTATTGCTTGCCAATCAGGGATGTTTCTGTTTGTATTATGTGATAGAATTAAAGTAAATGCAGATAGGCCTGGATAATATCCTTATAGTTGCCTGGTGTATTCAGTTATATTGTTGGCCTATTTTGTTTGCATTATTCGAGCGCATTTATTTGCATTATTGTGCAGTCTCATCTCATTACCTTCGATTCTTTCAAATATTAACTTGTATTGAAAATATCACGATTAGACCCTGAAGAAAAAGTCTATACTGCATAGCACAAAATCATTTATAACTCATGTAATGCCCTAAGAGAATAATTTTGAAACTTTCGAAAGCCCTTTTGTATTAAAAGGTATTAAGAGTAGGTGTTTACAGTTACTTCCTCTTTACATCAGTGCAAATTTTAGAGGATTCAACAACAACTATTGGGACATATTTCGACCAGCAAAATTTTACTAATTTTCAATGATACGTTTTGATTTGAATTACTTTTGATGAAATGGAATTTTGATGCAATGAATGAGTTCGAAGAGTATATTTGCGTTGGGTCCTTTTAGCAAAGTATCGTTTTTATCATAGCAATGCCCTGACAGTGCAGTACTTGCCAACCGAACCAAAAAGAAAATTAGATAAAATGTCAATAGCTAGTCCTTTTAATCTTCCTATTATCCCTCCTATTTCCATCAAGCCCCATCAAGCCACACCCTGTCCCACCCTTTTGATTAATAGAGAATACCCAGTTGAAAAAGTCACGCTACGCCACTGCATGAAGTATGAACTATCTTTAAAGTACAATGAAAACAATATTTTGATTGCCCTTTAAAATTGACTAGCTTGGTATACTTTTTGGAGGATAGGGGTTACACTGTGCTTTAATTTCTATAACCTTCCCATTATAAGTGCATGTAGCTGCTGCAACCAAACCAGAAATTTTAAAATTTTTCCTTTTTGTAAATAACAAAAAAGTATGACTATGTACAGGAAGAGGGGCTCAAAGTAAATACAATTTCAAGGGTAAAATATCAGAGGAGCCCCCTGCTAGATCCCAATCTGGAAGGCTGAATATTATTTGGAAGAACTTTTTCACAGAGAGATGCATCAGTACCTGGAATAGTTTGCCAGAAAAAGTAGTCCAGGCGAAAAATTTGAACATCTTTAAGAACAAGCTTGATAAGCATTGGGAAGACCAGAAATTAAAACTGCAATTTTTTGTTTAAAGAGTTATTTCTTTTATTTTGATGTTAAGAATCAAGAGCTGAGGTGGCCCAACTGCAGAAGGAAATGAGCCATGTCAGTAAATGAAAGTTTTGATTCTCTCAACTTTTTGGATTTTCGAGTTCTTGAAAATTAAAATTTCCAAGAAAATAAAGTTCCAAGAAAATAAATGATCCCCCAAAGTTCCTTTCACTGTGTTTGGAAATTGAAAGTTTTTTCTTTTTAAATTTGTGGGTCCTAACGTATTAGGTTATTTTCACAACTGATCCCTACCACTGCTCTTGAACCTCTAACCAGATTAATAAAAAAAATTATATTTTTGATTAGATTATTGAACACGCACAGAAAGGGTTTACAACAATAAAATTTAAATATGATATGTCTATGTGAAATTATTTTAACAAGAAAATGTGTAAGTGCTGTTCTTATTAGGCTGCACTTTATGCCCTTTGGAAGCTAACTTAATATGTTTAACAACAAAGGCTGCACACTATGTTAGCACACTTGCACGCAATTTTCGCTCTGGTACACACAATACTTGTTGACAACTCCCCCATTGCAGTTCCCGAGCCATTCTTGCACTTGGCAGTGTAGTCTGGCAGTCTGCTGAGGTGCTCAGAAGTAAAACATATGAAAAATCTTACCCCGACCATATTCGTCCTGGAAATGATCTGGCACTCATCAACAAGCGCGTGAACCACATTTCTATGCAGATACTCCAACTACGAGCGTTTTTTGCGTAAAACGTTCAATTTCACAGTGATTTCGGGCTAGGCCCACAACCCAGAACACTTGCCAGCCTCGAAGTGAATTCCATGTGGTTGTTGCTACCTAGAACAAGAAATCAAAGATCCAAGAACTGGGTTGATTGGAAGAGGGGAAAATAATTGGCATAATAAGGGCATAATTACTGTGGAAAATGACAACGTTACGGCCGTTTACTTGCAACGATCTATTCCGCTTTAACAATGTGTAAGTACCGCAAAACAGTTCATAGGTTTCACTAAAAGCAAATTTTATCCTACCCAACTAGCACGATCTTTAGGATAACATGATGTGAATCATGACAGAATCATTGATGTGTGATTCTGTTAACTTTTTGAACGCCGATTCTGACATGTTGAAATGGGAATGTTGAAAACTCTTATATAGCCCAAAAATTGCCCTTTTGCAATTTTCATAATGGTTATGGCAAAGAAAAACAAACAAAACGAAATTACATGATTTCTTCGTTGATGTAACAGCAAAACTTGTTTTCAGAATGGAAAAAACGTTAAAACTTTGGATACACATCTTCCAGTCTGCAGAGTATGGCATGTGCACACCGGAGATATTTTTGTGCAAAATCTGTTGCACACCGGGTATTTTTGGGTGTGGCAACTAAGATGGGTGTTGCTTGGTGTAGTCCCATAGAAAATGTCAGCTGATAAAAACAAGCACAGTTTTGTATGAACAATTTGAGGTATCATGAATCTTACTTGACAAATATACAAATAGAAACTTGCGCTATCTTCAACAGTATACTTCACACGCATTTTTACGGTGAAATGCAAATTCACAAATTTTAACCACAACAGGGGAAAATAGTCGGTGCACACCAGCACACCAGACATTTTTGGTGGTGCACACCGGCACACCAGGCTTTTTGCTCGTGCACACCGGAGATCTCGTCGAAAAGTGCCATACTCTGCAGACCGGCACATCTTGATAATCTAACCTGCAAAGTTAATGCTTTGTAAAGGGCATTGTTCCATATCTTTTTGCTATTGATTTATCCTATGGTCATCCCTTTTGCCTAACTCTGTTAAATGCCTATGACAGATGGAAGATGTGCTATGTTTGTTTTTGTTTTTTGTATTTGTTTCTACCTAGCATCCGAAGGTAGTTTTTAGGACACTGTGAAGCTTATGCTTATCGAGCAGTGTGCTGGTCCTTCCTTTCGATGTAACCACCCCTCGTGATTCCTATTCCTGGAATTACAGAGATCTGGCAACTCTCCTCACTCTGGGTGAAAGTTTAGTCATGCCATGGACGCAAACCACAGAGCCTGTCCATTAGCAGAAGATAGCAAGCCCTAGGATTGTCTATTTCTTGCAAGTTGTACACAAACAATAGGTTGTATTGTTGATATAATCAAATGGAAGATTTTAGTCAAATTTTGCTCAAAGTCTGCTTTGCCAGGTTTCTCAAACTTTCAACATGCATCATTTCAGGTCCACACCAGTAACTCTGTGAACGGTCACTGACTTTATAAGGTATATCTGTGACAGGTTATAAAAATTTGTATAATCTGCTATGAGCCAGAAAGAGTTATAATTTTCATACAGAACCCTGCCCTTGGGTCTTGTTACATGAATCCAACATGAAGGAAGTGTTACCAAGGATGGTAGTTTATAAAGTGGGCACTTGACCTCCAACCTGACTTCAACAAAATCTTATCTTAATGTTTTTATAAATTTCATTGTCTTCGACGATAGTTTTATCAATTGTGATATTTTTCAGCAATCTGGATCCATTGACAGAAACTGTATCATTTCCTCGAATTTTTCAAACAAGTTATTAACAAACCACTTTTTTATTATCAGCCATAAAATGCATTCATAAGTTAGCCCTATATGGTGCATGCACTTTGACAGATCAGCATAATGAACACTGTATAATGTATAACAAAAAATAATGTGTTTCTAAAAGTGCCCAGTTATATGCTATAATCAGATAGCCATCCTTTTTTGTCACGTAGATAGGCACTATTAAAATATAACTTCAACACATAAGTAAATTTGTTCAAGCATGTATACTGTAAGATTTATTTTCATCATAACCAACCAAGATATCCAAAGGCAACCTTAACTTTTTATCAGTATGGGTTGCCATTTTATCTATCTTATCTGGCACATTGGCCAGAGTATTTCCAAGTTGCAGAGTCTGCAGATGGAAAAATTATGGGTTATAGTAAGTATTATAAATTATTCATTTTTTTTCTTGTAACTTTTGCATTGCTGTTTTTGTTCGAGTGCCCCAATAATCATCACTGTGATCATGGCCATGGCCATTTAAAGAGCCCTCCTCCACCCTACATTTTCTGGCATCATTATAAGTTGATCTTATGGCTCCTGCTTCACATAGATACAGTGCATCATTACACCAGTTGATTCAGAATTTATAGCAAATATAGAAATTTGGGACTTGGAATTAAATTGTTCATTGTTCATATGATCATAATACTCGTTATCCTGCATTGAAGAACAAGAGAATTATTGAAGATTATTCAGAAAGTGAAAGTTAAGTTTCTTTCTTGGATTTAAAACAATTTCAAAAACAAATTACAAAGAAGAGCAAAACGGAAAAGCAAGCAATTGAATATGTAGCCAGCAGAACACAGTTTGAATGAAAAACTTGTTCCATTTTTATGGTAATATCTTTCTACCAATTATTTACAGCCTCAAAATTGAGCTAGCAAGAGGACTTAAAGCATAGCTGTCATAAGTGGTTGATTTATTTTTTTTCAAAATTTGAATGATGCAAGACAATCTGCTTGCTCGTTTTGAGGAATGCAAAGAAATTGCAATGATCCCGTTCTGTAGACATGAAAAGGAGTTTCTTCAAAATCTTGTTTGTAAAAGGAAACTTTCCATGATCAACAAAATAGGCAGGAAGAATAAAAACAGTTTCGAACAAAAAAAATTTCCTAGCTCTTATTGGAACTGATTCTTGAAGGACATTCAGCTGCTACTTGCACTCCACCATGGAGCAAGGCCGTCCATCATCTCAAAATGGTACCAATTTTGATGTTGATGTCAAGAGAATAACATGCGAATTTGCTGCTTCCAAATAAGGAGACAAGCAGTCTCTGACTTTATAATTACATAAGATATTTGACTATTGACATATTGAGTATGACATGTAAGAGGTCTATTGACATTTTACTTTTGTTAGACTCAAATCAATTAGCTAATTTAATCAAATTTTATCTTATTATTAAATTTTGCTGTTGTTATTTTACCAACATTTTTTTACAATCCTGTTTTTACCTTAAGAAAGTCTGAGAACTTAAAGGGTATCTGTGTTGCTAATCTATTATATCTTCTTTAGATATGCAAACGATCTCTTCGTGGTATAAAGTTAAAAATGGCTTTGAAGAAAGCAAACACGTGTAGACAGAAAGAGTTCGTTTTCACCTTAGGACTCCATTTGTAACATTTTCAATAGGCAAGCGGCAAGCTGTCGTGTGCTCGCGTTTCTGATTGGCCTATTTCGACCAACAACTGGGTATATATATATTTCCTAACCTCGTGTTTTCTAACGTCTGTGTTCTAACGTTTTATTCTCTTCAGTGCCGTCGGAACGAAATTCATATTGGGAGGCTGGCCATTGTATTCCTTCTCATTCAGTGCACTGTTATAAAGGAAACATACTACGGTTTGACAATTATTGGGGGCTCTAGCCACCCCAGTCCCCGGTTCCGACAGCCTGCCCTTAAGAGTATCAGACGAAAAGCCTATGAATGGCTCAAAATGTTTGCTTTTTTCAGAGCCATTAAATCTTCTTTGTGTGTTCAGTTTTGTTTGAATTTATGAAGACTTGTGTTCCTCGGGTTTTTTTAGTGATATTTCATTCCTTGTTTCATAGAATGCTGAATGAAAGCTGAATTCCTTGTTGACAATATATACTAAAAATATTCGAAGATCTCCTAGTAGAAAAGCTTGGTTAAAAAATTCAAGAAATTCTTGTTAGATAACTTTTGAATAGATCCATTGGATCATATATATATATTGCCTCTACCCTGTACTTTATGTTTTTTCTTTTGTTCTTCCTCGCGTTTTTCATTTTATCTCATCTTTCCGTTCATTTTATTCCAATTAAACATTAAATAAAATTATTGTAAACTATCTGAAAATGAAATAAGTAAACAGCGATACATTTATTTCTGAATTTTTTAATTGCATTTATTTATTAGCTGTAATAGCAGAAAGCATGAAAATTAACTGCCTGATCCTTATTTATGGGGATATCGACATGCAACTAATTTTATACTTCATATGACTTTTACCATAGTAATGGGGAAGGCAGAGGGCACAGTGCAAAATGAGCAATGGCATGGGCACGTGACAGCACTTTCGGTTTCGCCACAGTTCCGAAGACTTGGTTTAGCAGGCAAATTGATGAGTGAGCTGGAAAGAATATCTGAACAGTAAGGCCCCGTTCAACTATGTTCAACTTCTAGTACAAATTAATGAGATTAATCTCAAGGACTCAAGATCTTTAGCCTATTATTTATAGAAAGGCCTATACACTCTCTTATTTTTATAAGAACAATTTTATAAAAACACGAGCCTCAAAATTCTTCAAAAGTTTAGAACAAATTGAGAACAACAAGCTGAGGCTGAGTTTCTGCAAAATGCAATTTTGAACACAATTTTTTGTCAAAAACGAGGATTTTTTAGCCATGTGTGGGTGGTTTTTCGGTGAATATTTAAACTTGGCGGCAAATGAAGTCTGTCTCACTCACTTTGTTGGCAAATGAGGCCTGAACACCACCCTAGAACGAAAAAGCTAGCAATTATACTGCTAACACCCTACCAAATTAAGAACAAATTAAGAACAACCCAGCCTCAGATTTTGGAAAAATTTGAAAACAGTCAGCCTGAACTTAAATTTACTGGTTCTTATAAAAAAGAGTGTAATGTTCGTTTTCATTCTTAGATTTGACAAGTTGTGATTGTTAGCCAGGCTGCACTAGAAGCTTGTATATGTACTTAACATTTATGCCCATGGCAACTTCCTACACGACAAAAGCTATCAAATTTTGCTAGATATTTGACAAATCTGATGGGCTTTGTCCAGGAGCATAGTTGCTGAACGCTGTGATCGTCCCCTAACTTGCCAGATTTTTCGAAAAACTTTCCCCTCCTCCAAAAAAGTTTAACTTCCTCTGTAACCCTGGCTATGATTCAATTTTATCATTAATAATAAAAATTTGAATAGGAAGATCAGCAATTTTCAAAACCAAGTAAAGCACAAAGCTGCAAACATTGTTCGAGGGTTGTGATTATAGTGTGATTTGTATCACAGAAGTATGTATGTATATGTCTTTTATACAATTGAAGCTTTTATGCATGTGTCCATGAAATCACGAAAATGTCAATGTCACAAAATTCACGACAATAACAACTTACCACAGGGAAACTGGGCACAAATGTTAACCCTACGGTCATATCTTTGCGAGCAAAAATATTTGCCAGGCCATGCAGTCTGAAAATTGAAGATTGTTTAGTTCAGTATGGGTTTTAGGCTAAAATTTGGGTAGTACATCCCTTGATTATACCTATGGACTTAAATTTAAAAACAAAACACGAAACAATGACAATTAAATTAACTAATAAAAGAAAAATGTATTCACGAAAGGATAGGGCAAATGAAGATCATGGAAATCGAAGATCAAGCTAATTTCAATAAAAACGATAGCTGGTAATTTTTCTTTTGAAACCGAAAAACATAAAACAGCTTGTCCCTTCTTGGAATGTCCATCTGATTTGTTAATGTAATTAAGTTTAGGATCTATTTGGACATTCTGTTTTCCTTATTTGCATAGGTTTTACTTGGTAGGATTCCTAGCTCGTCTTATTTTGGATTTACCTACTATAATTTGAATATTTCAAACACTTATTTTCCTAGCCTTTATTGATCGGTACAACCCTCGATCACATTTAAATCCAGCATCTTTTATATGACGAGGCTCATAAAATATTGCTAACATCTTTTCTAGGAAAAAGGCTTTCTTTGTCGATTTGTTTGTCAGAGTTTCTAACAAGGTTGCTGTTGACATGTACAAGAAACTTGGATACACGATTTATAGAACAGTACTGCAATATTATTCGGGTGACCCGGACGAAGATGCTTATGGTATCGTATGAGTTTATACCATTGCTCTTTGCATAGGGAACTATTCAGGAGGTGTACATCGTAGATATCTACCAAGGTTGATGCCTCAAAAGATATAGGCTGAGTGCTGAAGAGGCAAGCACCCATTAAACAAATGCCATTAAAAGGGAAAATGGACGCTGAATTTATGAAATTTTTCAGGTGATATTCTCAAGGTTGATTGCCTTCCTGTTTGGTAAAGAAACGGTCGAGAGATGTTTCACTGTTATGAATTCTCGTCTTTATTGGGCAAAGCCCTTGCTTTTAATCATTCTTAAATCCCCAAAGTCATTTTACTCAAAAAAGTCTCTTTCACTACTTTTCCTGATAAATGAAGCAAACCTCATTTGTGTGTTTTGCATAGAGAATAACGATATCAAAAAGTCAATTGGCTTTGCAATGGAATTATTTATCAGTTGAAATAACTGTAGCAACCAGGAAATACTATATCCACTGCCTAATGACATCATATGACGTCAAGGTAGCCACACAGCCAAGTATGATGATCAATTTGAGTGGATAGAGAATAAAACAGGATCTTTGCTTCAGTTCTCTTCACGTTGTTGAGAAACGCATGAAGTCTTTTCTAATACGAAAAGGAACATATGTACGAGACTCCTTTCTACTTAGCCGTTTATTTGAAAGAATCCCAAACATTTATTAGAAGTTTCCAAAGAATAATCCTTTGTTGGATTTTCTCTGTTTCTCACATTTCATATGAAGAAGTTCTTCACATTTTAGAGGCGGAGCTTATCGGTTTTTTCATTAGAAACATATTCCATGGCTATCTATGTGACAGGTTTTTTCTTTTGTATGGTAAACCGATAGGCATATCAGTTCTTAACTGTCTAAGAGCTTCAATGCGATGGGATAAGATAACCCAGGTGGCATATATTGAATCATCAAGAAGGAATAGACTAAGGAAGGTTTAAGGAATTCCAGTCATCGTCGTATTGTTTTTGGGTACGTCATCAGCTTACATATTGTAAGAGTGTTTGTTTGACATTCTGGTACTGCCAAATATTTCTATATCATCTTTAAATTTAACAGTCGTGTTGATAAAATCACGTTCTGAATTTTAAAAATCATAGGAATCTAAATTCTGAATTTTAAACTTTTTACTTAAAAGGTGTTCTGACAAATTTACCGCAGAAGTATTTAAGTGATCTTGGAGCGTCGTCGATATGAGATATTTACCAGCTCTTTGATGTTGTTTCTCCGATTTGATTCAATAACTTTGACTGTCATATTTTATATTGCAGATATGCGGAAGGCCCTTTCACGGGATGTTCATCGGAAATCGGTAATACCGCTAAAAGATCCTGTTCGCCCAGAAGATGTTGAATAGCCACAAAGATGACTAGTCCCGGTGGGTGCAGTTTGCTGGTTTCTACACCCTTATGCGTATCTTTGGGGTTTCTACAAAAATATTTGGAGGTTTTATAGACCATCCGAAAAAGGGGGTCGATTAATTTCTTTACATGAACATGAGGTCATGGTATATCCACCGTGCACTGCACCCACCGTGGAGCTAGTATGCCCATTTTTTACCAAACGTTGCCCGGGATTCACTTGAATACCAAATATATCTTCTTACAACATCAATGGCTAGAAACTGAGTTAAATTCAACCTGAAAGAGTTTGTGAATATTGAAAAACAATTTCCCATTAAAATCGACCATTTGATCTGATATTAGTTCGCCCGAGCAACCCCTTCGTTTGATTCTGTCATTACCTTAAACCCTTCCTTTTGATACTTTTTTAAGTTCGTGGTTATTATTTTTTGCTCAACTGTTAATCCTATTTATAAAAATGCCTGTTGTTTACCGTGCTTAGATAAATTTGTTACTGCCATAACCCCATTATAAAAATATAATCTTGGGTACACTGAAGAGATCGTCTGTGATGATTGGTTGACCAATTCCCCTTTATAAAATTGATCAAGTTTGTTCCCGCTAGGCATGTTTTTCCTTCGTCCAAATATGATTTTCGACACACTGTAAAGTATTCAAAAACCCTAAGATTTGTTTTTATTCCTTCAAGCTTCAGGTCCGTAACTACTTTTGTCCTAAGGAAGCTTTTGGCCCAGTTAAATTTTGAATAAAATCCTTTGCTTTCAATGAACAATCTCTTTTCTTCCCATGGGTTTAAACAGAAATGCCCCCCTCCCCAAAATAATTCTTTCCTTCGTATGGCTCTGCAAGCTTGAAGTCATAACAAAAAGTTGCACACTTTTTAGACTTGCACACATTTCATTTTTCCTTTTTCTTCTTGTACATTCCACCATTTATTTGGCAATATTTAACTTTGAAAATACAAGCGCAAAAATCTGCATCTGGATTTGGTAATTTCAAAATCATATGTTTTACTAATAAATGGATGAGCTTTCATGAAACTATATATAAACTTGTATGTGGAGATGGCTGAAAATTTGGTGCTGCAACGCTGTTATAATCAATTCCGTGCCTTTAACCTAGACTTGATTTTAATATATCCAGAAAGAAAGGCCCAGAAAGTCACCTTGCAAAATAAACAGTGTCTCCTGCCTGCCATTATAATTGGGCTCAAAAAAGGGAATAAGTGTTTTCGAATCTGAGAAGAAATAAATTGAGTGAAACCTGAAAGGAATTTTCGGCATCATATTTATTCATAGCAATATTAAACAACTAACTTTGATATGTTTGTAATAGCTTTTTTGCTTATCAAAAACTTCAGTTACTCTTTGGTAAAGTTGCTTTTGCTACTTCGCATCAGTTCTTGCTTCTCTCTTAGTTTTTTTGTAATTTATATCATATTTTACTGATTTTATTTGTGTTTTCATTTTGTATCAATGTTTAGAAGTTCGACTGAGTTTTGCAGCTTTTTTATTTCTTAATATTAGACTATTTTGTTGAAGAGTAATGTGTAATCAAGACTGATGTTTTGCCAATCTTTTTGCGTTTTATCCTTCCGTACTAGCACAGATATTTAACTGACATAAAGGTGTCTTTAGCAATAAAGTCTGACCTTTTTAACACTGTTTTGTTGAAAAATGTTTGAAAAGGCTTTTGACGTGTTTGTTGTTCTGTTCAGGGCGTAAGTCGTATAATCATTGAATCTTACGTAATATCAGGGATGTTATTTGCATCCTAATACGGTTACGTAGTGTCGGCCGCCTGATCGAGGCCATAGCAACATTCAAACCAAAGATGACATTTGCTTTACTCTACTGACATTTGCTAAATTAATTGTTGCTTTTTATCGATTGTTTAATAAAAGTAACCATTAATAAATATTTTGTTGGAAATTGAATTTCAGTAGTTGAAATACTTTATCTTGATTCCCTGGGAATGGCTTCATAACTTGGATACAGACAGGCCCATGGAGCCCTGAAAACTTAGGAGGGGGAGGTGGACGAAAGTTACTCCCAGATTTAACGATCTTCATTATGTTTGCAAGTGAAGGAACGTAAGTGGAACGCAGGATCAAGGAGTGCAGGGCCTATTTTATGGAAATTTTCCAAGACCACACTTTAAGAAAAGAATGCTGTATATGAAGCATGGAATTTCAAAATATCGACCGTTGCCGTAGAAAGCGTTTTTCTTTACTCGTGTAAAACGATAAGATAAGAGCAGAGGGCTATAAGATATTTGAAAAATTAATAATGAAGGGAGTCCGTTTATTGGGGGCCTTTGAGTAAGCTGATCAGTTTCATTTATTTCAGGTTTCAGAGATCGACATCAGCGTTAGCGTTAGAGGATGATATAGAGAATCGATATAAAAAATTAATGACAATAACCCCTGTACAATTATTCAACAGAGTAAGAGTTTGGCGAATTTAGGCAACCTTTACGCAGTCATATCTCCAGTTTAGGAGCGTAATTCTAAAATGCGCACGATGACAATCTAGAACGACCCTTACATATTTAAAAAATCATAGACTTTTTTGCCTTGAGATTTTTTCGCTTGTAGCAGTTCGAAGTTTGTAGTGCACTTTCACGCAGCTTGGTGGCTGTTTGGCCGCCATTGCTGTTATTATCGCTAGATTCAGGGGTATTTTATAAGCTCTGATTGGATTTTACGCCATTTAAAAGCAAAAAGCTGCTTGTTGGATCAGATTAATCTGGACAAAGAACTTGCGCTACGATTCATGGATATTTTGTACTGTTCTGTTATGTTATAAAGTTTCAAAACTCTATCAACAGAAAAACATATTTATAACAAAAATATAGCTAAAATGAAAAAGCCAATTCCACAATTTTGACTTTCCAAGACCACATTTTGGATTTCCAAGACCCCAAAATATGGGAAAAACCACACTAAAATAGGCCCTGCAACATTGATTAGGTTTATCTCATCAGTCTTACAACCAAAACAAGTTTTTAGGATGCGGACTTTTCACTAACGCGTTTGTTGCTGAAGACATACTGAGGAAATTTTCTAGCGAAAATGGCAGTCTCCTTTGCAGTTGATATTATTCATCACAGAAGCTTGAATTTTTTGCATCAAGAGCAAGTAAAAATGTAAGGAAATGTCAGCGAATGGTCCTCCAACAGAGTTAGGTTATTTAACTGAGTTTTTAAAGGCAGAATATCTAGTATTGAAAAAATACACGCAACGTATTTATCAAAAAGGGGCACTTGTTTATTTAGGGGCACTTGTTTATACTTTCTGCAAACATGGGGGTCTGTGCCCCGTGCCCCCACCCCTGGCTCCGGCGGCCCTATTTAGAGTATATCATTTGGTTGGTAAGGCTTTGCTACCATGTTTGTTTTTCCAAATTGTGTCTTACTTATTATTCTACCTGCTTATTTACTGCTGTTTCCATTGTTCTTTCAATTTTCAATCGATTCTACATATTATGTGTGAGACTCACATAAAGTGCCCCAGAACTGGCGAGCTAAACAACTACCAGAGTCTTTCTCTCATCGTATTTTGCTTCAGAAATTTAATATATCGTATCGTATCTCATCGTATTTTGTTATTAATTATACCTGATTAATCTTAGGTTGCCTAGAGTTTGGCAGAAGTCAGAGATGGCGCCACGAAATTGAACCTGAGAGGGCTAAGAAATGTTCAAGTTTAGTGCCATAGGAGGACCCACCACGGTTGGGTTTAACGCGAAAGAAAATTTTTGGTTAACGAAAAAATTGATTATCGATTTATAGAAAAAATTTGGGGGGGGGAGGAGTCATGCTAAAACTCTGGTGACAGACGTTGGGGAAGGGAAGAAAGGGTGACCATTGGTTCAGAGTGCACATCTCAATGATGTTGAATTGACTGAGAGAATTTTACTTCCTGAACACACATGTGTATCTTCTTTTTCTCGACTATTTTCAGTAGGCCATGATTACACATCAAAAATGACATTGTAGTGATAGAGAACGTTATCTATTGAATTGATGCAAGTAAAAGAAAAATAAAAGAAATATATCTCAATAAGTTAGTAAATAGATCAAATAAAGTCAAGCAGTATATAAAAACTTTGTTCTCTTCTGATTCCATACTCTATTTTAAAAGATAATAGAAAGGAAGGTAGAAAAATTTTGATCTCTGGAAAAGTGGGGGGGGGGCTTCAGTCCCCCAGTGGCGCCATGCCTGGAAGTTACTGCGTTTATTTGACTTTCGTGGAGGGTTTTCTCATACGACAGGTTGTTCTTATACCCGACAGGGTTTCGTGCCATTATTCTGCATCTGATACATACCAGTGAAATCTGTTGGGACACTGTTGGCACAAAGCAGAAGGTTGGCAAAATTGTATGACCAAGTTCAGGCCAGTTATTGACTCGAAAACTAATTTTTAGGCGCGGAGGTGTGTTGCGGTGACGATGCTGGGACACTGCTGAACTAAAACTATGATACTAAGAAAAAATCTCTGGCAACTTTTTTCTCCAAATAACTAAATATTTTGACATATTGACTTTTGCGTGTACATACCATCTTAATAAATTCAAATAGATAGGCTTCACTGTTATTGTCATAATTTAGCGTCAAGACCAAGGTTATGACTGGGCGGCAACCTAATCTTTACGCTTTCTAGACTCCGGGTTAATAGTTCTAAACCGCATGGCAAATGTAATGATTCCCTGTGAAATTTAATAAGATGCATTTTCTATAACTTATTGTAAACAAGGAACAAAAACTTCTTTTCGAAGGACTGTTCTTTATTCTATTCTATTCATTGCCAGCATTGATGAAATTAGGCCAAATATTTCCCAGTCGTATTAGCCTTTCCTTGAAGCTTTCTATTGTACCCTGCCTTTTGGGATTATGCGAGATTTGTTATTGTACTTTGGTGTAGCCAAAGATCAACTGGTATACTCGAGGATCAGTAGCTAAGTTTTCAGTCTACAGTGAAAGATACGAAATTCGAAGGCTAGGTGATGTATTTTGTATTTTTTATGTATTTAAGTATATGGTGTTTGTTAATATAAACCTGAGCATGGAGACCGCTAACTTTTTTCTTGGATTTAACAGCAGAAAACCTATATCTTTCGATAGCTCCATAAATAAGATACGAGCAAATAAACAGTCATTTTATGTGTTTAGCAATTTCACAGCTCTCCAACTCCAATGCAGAAATTCGACAAGACAATTTTGTGTTTGTAGGTATTCTCGTCAATTTCTGGAAAAATCGTAATTGATCGTGAGTTTTTGATGGATTAAAATTTTAAAAAAAGGAAAATTGTCGTTTAGCTTACCTTTTGTTAAAAGCACGACACAACTAGTCTGTCACACACCACCGGGATTCGCTTATTTTAGCACAATAAGTCCTTATAAGAAAGAAGCATTCCCTTTCATGAAAACATTACTTTTTTTATAAGAACAATTTTATAAGAACACGAGCCTCAAAATTGGTCAAAAGTTAAGAATAAATTAAGAACGAACTGAGGCTGAGCTACTGTGAAATGCAATTTTGAACAACGTTTTTATCTCAAAAACGAGGATTTTTAGCCATGTTTGGTTGCTTTTTCGATGAAAATTGTCTCTCCCACTTTGTTGGCAAACGAGGCCTACACACCTCCCTAGAGCGAAAAAGCCAGCAATTGCACTGCTTACACCCTATTAATTTAAGAACAAATTTAGAGCAATCAACACAGATAAAGTATTGAAAATGCATATTAAATAATTGCACAATAATATAACTAAATAAATTTGTTAGATTGTATTTATGGCCTAGCTCCTAATTGGTTTTGATCACGAATGCTACGAATATTTCTACATATAAGTGTCCTTTCCATGATGACACATTGAATTGAAACCAAATCCAAGAAGGAATGGTTATCAACGTCACAACAGCATTTTTTTGATAGGGTTTCCTGTAAGAAGCCATAGTTATGCTTGTTACCAGACCACTGTTTGCGCCTCAGTGTGCGGTGAGGTCTTTTTCATGCAAAACAATCGGAGACGTTAGATTCATTTGACCAAGGCTCAGAGACCGACGTCACCCATTATAAATTTGTAAATAATCTTGCTTGGAAAACAGTGGGAATGGCAGAGGGAATTGAAGTGCGATTTTTGGGCAAATTAACGTATTATGCTGTATTTGTATATCTCTTGTTCATACTAGGCCTTCTCATCGTGTGCAGACAGCGGTACAAATCACGAACGGAACGTAGGAAATCGAAAATATCTGACCAGGAAGGGTCAGAAAGGAAAGATACAGGAGAAATGGGCTTGAAACACAGTAAAGGAAAAGGAACCCATGATAAGGAGAATAACATCAGGAGAAGGAAGGACCCTCCTCTCAAAGATATTGATAATGGCGAGATCAGGCCTAGATCGATCCATAAAGATGGCAACCAGAATATGTCTGCCAAAGGTCAGTTAGCTGCTGAAAAGTTTGTCAGTCGCGAGGAAACTTGTGAATGCGCCAACGATGTTTGCAAGGAAAAGCCTAGAGAATGTGCGGAAGTTTTCTTGCTGGACAAGAACATGACTTCCATTACCGAACAAATAAATATTGGACTCCAAGAAGATATTTTGGAACCGGAAAGTTTTACGAGGTGTCTCACTTCCGGAATCTATGATGATATAAAAAATGAAACTGTAAGCGATCCAGGTAAAATTGTGGATGACAGCAAACTTGACGGGTTTGAAATGGGACTAACAGAAACAAGGACTTGCGTGGATGGTGACAAATCGCGTTCGGTTTGGACTAACAGTGAAATTGACGCCACGGACAGGAACCATGACGATAGACCCAACACGAGGATAAGTGAAGAAGAAACGTGCAATGTCGTTGAACATATTTTGGATGACTTGAGCATGCATGTAGAAGCAAACGTATCAGTTTCTGTTTGCAAAAATTTTGAAAAGGCAAACATGTTAGATTCCTTTGCAAACAAAACAACATCTTGTATCTTTAGCGATGTTTTGGATGATTTAAAAAAAAGTTCAACCTTAGCTGACATTCGTAAACAAATATTTGTAAACGAATTGACAAATGACTGTTTAGAAAACATGAAAGAAGACAGTCATGTTTTTGGGAAGATAGAAAGGTACGCAGACAGATTAGCCCAAGACATTATTTATGGGGACTTAGCTGAAGACAAATCCACAAGAAAAGATCAAGCAGACTTCAAGATTTTACCAGCTGTATGTAAAAAATCAGGTCAAAATATATCTGTAGACTTCTGCCAGTCAATTGCAAAAGATGTTTGTCGGGATGCTCCCAGAACTGCAAGAAATCTTGAAAATCTGGCAGTTAGCATTAGTAACTCTGTAATAAAAGATGCAAAAGATACTGTTCAGTACCAAACAATATCAGGAAAGGCCCCTGAAAGTACCTTGTTAGTAAATTCTGTTAATGGAAATGATCTGTTTGAAGAAAATCTTAAGAGGTTTTCAGATGAAATCGGCAAAGAAGTTATGTCAAGTGCTTTTGATGATGTGAAATTGAAATGTATGGTGACTGATGATGACAGTGAAGATAAATGCAAAAAGCAAAGGAATGGGCGAACACAGAATGTTACCTTTGCAGAAGATAATACACATGTTGATGGTATGATAGAGAATGGCAACACAAATGGCTTCCATTATGATCAGAAAGGTGACTCACAGTTTCCAAAAAGAATTGACTCGCAATCAAACTTTGATGCAGATGATGAAGAGGAAGAGGAAGATGATTCTATTTATTCTGATGATGAGTTTAAGTCTCCAGTTGTTATTAGAAATAAAAATAATTTAAAATTGAAACTTCATTCAGATAGACCTCTGTCTAGTTATGCGGAACAGTTAGTTGATTTTCTGGCAGATGATGATAACACATTGGATATGTTTGAATCTGATGAAGAATTTAATGCAGTATTAGATAAGCTAGAAGAAAAGTACAAAGAAAATGAAGATCTGAGTACAAAAATACAAAAACGGAGGAGACTAAGTGAGTGCCGTAGAAAATCAGAAGGCTCCATTAGTTCCAACAAAATGGGAAAGCATTCTTTGAGTGTTGATGCCCTTGATGATACATCAGATCAAGAACGATTCACAAGCACACTGTCTGAAAGTTCCTTATTAAGCTACACTGATACTGAAGATGCAATGAGGGGTGTTTTCTCTGATGATCAGCTCTTGAGTCCAAGCTCTGGTAAGTCAATTGTGACTTGTTATTTTATGATTTTTTATACATTCCTCAAATTTTAGGTTAGACTTTTATTGCAATTAGAATTTCAAATATGCCTGCACAGGCTTAATTTCATTTTAAAGTAGCTTAGAGGTTTAAGTGGGCAGCCAAAGTTATTTAAGATGAATGAATTTTACATCTGCTCTTTCAAAGCAAACAAACTGTCAAAAAGTGATAAATATGAAACAACTGATATGGATAAAATATTCTATGGCTATCAGGCAGGGCTATGGCTGTAAAAATCTGATTTCTCACCTAACCGAGATGTGCTCGATGGTTTTATATACTTTCGAATATGGAGATTCAGAATCCAAGATGGAACCATAAAACTTTTGCCTCAGTATCACGTGATTGATGATGTCATCGATAACGGCAAAAACAGTCATAAATCCGTAAATATTCAAAATAGATTGTACAATTTACCAATTCTAGGTTTTATGTGAATGTGAATTTCAAAAGCTTTCAATTGATGTATCATATAATTGAATTGATACACAGCATTGATAAAAAGCATTCATGCACAAGATGCATTAATCGATTACCCTTCAGCTTTCTTAAGTTGTTTTCAAGCTACTTGGATTTGTTCCAATTTGTTCCAGTGGGTGAATAAAAGTGAATACTGAACTTAACAAGTTTTAGAATGCCACAGGGATCAACTCAAGGCACTTTCTTTTCAACTTCCATGTTACTGACCTCAAAGATAAAATCAAGCTACCCTGCTTTCAATACGCTGGCAATTTAGCTATACCTGCTCATGGACGGCCAAACGATATATCCATTTTTGACCATGCCTTGAATGAATACCTTTAAAAGTAAATTTCTTGGTCATCATCCACAAATCTCATTCTAAACTGAAATATGAAAAAGGTTATTGTTTTGTGTAGAAAGCATCTTCTAAAGCACCACAGTCTTCAAGCCTACAATCCAGTTCTACAGACTGGGGGAATTGGTCTTGAACAAGAACATTTAGTAAATTGCTTGCTGCAATATTGAGCCATCATCTACCATGGAACTAGCATATAATCCATGTAACATCTTCCTGGATCTATACCATGTCCATACAAGCAAAAATCAGAGAAAACTGCTCCATTCTAATTATAGAGACAAGCTGCCGAGCTTCTTGTTATGTCCAATTCGGACTATACTGATGTTCCTTTTCATCCTCTTCCGTTGAGACTCCTAAAATGATTGCAAAAGGTTAAAAATACAGGCATTCTACTAGGTGGTTATGCCAAAGGGAAAGAAGTGGAACAATTGACTGGTTGCCAGTGAAGGAACGTAAAATATGGCATCTGATGAAGCTTTCTGTTAAGTACATACATGATCAGCAAAAGCCCAAGTACATTGACATATGGCCTAAACAAATACCAGAAACGCCATTTCAGTGACGTTTATTGTGTCATCTTGTGCTTTCAGATAGTTCTAGAAAAGGTGTGGCAGAACTCCTCGATGAACTGCCGGCAGGACTTAGGAAAGCTACGGCTGCAATAAAACTTTCATTACCAACGCTCACGTAATTATGCATAGAAACAAAGAGAAGACTTTTAGCTCAACACTGGAATTAAATTAGCTTTCAAATAATATATACTAGATAATCCTGTTTCAATACTTTTAAAAAAGCTTGCAGCAACCAGGTGTAGAGTGGCTCTGTAAATAAACTGCTTTTTCGTCAATGCTGTTGCACTACACAAGTGCATTATGATGATTATTATGGCTTATTAGTGTCAAGCATAGTCAAAATAATGTCGAGAGGTATCAAACATATTTAAATCAACATAATTATAGCGCATTTGTAGTGAATTCCAACTCACTTAGTTATCGGCACAAAGGTTGTGGCAGAACTTGGGAAAATCCACCAATGACGTCACAAAATAAGCAAATGTTAGCAAACTCAATTATATGATACATCAATTGAAAGCTTTTGAAATTCACATTCACATAAAATCTAGAATTGGTAAATTGTAAAATTTATTTTGAATATATAGCGGATTTATGAATGTTTTTGCCGTTATCGATGACGTCATCAATCACGTGATACTGAGGCAAAGTTTTTGGTCCCATCTTGGGTTCTGAATCTCTGTATCTGAAAGTATAAAAAACCATCGAGATCATATTCGTTAGGTGAGAAATCAGATTTTCGCAGCCATAGTCCTGCCTATATGTTTGTCATCTGTTGGTTTTTACCAAAAGTATTTCTGTCACTGTATCTAGGAAATTTGTTAATGCGTTGAAATCTGTGCTCATTTTAGATGGAATATTCTTGGTTGACCATTTCTATCAATCAATGTCTTGATCAAATCATCTCACTTCATTTTTATCAAATGCAATTAATGATATGTTAAACCTAGGTTTAGTATTTAAAATGTACAGCATAGCACCACATGTTGTAATAGATAAACAAATACACATGTTGAAAGCATGGGGACCTCAATTTGATTAAGATAAAATCGCCAGTTAAGCAACATTAACTCTATGAGGAAAAAAATTCCACAAGATGTATGTCCGTACCTCAAAGAGAGTCCCTATGATATGAATGTGTAATTGAACTATAGTCCGCACAGTGCATACATGCCAACATTCTCAGATGAGATTGAGGGAGCTTTATTAAAATATAATTGATAATGCCATACAAGTTAGACACGGTTGAGGGCCAGGGGCGTCGTGGAGGATGAATTCTAAAGGGGGCCAGAATGAGAAATTTTCCGGCAAAAATCCTTTGATTTATTTTAATCAAATGGAATCATTTCATGTTAGTGTAAGGGGGAGGGGAGAAGAAAACACAAACTTTGCTTCAGCTTGAAATATTTTTAAAATACACTATTATCTTGTCTCTGTTTCTTTATACTTACTTTGAAAATCCCTGACAGCTCGTAACCCTATAGGTCGGTAGATTAGGACAAAGGTAAAATAAAGTTACTACCTGAGGCGGCACCATGGTTGCCGCCAAATGGTAAAATTTTTTATAATCTTAATGCATTAAGTTCGCTGGAAATTGCATTCTTTGAAGCAAATTTTAATAGTAAAATTTTAATGTTAAAATGAATATCCACTGGCGGAAAATTATGATATTGATTGACTTCTTCCTTGTTAAACCTTATGCAACATTATGCCTTCCCTGCTTGCAGAGTCTCAGAAACTTGTTTAGGCAATTATTTTGAGTTATTACATGATAAGGTGGAGATAGTTGGTGCTTTGTTAAGGGTGAGAGCACTTTTTGTCAATCAAAAAACGTTTAAACAAAAAAATGTTGTTTCCAACAGTGGAGCATTCGAATTTTTGCCGGCGTAACTAAAATACCCTTGAGACTGATTACAAGAACGCATTTCAGTGAAGATTATCTCTCTTACAAGAAATTCAAAAACTCGAAAAACTCCGGGAGTTTTTCTCTGATATGATAATAGCGTGCAGGATGTCATTATTGAGGGAGAATATCGGGAGACTGCCGCAATTTGGGGGAGTGTTGGCATGTATGGCAGTGCATGTCATGCCCAGGGGCCTAGTTTATGTGATTTTGAAACTTAAATTTAAAAAATATGATGTGGCTTGGACACTGCCTTGCTGTAGATTTAAACAGAAATAACTGTTTCTTGTTCAATCAGAAATGCAGAGAACTGTTGTTGTTGATGCTGGATGTGGTTTTCTGAAGACTGGGTTAGCTGGTGAGCTGGCTCCACATATGATTTTGCCTTCTGTGATTGGAATTCCAAGACGATTTTCCCAAGATGTTAGCCGGATGACAAGAGGCTATTATGTTGGTGATGAGGCAATTATGCATGCTGGAATGCTTCAGCTAGGTAAGGTCATGAAATTTATCAATTTTCTAAGGTTGTTGTTGAAACATTATTCAACTTGAAACAAGTGAAAGTTGGTCTTTCATCAGTCAGTAGTTTTATGTTTCTTAGAGCCAGCTAATTTAACTAGCATTGTATTGGGTAGCTCAACAAATTTATTTTATGTTTCTTTTCAGATTCTTGTCAGAGAACAATCTTTATCTATTTCAGAAGATTTATTTCCAATACAGAATCTGAAATTTTGATTTTCTGGTTGTAACCCTGTATTGATATTGAAGAAAGATTAAACAGAATCATAAAAAGGCAAGAAACATAGATGTATACGTGCTTGAATATCTGCAGTTTTCCTTTTTTCATACACAGATCATCCAATGAAGCCTGAGGTCACAAACTGGTCTGATGTTTACAGTCTTCTTGAATATGTTATTGAAGAAACATTACAAGTTAATGTTAGAGAACATCCGATTTTGCTCACCGAGATTGGTTTGATGCCAAAGAAACACAGAGAGAAGATCACAGAGGTATAAAATATTTAAAAGATGGGCTACAATAACTCTAATTTGCACTTGTCAGACAACCCTCTCAAAGCAACTAGACTTTGCTCTTTCGTCAAAACTTTAAAAATTTCCCTCATCCCAATCTGTCTAGCTTGTACATGATGTCGCAATGTATAGTCTTGAAATTAGCAGTCTGTTCTGGGAATGACATACTCACAAATAAAGTGTTTGCAGAAGCCCATTGCAAAATTAACCTACTTCCAAGGATACTCGACAATTTTAAGTGTTGTTCTTTGTGCATATATCCAGTAAGGCCCGCAAGAGCTGACGTGCAGCCAGGGTGAATGTTTAAGATGTTATTCACCATCAACGGGCCTTATTATTGAAAGAATCTCATTAAATAACATCAACATTAGAAAGTTTGTCAGGTACCTGCTTTGTAAGGAAATTGGCTTTGTTTATTTCATATTTAGATGAATGCCCCTTTATGCTTAATGTGATGGTTTAAATTTCAACCTTTGATTTTTGTTTATGGTAAAGCTTTTTTGTGCTCTTATGCTGGGTAAAATCCTGCAGAATGCTTTAAAAGGGCAGATGTAATGTCAAGAGATAGCAGCAACGATATAAATTTATATATGTGTTTGAAACCCATATTCTTTCTTGGCTTTTTTTATACCCAGGGTTTTTTGTGACCATGGTTATATTTTTGAAAGAGTAAAAATAAATTAGATACGGGTTGCACTTGCAGCTTTATTGTAAAATTGAGTGGAAGGGGTAGTTCTTTATTTCCACAACATGAACCTGTAGTAAATGTTTGCCTTGGTAATTCTTTATTTCCTGAAAAGTTGTTTATTGTATTAATATAACATTGTATTAATATTTATTGTTTAGCGCTGGTGTAGATTTGTGTGTTAGATAATGATTTTGTTGTTGTTCTTTCATAGATAATGTTTGAAAGGTTTGGAGCTCAGGCATTCTATTTGGCCAACCAAGGACCATTATCATTATACTCAATGGGGCTAACTACAGGCTTGTGTGTAAACTCAGGGTATTCAAGGACCCAGTCGATTCCCGTATATGAAGGACATTCTTTACCTTATTGCACTAACCAACTTGATATTGGTGGCAATCAGATTGCGAATTACTTAGGGAGGCTGTTGTTGTCAGAGAGAGGCCTAGCATTCAGTACATCGTCAGAAAAATTTCTCCTCTCAAACATGATGGAGAAATTTTGTTATGTTGCTGAGGGTATGTTATATGTCGATTCTCTAATATATATCGTTTAGAAATTGTCTGTTAAGTTTTGTCTCATATCAACCTGTTTTTAATTTCGCAATATTAGCTTCTTTGAGTAATGACCGTAAAGTTGCCCTGATGAAGACAACTTTGCGATGAAAATTAATTTACTGTAACATAAGTGATAAATGATGGTTATAGAAATAAATGCTGATACAGAAATAAATGATGGCCCAGGTCTTAGGGCTTAGTGGAGGCATTCTAGTAAAGTACACTGTTGAGCAACAATAATTGACTTTTTCGGATCATTTGAACGTATTACTGGCAACAGATGTTAATAATGGCACAAAAAGTATGTGAATTCTCATACCTGTACTCATTAGCATTTATAAGGTAGCTTCAGTAAGGATTCTATGTTTGCGCTTTGTAAATCTGGCATCGTTCATGTATAACAACACCAGATTATTTAGACTTGACTTGCTCTTTTGCAGACCTGAAAGCAGAAAGAGAACTGTTGAAGAAACGCTATGATGACGTAAGGAAAATATATGAGCTTCCAGATGGACAAATCATTGATATCGATTCCGAGAGATATGAATCCCCTGAGACACTGTACAATCCTGATCTTCTGGGACTGGAGCAGAGCCCTTTGCATGAAATGATGATAGACAGCATTGCAAGGTATGTTATGCTTTATTCTCGAAAGGCCATCGAATGCTGTGTCAGATGGCATACGCTGGCATACTCAGCCTCTGAAACTTGTCTTTCAATTTGTTTATCTTGTTCCCAATAAAGACTTCAAATACTCAACAGTGTAGTTGTTGCATGAGGTAATAAACTACAGACGTCTATCTTAAAGCTAAAACAGCTAAAATTTGCAATGCAAACCTTTAAAAAGGGTTGTGATCTTGGTGAATGAAGAACCACAGTAACAGTGATGGAACTTTTTTGAAGTCGCGTGAAGTCGTGCCATTTTTTGAATTACCAGTTATCAACTCATTCATAGAAAGACACAATTATAACGAACTCATGAGTGAAATACTGAATACTGTGTTTATGTTATAAGGAGTACTTTTACTGTGCAAAGTTACAGCCCTCTAATTAGTCTCTGAAGCAATTGGAATTTGGTAACTTTTGTTGGACCTCCAAAACTTAAAGGGAGCTGTAACGGCCTTCATTTGTTGACTTCTAATCGACTATCTTTGCTTTAGTGCGGAACAAGACCTGAAGACGACGTTGATGAAAAACACTGTGATTACAGGGGGAACAACTAGATTACCAGGCTTTACCGAGAGACTAGAAAAGGAACTGTCTGCTGTTGGAGACCACACTTGTCACTTCTCTTTAAAGAAAGCCAACAATCCAGTCACTGCTACATGGACTGGTGCATCGGTTATAAGCTCATTGTCGACTTTTTCACAACAGTGTGTCACAACTGATCAGTATGCAGAAATAGGTTCTCAAGTTGTGCACTTGAAATGTTTTTAAAAGGCAGTTGGCTTCTGTATTTGCATCAAATGCGCAAAACGGCAGCATAGCGCAGGTTTTAGCTTTGTAGAAACTGTTCCCTTTAGTTTCAATGTTGTTTTAATTGAGTGAGGGTGTAGCGATAGCGCATTTTTTGCTGTTGTACTGTGGACATCCAGCTGTGCTGCGACCATAGAAAGTGAATCACAAAGGGAAATAAGACTAGCCAGTTTTGCAGGGGTAGTTAGAGGGAATTAACGTACAAAAAGTGCGCAAGATGTTTGTACAAATTCGCCTCCATAACATCCTTCTTGCGCCCTGTAGCACCCCGCAGTACCCCTGATACTAACTTGTGACTAGGCTGTGATTAGGAGCTGGTCAGAGGAGAGCTCGTAATTGTATGCGCTGTGTACCTGTTGCCATTTACATAATGGCTTGATATTTGGTCTGTGTTGGCATGAAAAGTTTTGTGAGAATGTTTTATCCTGACTTGATGGTTAGTTCATCCTGGCTGCAACTGATCTAGATAGGATATTGTTGTCATGTAGGATATCGCTTCAGACGGTTGAGATGTAGTGAAATGTAATGAAACAGGCCAAGGCAGGGTAGTTAGAAGGTCTTGAATGTTAAGTCCCACATCTCGGTTTGAAATACGTCCGAAGTGTTAAATGCGCGCATGCCATTGATCCAGCATTCATTCAAACTCCACCATGTTTGTTTTCAACCACACTTTCATTTTTGGGGACTTTGTTTGAATACACAGGTTGGCGCTTAATTAGGAAATGCCTGCAAAACGTGGATGGTAAGCTGCAATGCGGCAATACTGGCAAGCTAGCGTTCTCTGATGATTTTATGTTTGTAAATGGTTTTGAGTTGTGTATTGTCTCCTGTGTGCTGTTTCATAATTGTATAACAATGACCATGCTTGATTGAAAGTATAAAGTATTAGTGTTAACATATTAAATTACGGTGACTAAGTTAATTGCGGGATCTGATTTTTCAGTATTTAAATAGAATACGTTACCCTTATGTCTTGTTTTATCACAGTACTTTTAAACGTGTCCTCTAGTATACACTGATTTTCAATACCCAGCTGCTTCAAGGGCTCAGTGCTTTAAAATTTCACTGTAAGATTCGTCTATGATGCCCTATTTCAATAATGCCCTTCGTAATTTTGCGTTGTTTGAAAGCCATATTAAGCCAGAGCATTTTATGTAAGAAGCTTTCCAACATGCACAGCTAGCAATATCCATAGAATGTTTGCCTGTTTTCTATTGTGCCTGGCATACAATTCCCCATGTACTCCTTTGCATATACGCGTAAGGAATCTTAACGACTTCAGCCCCTCGATAATCATCAAGTCCTTTTATGATGCCATTTGATCGCTTTTATGATGCCATTTGATCGCTTTTTGATGCCATTTGATCGCTTTTATGATGCCATTGGATCGTAGGGCAATCACCCCTTTAGTTTTGATCTTGTTAACGGTCTTGTAAGGCTGTATGATTTTTCATAAAGTAAATAACGTCTAGAGTAGATGAGATTTGTTTAGGTCATGGGAAATTTCACTTTGAGTTGATACAAATAACGCAAAAAGAGCGACTCGTATACTGCTCTTTATTTCTACATCAAAGAGCATTTTTTTAATTGTTTCCTAAGATACTCTCTGGATTTCATTTTGTACTTGCTTTTACTATGAACTAAATCATTAGCAAAGTCAACATACAAACGAAATAGATTGTTTTATTCACAGATGTGTAGTGGTGCTTCCATTGGGAGCCGATTATAAATATTTAGTAAAACGATAAATTGTACATTATTTAGTTTATTTTGAACAGAATTGATGATTTATAAAGTTTGAAGATCTGGTTTGTGTTTGGGGAAAAGGTTGCACTCTTTGTTTCAAAGTCTTCTGTTTGCAATTCGAGGAGCTATCAGTTATGTTTGACGGAATATTGAAATGGCTATAGAATTTATAAAAATAGTTCCCTGAAAAGTTGTATGCATTTATCGATGACAAAGCCATTTATCCGCTTGATTTGGATCTAAAATATTCATTTATTATCAGGAACTGAAATAATATGCAGCTGCTTGAAAAGTTTTTTAATTTATAATGGAGGCAAGAGCTAGAATTTCAATTTTATAGATATTGGAAAGAAGATTGGAAATATAAATAAAATCGATTTGCAGACCCGTGTGGTTTTTTGGCAGAATTATGATAACTTATCAGGTATTTCTTGATAAGGCCTAAAGATAAGTGGTTACTTACAGACAAGTAGCATATGAAGCCGTCAATTTGCTTTCGTTATAATGTAAAATTTTATTGCTGTTATCTAGTCCTGTGCATTAAAGCGTGAGTTAAATATCATTTGAGGTGAACACAATCTACTGTAAGTACCCTAAGTAACAACATGGCCTAAATGACGAAGAGAAGATTTTCATTTGATGATCCACTGATTGAATGTTATCACAACATGCAAGGAAACGGTGAGATTGCCGAGTTTGAATACGTTTTAGTTTAAACCTTGGTGCTTTTTGAGATGGAGCACGTCAGTGTGGTGGAAATGTAGTGTGTCGGACACTAGGTTTTACGTCATAGCCATTGAAACAGTCAAACAGCCACAGAAACAGTCAAACTCTACGTGCAACAAAGATTAAACAAAAAGTACCGTTCTTACCGTTTTTTCTTTTCGTTTCTTTTCCTTTTCGGACGAATTTTCTTTTGTTTGAAACGGTTGGGACCATAGACATAACATTGGTAAGGAAAAACGTAACTAGGAACAGGTCCAAGGAATAACGAAATGACATTAACAGAGTAAGAAGTTTGCTTGCTGCTAGAAACGCCCGGTCAAAACATCGCAGAAAAAGAAATCTAGGAGGTGATACATGAATATATGATTACAAAAGATTTTTGTCTCAAAATCATATGGCTCACTTGCAAATTCTCAGGACAATTTTTCGTCTTTTTGTGTCTATTTCTTTCCCCGGAGAAAAATGTTTTTTTTGAAAAAGCTTTTTCAGAACAAAGACCTTTGAAAAATTTTGAAAAATGTTCAAACATTTGAAAGAATCATTTTTTTTATATGGAGGAAAGTGTTTCACCTAGGTATCTGTATGCTGGTGGACGGGACGAAATACCCTTGGGCCGGAAAGGCGGGAGGCTATAAAACATGGCTCTAAAACTTTTACAATTCGTGTACCATTATGCCTTAAAGCTTTCCTACCAATATCAGCTTTATTAAGCATTATATCTAAGTACAGCATAGAATACGTTATACATCACCTAATTAAAAAATGGACGATTAACATTTATACATGATAGCCAAAAACTTCAAACTACACTGCACTGAATAAGAGAAACATTATGACAAGATGTGTACTTAGAGGAATTAAGATGATAGAGAGATAAAGTTATTAAGAGCCCACAATCCAACTAAAAAAAGACTAAAAAATACTATCATTATAAAGTAAAGAACAAAAAGTTGCAAATTAACTAGCAGTAAAATGAACTCGATAGCAGTCGAAATTCTTTACTAGAATGATCTTTCGTAAGATAACAACAAAAGAAAATGACGCTTAAAAGTATAACATAATCGAGGTCTTTTTACAGTATCAATTCCAAATTTTCATGTATAAATCAACTTTTGGTATATAAATCTGAACATCAAGTATGATACAAATCTGCGACGTAAGCTACTATACACGGGGCAGGTTTGTTTTTACAAATAATTGCTGCTTTTAAGGTGTGAATGCAAAAGGTATAATTGTACGGTCTTTTCATCAAGGAGGGGTAAAAATCATTCATAAACGTCAAAGAATAGTTTTCTAACACAGATATGAAATTACAAACACTAAAGTTGGCACTGTAAGAGCTTACACCATATAGCCAACGGGTAGGCCTGCCTCCCTCGAACTATTATGCAAGGGCACACACAATGAGTCTGTGACGAAAAATGCATGCATTGATAATATTTTGCACTGAAGGAGCGTATCAGCAGAACTCAGTATAAAAACGAGAGCATTATTAGGGTAATGATACATTAAAAAGCATTTTCTATGAATAAAATTAGTGTCTTTAGTGCTTTCTTCCACTAGGGTCTTCTTAGGAAGCGCAAACTCAAAATAGATCCTGGACAAGAGCGCTTGATATCTTATTAAGAAACACAAACATATAACATATAAAAATAACATCTATGTACAATAAGAAATGTCACTATTAACAAAAAATGTCTTGCAAAGATACACCAAATGGTATGGGTTATAAAAACTCGCTGGTATTATACGACTTCTAATTTCGCGAAGAACTTTTGAGTGTGTCGAGATTGCAAATCCAGCAAAGGAGAGACCATTTGGGACAGCTTTTGGAAAATCAAAAGTCTTTCTGAACTTGCAAGGAGTGTATCTTCTGCTCAAGTTCAAAGGGAATGCCGCATTTTGTTTGAGCAAGCCACGATGTTAGTTGAGCTGTTATTGATTCTCGATCAGTTGATACAATGTCTAGCAAGGTGTAGGCAGAGGCTATCTGAACAATTTTTGGTACTAGAAAAAAAAGATGAGACAAATAAATAGGAAGCAAATTGAGGGCTTTATTATTGGAGTATCAAAAGAGCTTCACTTGGAGATAGGGAGCCCAACGATTCACCATCTGCAGAGAATAACTGCACAAATGGGATCATAACTCGCTACAATTTGAAAGAAAAAGGAAAGGAGCATTTAGATTCTGGTTTCACGCAAGCCCATAGAAGTGTCGCATTTTGATGAAAACGATTATATGTTGACTGTTATAATTTAAGCATATTTTAACTAGGTATTAATCAACATTTTCACGGTGGACAGACAGCAACAAATATGGGCTTTAGCTATTCAAAGGTCTGAGCTGCAGTGCCGCTAGTTACTTCCTCACTTATTTCTACAGCTCCAGTCTTTATCGTTCTATTAAGACATCTAGTCTTTTGACTTCTTTTCTGCACAAAACTGCACTATTCAATGTCTCAATGTAGGCATTTTCGAGAGCATTAGACTTGATACAAAGACATTTTAAGGGATGGCAGATTTCATACAAAAAAATTTCTGATTGATTTTTAATTCGGAAAACTGGCAACAACTTACTTGCAGCAAGTATCTTGGATCTACTGAGTATTCCAGTACACATTCTGACAATAATTCCGAAGTCTTCGTATCCTTCTTCCAGCCCGAGTTGTGATACCTCCCCTGAAACAAGAAGAAGCAAAACAGATTTCAGTCTTGAAATAAAAACCCGCTTATTTTATCTTTTAAAGCCCCAGGAAGAAGATACTAACATTAATAATACACACAGGCTCAGTCCAACTGAATCTTTCCGTACTGTTCCGTACTTCCCAACCTTTTCCGTACTGTTTTTAACGCAAATTGGAATTTTTTAACATACATTTTGTAAGCCAATGTCAGATTACCCATGCAGAATTTGGAGCACAGACCAAAAGTTCAATGCAGAAGATTTTTGAAACAAACTAAAATCCAAATCAATTTGAATCATGAAGGTGGTCGACGCCGAGAGGTAAACGTGACGAATCATTAAAAATATACACATGTTTTTCCAATCCTTAGCAAGACATCAGCATGCAGCGTCAACGACTCCTTATAGCTTACCCCCAAGAAAAACGAAATTGACAGATAATATCGACCGAAATACCTATAATCCTAATTGATGTGGCAATCGTTGCATCGGAAACCTTTTTCTCAACAGCATTGCTCTTAGCTGAGAATTGCTGACTCCATCGACGAAAAATGTTCCACAGATATTCACGAATTAGCGTATTGTTACACCAGATCCAACCTTTGTGTTTTGCCAAGAGTAGAAATGACCTTTTGATGTCATTTACGGCGGGTCCAAAGAACTCGTTTGAATCTAGGGGAAGAAGGCAGAAATAAAAATCTTTATACAAACCTAAATAAAATTCATAAATCTGGAAGGAGAGAGGCACAGCTTTAGAAGGGGTACTGCTGTTAAGATTAGGGGGGGGGGGAGTATAGCCAGTAAACTTTAGAATAGGATAAAGGGCCTCATTGCAGCTGTGGTCTGGCGAGGAAGACATCCTGGCATCAGATGCATTCGACAAACAAAAATACACTTGATTCTAATTACGCACCTGTGGATAAGCAGTCATTCTGGAGATGGTCACTTTCCAGCAAGTCCATCAGTACATCGCACAGACTATCAAGAAGATCATGTTTTGTCGAAGACCACGGAAGAATTTTCTGCAGAGCCTGAAAAAAGATTTTGAAATATTAATCGTACCGACGGCTATCAATTAGAGGAGACTGTGCGGTTTTTAGCATCAAGATTAAGCGCCATTCAGAAGTTCATGAAATTAGTTCAATACAGTATTCCCAAGTTCGTTGGATAATGTCAATCGCTACTTTTGTCTTGCGAACAAAACCAACAGCAATATCACTGATTTTTTGTAATATTATCTTTGCTTTACAGTGTTCTATATCAAACAAATCTTCCAAAACAGAATCAAAAACTTACCTTGTACGTCAACGAGTCTTTGTTCTCTGATGCTTTGTAGCAAGCAATGACTTGAGTTGAGAACAAAATTGACTGGGTTCCAAATCTATCCCGTCGTTCGAGAATCTCTAGTGGGTCATTTGCGCTCGAAAACAACTTAGGCCACACGCAAAAGCAGGAAATCAAAATAGCACCGTGAATCTCTGAAAGAGCCTTACTCCAAGTAACATTGTACAAGAAATCTTTGTAGCCATCGACATTCTGGTTGCCACAACTCAAAGCTGTCATTAGTCGGCTGAAAGGCGGTCAAAAAACCAATTTATCATTTATACCGAACAATTTTGCAAAAAATTGAAATGGTAAATAAGTTCGAGTAGATCCCAAGTAAGAGGTTGAGGTTCTTCTGCAATAATGAATGTCGAGGGAATGTCCAAGGAGTCCTATTGGAACTTCAGAAATGAAGAAATGATGAATAACTTTTAAGTCGTGATTCAAAACTTGAAATGTTTCTTGATACGGTCTTAATAATGATTCAAAATTTTGGATTGATACGGGTTGTCAGTTTCTGGGAGAAAGAGAATTTCTGAATAAGAAAATTTAGAAACTCTGAAGCAGCAAGCGGTGTGAAAGACCCTTAAAACACAACACAAAAAAGCTTGAGGTTCGTATCCTTGCTTTACTTACAGATATCTCTAATGTATCGTAGGGACTGTTGGAAATTGTCTAATTCATTACCATTTTGCAAAGCTTTGTGTGTGTTGTCTTATAATGAACTGACAAATAAACAAATAATGGACTTATGATAGATTTAAATTACAAAAGAAGGAAATAAGATTTTCAAAATTTAGAGAAGCTGCGAGAAGGTAGCATGATACACAGAACAAAAATGGAGCACCCCTTCAAAATAAACGGAGTACTATGTTATAAAATCACAATGAGCAATGACAACTTACTAAAATTTAATGTTATGTATCTCACCTTAGCGATAACATTCCTTCTTTTCTCGTATTTGATTCGCCAAGAATCGACTTGGGTAAACGCTGCAGTAAAAGCTTAAGGATATTGTTTAAGTGTGGAATCTTCATACAGTCTGCGACAACCCTCAGTATCAGCTGTTCCATTTCTGTAAGAACGGGTAGGTTGCTAAAACTTTCTACATGATTACTCGTTTCATTTTGCCTCGGTTGCATTTTAATGCTTTCAACCTCAAACTGGCCACTGTCGTCAACACAGCCCAATCTCTGATAAGCAGGAAGAAGATTTTCTTGGCCCTCAAGTTTTAAGAACGCAATTATGGCCGATACGATTGAAGTGGCTGATGACACGTTCTTAAATGAGCTGAACCGTTGAACCACTTCTTTGGGTGTTGCATTGTTCTTCAAACATGCTAAACAGAACTGCGCATATTCTACTTCGGACTGCCTAACACCCCTGGTAGGGAGGCTCTTCTCAGCGACATTACTGTCGACCTTATCATTATTCACAAGGTCATAATCACTTGGACAGCTTGTGGGAATACACAACGCTGATTTTAAAGAACTTTCTTTGGACTCTATATCACGATTGATATCACCCATATCATTGACTTCCGATTTGACATTTTGCTGAGCATCTCCTTGGCAAATTCTAGCATTATTCCCTGTGTATTTTTTGCCTCTATTGCCTATACCAGTGTTAACTTTATTTGCAAATGGATTGTCCTTGACTTTTTTACCTTGAACTGTGCTGCGAAGGATTCGCTTGCTTTCCGGCTTGCTCTGTCCTTTTCTCCTGTTAGGGGCGCATCCTCTGGACGAAGCATCTTCTTCAAAAGTGTCAAAATTGTTACATATTCTTTCTTCATCTACCTTCTTTTCTCCAATCATACTTGGTTGACTTCCCTTTTTACTTCGCAATGATCGCCCGTGTAACTCATCAGAATTTTCTTCCACCTTTCTTTTACTTCGACGGGAACAGGGCTCTTGTATCTCTTTGCGGAGACTTTTCTCTGTATCAACAAACCTTTGTTCTTTGTCTCCTTCAGTTCCCTTCTCAACACTTCCATCAAAATTCGCATCAAACGACAAAATTGACTTGGTATCTGCAAATAATGAAACCCTACACCCTGCTTTCCCTTCTGCAACTGTCCCATTTTTATCACTACCAATTTTAGCACTGTGACCTGAAACCTCCTGCAGTAATGATGTGTTTGCACTTCTACCAGCCAGGAGTTCAATCTTTTCATTAACAGAGTCGTTCTTGACTTCAGCGGCGATTTCAGCAAGCGCTGGTTCAGGAGGCACACTGCCATTCTTGATCCCATTAACCAACTTTTTTTTGGCAGAACCATCTGTTTTCAACGTGAAATCCAGTGTTCGTTTTGAATTGAATGGCAGCATTGCCTGGGGTTTTGCAAGCATTGAAAGCTGACTGGCGCTGCTTACCAGGCTGATGCCATGCATTAATGATGGCGAGGCAAGTTTTGGTGGCGATAAAAGAGGCGACACTAAATCTGGCAATGGAGTAATTGGCAGTGGGGACAACATTGGTAGCTGTTGGCAAGGGGGAGATGGAGGGAGAGGGGACAGTCGCGGAAAAGAGGCTGTCTCCTCCGCCATGATTGAAGCAATGGAGATCTCCATCTCGATCTCTTGCTGTCCTAAGTCAGCCACGTTATCAGATGACGTCATTTTTATGGCAGTACTTTGGCTTGAAGAAATCGCCTGCGCAAGAGGACCACTTGATTGTTCTTTAATGTCATTATCACCCGAAGCTGTTGAAACGCCGTTATCAGAGCTTTGCAGCAATCTGTTAATCAATGTTGATCCGGGTTCTTCTGAACCAGAAGATGATTTCCCATTGGTCTCCTTTTGCAAATTCAGATCAACACATACAGCGCCGCTTTGACTTTGCCCTTCCAGAGAGGTTTTGACAGACTGTCTGAAACTATTTTCAACTTTCAAAGCTTCAGAGGATTTTGTTTTTAACAACTTCTTGCTATCGAAACTTGATTCTATTTCTGACAAAACATGATTTTCAAACAAAAAGTTGTCTTTCTCTTGGTTTAAGCTGCACAGATTTTGAGATTTTTCTTCACTTGGCGGAGTTGATACCAATTTCCTTTCTTTGGTTTTGGAAACACATTGCACGGTATTACTGTGTTCAGAAACAACAAAGTCCTCTTTTGTAAGTAATTTTAAATCTTTACGTTCACTCTTTACTGTCACATGGCCTTCGTCTGTAGTAACAGCTGTTTTTAAATGCGAACTATTGTCTATATAAGCTGGGGCTTGACAACGCTTCAAATCAAATTCAGTCGAAACCAAATTTTGCTTGCTCTTTACTGACATATCTACACTCTCAGCTGAAGTGAGATTTGGTTTCTTAGCAACGCTTTCTGAAGCCGAATGGTTTGAAATACTAACATTTTGGAATGTAGTAGTTTTTGCAGAAATTATGTCAACACTTTTTTCGAGATTTTCTTCTGAACTGGTCCCGGAAGTTTTCGTTGCGCTTCTTTGGCTATCCACTATTTCCTGTTCAATCTCTTCCTTTTTGCCTTCAGTGAATCTCGATTTCTTGGAACTGACCGATGGTGCCTCTTGACAGATACCCAATGACTCAATTGACCTTTTATTGTGACTTTTTCTGAAATCATCTAAATGTTTTCCATCACTGTCTTTTTTGTTTTCTGAGGAATTCGATCGACCCTTCTCATCCTTGCTTTCTTTTATTTCATTTTCATTTTCGTCTTCCGCTGTTTGCGAATCATGGGTACTTCCGTGTATCTTTGTAAAAACAGCTCTTTCTTCACTTGATAGAACCTCGTGATTTCCAGGAAATTCACATGTGTCTGTTTTAACTGATTCATTACTAGACTTTACAGCATTTCTGTCCGGGTCAGCTGATGAATGTCCACCGAGATTCTCGCATACCTCAGAATTAACTGGTGGACCTACGTCACTGACATTATAATCCTCTGTTCTTGTTTCATTGTGCACTTGATCTTGTCCGCAGTCTTCTTTAAGAGTGTCTTGCTTTAAAGATGTGCTTGTATCTTTTTCTTCACATTGCTGAATAACAGTATCTTGAACGCTTTCTGCACTCAGATTATAAAATGCAGTACCTCCAGTCCTTGCAGTTAAATTGGCAACTAGAAAGGAGTTCGAGAAATCTGCGGAATTCCTTGTTGTCTCTTCCAAATTGACATCTGATGCTTCTTCATTCGTTCCTGGCACTATGCTACAGTTTGCGTCACCTATTACTGACGGAGTACTTTGCTCTTTGCTGATATTAGGGCTTCGAGGGTCTTTACAAAGGTTACCATCATAGCCATTCAATTCATCGCCATTAGAGTCGTGTATATCTTCTTCATCACTGGAAATAGTGCCTAATAAATCATCCGTCAATCTACAAGTAGCCCCATCTGAAATATTGCCGGAATTATCCTCATTTGAATTGCTAAAAACAAGGTCATCTTGGCCAGTCAGAGAGCACTCTGTTTCTTCATTGTTTGACGATCCATCTCTTTCGCCTTTAAGTATAAACGTGGTCCTTTCAAGTGTTATATCAAAACTTCCAGCCACGGTTTTTGCGAGAGCGTTTAACGCAGGTTCACTAGAAGACCTTTTCAAAACAGAGACATTTTCAAAAGGAACATCTTCATTCAAGTCGTCATCTACGTCACTCGAATACTGACGATCAATAAACTTCCTTTTTCGATGTTTATTATTATTTCGAGGCACACTCACTGCCCCACTTTTGCAGATGTTTGGACTCAAAGATCTACTGGGATTAGAAACAGTACTCTCGCTTTTGCTAAAGTTTAACTTTGCCCTTTTCTTTTGCATTCCTCTTTGAATTTGGACAGCCCCTTTGGTTCTGTTTCTTATTGGAGCTGGGGATGGAGGTATTGGTGATAATGGTGGCGAAGGAATGGCAAATTCGGGAACAAAGCTGTCTTTGAAAGAGTCTGAGTTTCCAGGTGGCTTGTGTACAACATTGCATAGGATTTCAGCTACCTCGTCATCCTGTGTATCATCTGCAATTAATACGTCATTGGTGCTTATCTCTGAAAGCAAAGAAAGATTTTCATCCAATTTATCTAGACTAGAATGAAATTAAAAGAAAATGACAGATGATACACTTGCAAAAGGTTGAGGACCAGAGATTGAATAACTGTACATGTATACTATCATTCAAACAAGGCTCAACTCCTGTAGTGTTTTCCCACAACATACTTTGTTAGCAAGTCACCTTTCATTTGCAAAAAGTCTAGGGAAACATTCACAAGCTGACATAAAGCGAAGTGCGATCAGAATTTTTAACCAAATCTAAATAACTTTATAAAATAAATAACAGACAATATATCAAATTTTAACGAACTTGTGTCAGGCAGAGCCCAAACCAAATAACAAAGATGATTGTCTAAGATACTTTTACAGTGTTTTCATTCAGAAAGAAGTAACATCCTTCCTTTTTTCTGCTACTTTTATAAACAAGAATGCAAAAATAGACACATGTACAAAGTATCTATATTTGCATTGTGGTTATTGCAACTTTCTTGTGCATGATAGGGCTCTGACTGAAATGCACTTGGTACAAAAGCAAAACTACTCTCTAGTTGTATTGAAAGATTAAAGAGGCAGTAAACCCATTGAAATTAGATGATGAAATTACCTGTGTCATTCTCAAGATTGGAAATTTCAACGTTGGGTGAGTCATCCTCCCTCTTTTGTGTGCCGGTACAGCTACTGTGTATAAAGATAGTAATTTAATCACTGAAAGTTAAAATGAGTGATTTGATTGCTTTCTGTGGATTTATGCTGTCATACCCACAGAATACATTTTATCTACATTCAACAGGTTTTGTACATTCTGAGTTATTCTATAAAGCTCTTTCTTGCGATGTTGTCGAAATTTAAGAACTCTAGAAACAGATTTTTATGACGTTACATTTTGGAACTTTATTCAAACAGACTCACCTTTTAACAAACCGAATGCTAGTCTTTTGAGATTTGATTCCCTTTCTTTGGCGCTGTCCTAAAGATTTAAAACAAGACATGCTTAAAATAACACAATCAGCCACAACAAAGGAGAGGAGAGGGGTAAAGAATCCCAGAAGCCTTCGAAAACCACTCAAGCAAGCAAAATAAGCTAGGGAATTCATGAAGAAGAAGAATGTTATACAAAAACCGTGAACATAACACTGTAACCAATTAGAAATTTCCTGCAAAAGTAATTCTGGGTACAAAGTAAAAGTATAACAGAAGATCCCTGGTGCCATGTGTTTGTCAAGCTACTCTATCCAATGGTGATGGTAAAAATTCGGCTTCCCTGGAAAGTGATTTGTTTTCTGTAAACGTAGAAACAAAACTCAACTAGCTGCTGGAACATACAAAACTAGGGATAACTCACCTTTTTTTGGAGATTCTTTTATGCCATTTAGTTTATCCTGACAACAGAAATTTTTTTTTTAAAAATTGACATCCGTTAAATTATAAGTCAAGATAACTACAGGTCAAACAGAATTATTTTGATTGGAACCGACAAATTCAAAGCATAGCAATCCAACAAGTAAAGCTGTAATGAAAAAACTAAGAAGATTCGTATAAAAGATAATATGTTATAATGAAGTTGAATAAAAATATGAAAATGCACGAATTAATCTAAAGAAAAAAAAAGGGAAATTTATTGACAATATCAATACATTTAACCTTGCTGTAATATTAAAAGCTCGCTAAAAGGTTCAAAGCTTGTAGAGCCTTGCATAGCAGCTTCTAAACCAGTGGTGCTCAAACTTTAGTTCATGGACCTACTGCAGTCCGCTTTTGAATTTTAGATGGCCAACCGGACGTTCTGAATGTAATGAAAATACGGCCAGCAGAAATGACGTATGATCATTTCCTCCAAAAAGAAAGCCACAGGTGACCGACCATGACAAACACGGTAGAAAAGGGACGCTACTGCCAAGAAGTCAAGCGAAGTTGATGGTACATTTTATTTAAAATGAAACTACCACATTCATGATAAAATGTGAGTTGACATTGCTTTTCAACGAAAATTGGCCATAGGAATCTTTTTCTCAATGTTCCATTTCCTTTCATGAATCAAACTTAGTGAGCTGGATAACCAAAGATTGTAAAAAAAACAAATTTACCTGGAAGTTTTTGATCTGCTGAGTCATCTTTTCAATTTGCTTCTTAGCATCTTTGGTTCTTTTATCTGCTTCTCGCCTAGCAGCTTCATGGAACAAAGATAAACATTAAAGGACAAGCAAAATGCATGCCTCACAAATTAGCTTGCCCTGCGAACCTCTTTAATCCTAAAATTGTTCTTCAAAATTTATATACACTAAAGTATGTTGTTTAAACGGTAAAAGACTATCAAGAACTTGCTTGTGGAGGAGAGTTGTATGATCAGAATTGCTAGATTTTAAATTAAAACCACAACTACCTACTAAATAAATATATTAACTGTTTCTTAAAACATGTCATCGTCAAAACCATTCAGCCAACAACTAGTTGCCAACAACAAAAGAAACTTTTTTAGTATCAAACAACAAAACATACTTTTTGCCGTTTTAACCTGGGTTTTCAGCTTTTCAATCTCCTTTTCTTTTTTCTCTAACCTGGAAAAAGATATTTGTGTCAATTATAGAAAAAATGAACGACTACACATTACGTTAGAAAGTATTTATAGCTGGGCAAACAATGATAAACCTTTTGTTCTAATTTAAAGGCATTGAGTCATGGTAAATATTGGTTCTCCGCGGGGGGTTTGTCTGTTTCCATGTGATAAGTTTGTTTTCATGTGATCAGCGATCAGCGATGTGATTTGTCGAAAGCGAAAGGCATTTGAAAAGCCTTTGTGGCATTTGAAAGGTAGAAATGGGAGAAGAAGTTTTGAAATCTTTTTTAGAGAGCAAGATAAAAGATATACGATTCCTTTTTACCGTGACTCAATGCCTTTAAAAAATCAACCCTAACAAAATGATGAAAACATGACCTTGACTGCCTTTTTCTAATTTTTCACAAGCAATTGAATATTTTTTCATTTAATGATTTGATAAAAATGATATGGAATTTTAGAAACTTACTTGGTTGTTAATGATGCATTTTCTTTCTCGAACTTCTTTGAAGAGGCATTGATTGAGGTTGACATTGCCACTTTGTCAATCAAAGCATCTTCAAGGTTGTCAACATGACTCTAAAAGAATGTGTTGGATTAGAATCAGTATTAGTAAGAATGTAAACTTATATTTGTACCTTGAATGCTAGGTTCCCTTCTAGGCTTTTGTAGATGTAGAAAAGGTTTATGACAGACCAACATAAACAATGAGAAAATTACAGAAAAGAGGAATCCTTTTTTTGCATAAAAGCATTCCTTTCCTTGTGTGTTTCACTTCATTCATTTCATTTCAAATTACCTGTTTTGTTTTTAGTTGTTCTGTCAAATCTTCAATCCGTGCTTCAGAGTACTTCTTTTCATTTTCAAACCTGGTAGCAGCCTAAAAATAATAGATGCAAAAATAATTCATGGAGCTACATTTAGATTATTCAAATTTAGAAACTAACTTCAATGCTACAATTTGCTTTTGATGATGATTGCAGATAGGGCTGTCATGACAAAAATCTTATGAAAGAGACTTCTTTGCAGTAAATTTAAGGTTTTAAGGAACATCACAACATCAAAATACCAACTTTCAAATGACTTTTTTGAACAATTTTTAAACTCTTGTAGCATAAAAGAGAGCAAAACACAGGTAAATGGCACATTTTTTAAATCAAAAGGAGAGTACAAGCTATGTTGTAAAAAAATAATTAGATGGCCATATATAAAAGACCTCCCAATTACTAACAGAATAAAAAGTGTAAATAATATTGTGAGGGGAAATTCCATATTTGCAAGCAGATACTTTTCTAGGGAGATAAGCATATCTACTAATATGTATTGTTTTGAGAAAACACATAAAAACTCAAGGTTAGTACCTAACTGCAAATAATCTTGCAGTTCTATTGATAACATGGACACAGCCAGGGTGCAAAGGGGTCCCTACAAAACACTTTTTGAAAACAGAGGCAAAAGTACCTAATTGTAGTTTATGGAGGTGCTCTTTTTCTGCCCACATGTGACCCTCTGCTTTTGAAATGCTTTCTTCTATATATATAATTGATAACTTATTTAAAAAATCTTCTACTGAAAGGAGAAGAAGTTGACCAAAGGGTTTTCCAAATAATTTCTGCAAAAGACTCTTTGTAAAAAGACAATTGAGCAGACCTCAAGCTCTAATGGATATTTCAGAACACGAAAACATTGGGCTTAATTAAATCTTTTAATCTGTACTATAAAAAGACAAAAAGTGTTTAAATTGTTTATTCCACGTTGGGTCTTGAAATTTAAGTAAGTGCAATTAGAAATTCCTAGGACTAAAGGATGAAGCTTTTTCTGGATTACATAAAACATCAACAACAAATGGACAAAAAGAAAGTGAGAATGCAAACCTTTTTCAAGGGCTCGTTTGCCTGCTTTGCCTTTTCTAGTTGAACTCTCAAGGCTCCATTCTCACTGAAAAGATCAAAGACTTTTCATTATAATTCAACTGGTTTAATCTTAGTTAAAACTTTTCAGTCTAAATTGCTATAATCCTTACTGGCTACATCTGCACAAAACAGCTCTAAAAATATAAACAAATTTCAAACCTGTAGCATTTCTTTAGTTTTTCTCCCATGGATTGGTTTTCTTTTGACAGACTGTCACATTCTACAAGAAAACATTTCAACTGCTAGTACCTTAGAAACAATCAAAAACTGTATTTTAAATTTTTAAATACAAACTATTACCTTAGTTTAATAAATTTAATAATGAATAATTATTAGATTTTATCAAGATGAACAATTTTCATCAAATTATCAAATTAAAATTCTGTCACATCTCTTAAATTCACAAAGTAGAAATTTCTGCAGTTTAAAATCAAAGCAAGGGTTCTTAAAATTCATTGTAAAAAAGCTTTGATGTCATTTGAGAAAAATTTCATCAAATAGTGAACCAAATTCTAGCTTCTAGCAATTAACCTATGACCTGGGCTGGGCCTGCAAATTTTATTGAGAAATCAAAAATACATATGTACATACCCAAGCATTTTTGTTTGTATGCTTTAATCAGCTCACTGAAAGAAAAGATCAAACTGCATTAGATCAAATGAAAGAAGCCTGCAAAATTTTTATAAAAATAGGGTGTACCTTTTGAAATTAAATTAAAGTGAATAAAAGCATGCACTTTCTCTCCGGCATTATTTTCTTTGTTGGGCCTTTACTCCTTGTTTATCTCTCTATGTTGTTTATTCCTTGTGTCTTCTCTGGCATTCTGATTGCTCCTCCGGTTTACTTCTTTACCACATGGTTTATGACCCCCTTTGTTTAGCCTTTATTGTATTAAAGTTGATTTTTTCTCGCCTGTAATTATACTGAAGATGACTCTAGCCAGAGTCGAAACGCTTTATTCAATCTAATGGACTTAATCTGTCTTAATGGATCTGTCTAAATTGAAATTGTCTATGATGTAACAAGAAGTTGACAGATACATTATGTCTTTTTTCTTTGTCGTCATACTGGTTATTAATTTCATTATTAGGCTGCGATTTCCGAAATCTTAATCTACCAAATAGCTTGCATTGAATGATAATAAAAATGACATTAATCAAAAGCAAGAAAACAAAATAATAAATGATTTAGCTTACCTTGTGTTCATTAGTTTTTCTTTAAGCAAGGAAAAATTTGCTTCTGTCGAGATTTTATACGACTCCCATTTCTTGAAGACAAAAGTTGAATAAATTTTTAACTTCATTGAGATTCTATCAAAGGTTTATACAAGTGTTTTTTAAAGTTGCAAACAATAGATACAACAGAAGATGAAATAACTTACAATCTGATTTCAGAATAATGAATAATCAGGCCTCTCTGGGAATAAAAAGCACGCAGGTTAAAAAAAACCTCTGCTGGTTTGGCTGCATGGGCTATTTAGCCCTTGCAGAATTTGTTGTTTATCTATTTATATTTGAGAATATAAAAGCCAAAAAATATATCACATTGTCTACTTGTAAACATGATTTATCTTAAGAAGACAGTTGTTTTATGTGCATTACTAGGCTTTAAAATGACAAAAGAGATATCTGGTTATTTTGCAAAATGGCAACGTTTTGTGTAGAAACACCAGATATATTGAGCAGTATCCAACGAAACTCATCTTTATTCAAAAAGAAAAAGAGCAGGACTTCGAAAAATTCAAAAAATGAAATAAATTCACAAAAAAATTAAAAAACACAAAAACTTTATAAAAAATCAAAAAAATCAAAAAATATAAAAAACATTCAAGAAAATGAAAAAAATGAAAAAAAAAATTAAAAATGCAAAAAAAATTAAAAAATATGAAAAAATGGAAAAAATGAAAAAAAAATGAAAAAAAAATGAAAAAAAAAATTAAAGAAAAATGAAAAAAAGTCGAACAAATTCAAAAATATCCATAATCATTAAAAAAGACAAAAAAATTCACAAACATTACAAAAATTGAAAAAAACTCAAAAAAATTAAAAAAAATTAAAGAACATATAAAAAATTAAAAAAAATTCAAAAGTCATTTAAAGGGTAAAGGAAGATTGAGTTGATTTGCATCAAAGAATAACTGAAATACAGTTCTTTTCTATTAGAAATGAAGGTCAACTTTGAGTACTCCAGTTTCTTAATGGTATAGGAAATTCTAATACCCATTTTTTCTTAAGAGTTTCTTAATCTGAAAAAAGCACAGAAGAGCAAAAAAATAACATGATCAAGATCGGCAAATGACATATACATAAACCTCAAAGCATACAAGGAAGCAGAAATGCGGATTGAAAGTAAAGAGAGAGTACAGAAAGGGTGTATGATGGGTTCTATGTTTTTGACAAATCCCAACCACTTATCACTTACCTTGTTGAAGAGTCAAAGAGCAAAAATGAATTATTTCTGAAACTTTTTAATTTTCTTCCGATTGCCCAGATGTCGTTTCTTATAGCGTGTTTTTTTTAAAAAAATGAGTGTGTTTGTAACAAAAATTTCGTACTTGACAATGTTGTGTAACAATTCTCATTCTTGCTATTTTATGTATCTGTTGTTCCTTTCCTGCACAACCATCTTCTATTCCATTGTTAGTTGCAACAGGTAATACTATGGTTTGTTAACATTTGATGTCAAAAGAAACGGAAATTTCCTTTTTATGACAACATTTATAAAACCATATATCTCTTTGACACAACATTATTTATGAATACCCTGATATATAGTGGTAGCTAGTTAAAACATTAGAGAGTGAGATGAAGTAATGTTTATAACAACGCCTTTCGATAAAGGCGTTGTTATAAAAAACTGTGTGGGCGGAAAAAAGCCCTCGCAAAAAATCGGGAAAGGCCTGAATAATGGAAGATTATCATAACCCAACCAAAGTTGCACCTATTTCTTGCAACCAGGAATTATTTGATGTTTCAAAATGGGCACTTGTTTCAACAAGAAAATGAAATTTCAGTGTCACTGCAACTGCATGTAATAATTTTAGACCAGGCTGTGGTTACGGCAAGTACCACCCGATCCCAGAGAAATTGTGATGGGCATTTTCAGTTAGCTATAGACCTGGGTGTTCAGAATCGCGATGGTAAACGGGAATCTACTGGTGCCACTTGGAGCTGGGAGGCTTTTCTTCTTAGTCTCTGAAAATGAAATGCCCCACAATTTTGTCCAGGCTCAGGTGGTACTTGCGGTAACCACAGCCTGGTCTATTTGTATTATTGGTCAACTTTCCACTTTTATTCAATATTTTGCCATCTACTAAACAAAGAGTAAAGTAAGGAAATTATTTGATGTTCAACCAACAGAGAGAAGAAAGTTGATTTGGCATTTTTGAAAAGACAGGGTTTTCTAAATAGAGTCATATGCAAATATTTAAAATAAGAGGATAGAGATATTTAAAGCCTAATCGAAAATTAATTCTTATTAAGATTGCCAAGGCAAATACATTTAAATAACAAAGAAAACTAAAAATAATTGTAATAATTGTATCTTCAAGAAATGTAGACATGCTAATGGTCTAAAACACACATTACATTATTTGACTGCTGCTTCATTGCCTTAACCATGCTTATATTGCGAAAATCGTAAAACCGGAGTCATTATTGTGTTAGACAGGGGCACTGCTAATTCAGACCATAATGAAAATGTGATTTGCTAGCAATTCAATGTAGGTACATATCTGAGAAAAATCAAATTACCTCCTGTGTATCTTGACAACTCTGGCAAGACATTTGCTCACGTTGGCCAATTTCGTTATCACCATCTTGTTTGACATTCGCTTCCATCATTATTATCGCTTGGTTACTGGATTCCAGTACATCTTTTGATTTCTTATCTCCAACTCTGCAACCAATATTGTCAATCCCATTTGTAATCTTAGAAACCTCTTGGTCACATTCGTCGTCGTTATAAACTGGAGCTTTCGTCGTATTTTGTAAAGACCCATTATTATCGAGCGTCTCATCGGTCATTGTCAATAGGATACACCGCTGAGTTAAAAACGGCCTAACATATCTCTACCTTTAAATAACTGCTGTGTGTATCAATCTCCGTGAAAGAACTTAGAGTTATCTATAACTTTGCAGGTGGTATAACAACGGTATTAATCAAGCTCATTCTGACAGTGTAGCGGCCTAAGCCCTAAGCATGTGGTTGTGGATATACATCCTTAGTCTCAGCTTCACTGCCACCTGCAACACCCGGTTTGCCACCAACATTTATAGGAAAAAGACCACACTATGTTTGGTCGGAAGGAGCATCTTTAAAAGCAGAATCACTGCATTGATACTTGTAATTCCACTATCCGTAAGCGCAAACTTTTTTCATAGTGTGCGGAACGTTACTGAAGAGTGACATTTTTAGGGGGCCTCTTTATCATCAACAGCAACTTGAGTAAACTGGCTAAGAGGCTAAGTAGAAACTTGAGCCCAGGCTCTGTCACCATCAAATCACTGAAATTTTGTCTCTGCTCTAAATTTGATGAACCATACATAGATAGCAGAAATCTGTAGGATACTTCCAAATTTAATATCATTTACTGGCCAACCTCGTTCAATTCATAGCAAATCTAACTGATACTGCATATTTGGATCTAATTCGTGAGGTCCCATTAAGTAATGTAGTACAAATTTAAAGCCCTGAAGATATCTTTTTAAAGCGTCACACTTGAAAACTCTATTGTGGCTACCCGCCAATATTAACTAGCCACTTTGAAAGTTTCGAAACTGGACAAGGGAAAGGTTACTACACTTTGAACTCTCTGCCGCTTTCTCACTCTAAACTTTTCCCAAAATACTATTAAATCTGTCAGTGCCCGTCCTAAACTGCAGGGGAAAATCTTCTCATCGAATAGGTTCATTTCTTTAGCTGATGATGATTCTCATTATTATATCATTCTGTTCATATTTTCTTACACAAACTAATATCAGCTTCCCATGCAAGCCTTTTGGGCCTATCTAGTTATGAAAGTTGTCCACATAGCATTTCTACATCTTTTTTAGTCACCAATTGGTCAAATTGATTAATAGCCACTAGTAGGTATGGCCATTAACTGTTTTCCCTTGATTGACAGTGCCTATTATTTCTACAGATCCACAAATTTTTAAAAAAATTGGCATAGTATTTTGCTGGGATTGACACAATGGGTGTGGCAAATACATATAATACCTTAGTGGCAATAGCACATCCTAATTAGCCAAGACCTTAAACACGAAGTATTAGAAAAAAGCCGATTTTTTACAATATATGGGTTTGGTTATAACGAAAGTTGCGATGTCTTAATTCGTCAGCAAAAAGGTATCGGAAGGAAACCCTCTTATATCGTTTTTCAGATCTCCGCCAAAGTTGTTTTTCTTCCTTCCACCTTCAAACCCCCTTGAAAACAATCTTGTTTATCAGACTTTGGAGCAGAATGATTGAGGTGATTTTGGTTTTTTTAAAGCCATATCTTTGCAGCTGAAAGTAATTTGAAATTTGCGTGGTCAAGCATCTAAACCAGCTTAATTTTTGCCAGGTTCAAAAGCTGGGTGAAGCTTCTTAAGTCTCTTGTTGTTGATGGCAAGTTTTAAATTGCATTCAGCCCACCAAATTCTTTGTCATTAAAACTTTGCTTCAAAAAGTTTCGATACTAACGAGAAACTGGTTGCATATGGCAAATAATCTCTCCTCTCACTGATGTACAAATGGTGGTGGTCTCTTCTTCTTCGTTTTTTGCTTAGCTAAAAAAATTTAGTTTGGAACGCGCACCAGTCCACAAGTAGAGGCTGATATAAAAAATTAGCCCCAATTGCTATTAACCGTTCTTTCAAAATGCACACATAAGTCATCACTAGCTGAAGATGATATCTTGAGTACATCTTACTTCAAAATAGCAAGGCATTCCAGATCAAGTTTTCTATCCCTTTCTTATTGTCCATTACTCATTTCGTATAAAGCAATTTTCTAAGAAATAGAGTGCAATACATTTTGGGCATTCATTTTGCGTTTAAAAAACATTTTTCTTATTAAAATACTTCATTTTAAACGTTTCGATTGGTTTTTATGCTGCACTTTTAAAAAATGGACTTTTTACAAATCCACAATGATAATTTTCAACTCCACAAAGCGGGTCAGATCCAGGCTTATTTTAGGCTCTGCTGATTGTCAAGTGATAAACCAAGCGTCACTATCAGCAAACCAGTAATAACAATCATTGTTTTGTAATGACCAGATATAAAATATTTGTAATTTAGAATTCCAACCCGTTTTATCGGTTATTGGATATTTTTCACCCGATAGAGGCAGAACCCTTTGGAACCAGTGACGCCGGAAAGACAAAGAGACAAGGGGGGACAGGTTTGAGTAAAAGGGCATTTGAATAATAAATTCTAGCTTCTAATCATTCTTTCTACTAACTGCTATTTTATTTCGATCTTCTGTGGGTATCTTTAAAATTGGCTAGCTATTGGCATAAGAGTTTGTTTTAAAAGTTTTGAGAAATGTCATCATGAATTAAGCACTGTAATCAGAATTTTATAGGAATCTATAAGAATAGCAGGCAGATCAGTATTTTATAGAAATAGCAGTTAGCATTATTACCCTGATTATTACAATTGGCCGGCTTTAAGGGCACTTTAATGAAAAGGGCACTCTGGCCTCTCTTGCTCCTCCTATACAAAGGCAACAGGGGTGGTTGACCCCCTATGCCCCCTTCTCCTGCGTCCCTGTGCGTGCCATTTCTTTAGGGGAACAAAAACATATTTACTGTCAGTATTCATGCATAAACAATTTCATGGACAAAACCTAAACTCTTTTTAACCAATTGAAATTTGCATTTGATAATCGAAAGTAAGTGGGCCAAGCCTGGATCCTGTGTCTGAGGTTAAAAAATACTCTGTAAAATCAATTTACAAACGAGAGATGGGCTCTTCTTTTCGAATATTGTCGGGGATATCATTCAAGTTTTTGATGCCGGAGAAATAGGAAATTGGCTTTAAATACATCCTAATCTGAAAATGAAGATCTTCTTGACTTCTTGTTCAAAACACTGAGATTTGAACTTTCAGTGAGTGTATGGCTTAGATTTGCGTGGCAGATGCCTTGCAAAATTCTGTTATGTCACCACTTCTTTGCCAATAGAGAATAAGGACTTCTCTATTAGCTGCATTGACCTTGTCTGGGCAACCGGTGGTTTGGGACCGTTGCAGCTTGGATAATTTTTGGGCTGGAAATATTACTCCAAACAAACAACGTTATTGAATCTAAGAGAGCTTGCAGAGAGTTCAGTTTATATGTCCAAGTATATAAATCTTATACAAGAGGCCCAGTCCTTAAGTGAAGGAAACTTTGCCACGATGCTCAATTTTGCAAACCGACGAAGTAGCAAAGCATATTACAGGCCTAGTTTCCAGTCTGTTAAATTGACTAAAGTTCTTTCAGGCGCACTGTACCAGACTCTTTTTTTTATATAAAGTGAAACTGGTAACCAGGGTAGCATTTTCCTGTCACTGATCAGCATTACAGCACAATGTTGAAAATCGACCACAAAAGTTTGAAGTAGAAATTTCTAATTAAATATTGTTATCATTCACTCATTATTTCTCAGTTCACTATCTATTCATAAACATTGAGTGGGAGAGAAGAATCACGCACGTGCATTGATACAGCTGATCAAGAGTTCTTTTGACCTTGACATAGCAGTCTTGCCTTCAACAAAGTCACAAAACTCTTACAGTCATAACTACTTTAATTAAAGGACATTGTTTGATCACACAACATCTTGAGAGCACACCCAATTTTTGATTTTTTAATTATACCATGCAACAATAATCAGATTATCAAAACGTTCACAAGCCATTAGGGCGTCATTTAAAAAACACTTAAAACTGAAACATATGCAGAAAAATTCTTAGATTTTAGCAATCAACCAAACAGAAAATCGAAGATCTGATAACCCACGCCAAAATTTTAGCAGCTGTATTGATGAATGTACATTAGGAAGGAAAATTTTTGTAGATCCTTAAAAGGAAAACTTTTCCTTAGACATGAAAAGTAATCCTCAAACGAAATTAAACACCGATTGCGTCCAAGGCAGCTAATGTGCGTTAAAATGCACTTCTGTGCGTTTTCAACTGGAGTTGGTACTTCAAGGTCTTTTTTTAGCTTCACGACAAGCTCTCCCTTATGTGCAACTGCCTTAAAACAGTTTCAATTCAGAAAGAACTTGATTTTGTAGATTCTCTGTTTGCCCTCTCGCTTTGTGCGGCCTTTCATTGGCTCGTTGCAAACATACAATCGTCTACATTTTGAATAACATTCTTTAGGCTACCATTCATTAGGAAAATCACTTTTGAGGTAAAGAATTAAAACTTGGGGAAAAATTTTTCATGAACTTTTAAAAACATGAGCTTTTTGACCATATGAACAATATCAAATAAATTGCTAAGGCATTGAATAACTTTATGTATCCTAAAATAATGATAAATATCCCTTGCTTATGGTGCGTTAACGAATATCGTATTTTGGTATTCAAAAACTGCCTGTCGGTTATATAATTCCCGCACATGTTTTTAGAGAAATCAGAAAAACTGACTACTTCCTTTTTTAGCACTCTTATTTATTTTCAGGCCTTGAATACGAGAATTCTTCCTTACGCAAATCTACAATTTGGAGAAAAAATAGATTTCTTGCTTTTCTGAACAGATGCCCTCAGTTGTGCTACAATTACTTGATTATCGAATGTGGCCTCGTGTATCATATAAACCTCAATAAAACTTTTCCCCACGGTCGATTTTGGGCGATTTTGAGTATGTTATAGAGAAAATAATTCTGCACTGGATGGTGGAAAATTCGCTTTTCTACCATTTTTTCCCGGTTGACCTAGAATTGAACGCTGCACGACCTCACTAAAAGCTCAGATCATTAACAAAGATTAAAAAGGTAAATTAAATAATAGTGCCACAGCAAAATTAGTTTTGAATATCCGCACTCGTTAACATTTTCGCGATCAGTTTTGTTTAATGTTATTAACTTTAATATTAGTGTTAACTTTGTTAGTTAGTCGGTACTTTGCAAAACTGAACTTTTTTGAGCCTTGGAATTACTGTTTTTGCCAAAAATATGGGGTGTGTTAATCTGGGACCCTCATAAAGCTGGATTGAAAAGACTAGAAGCTTTATTCAATTCAAGTTTTGTTCTGTAGATGGAGGCATTTTGAATTGGAATCTCAGTGGAATTTGAATAAATACGTTTGTGAATGTAGTTTCTTATTTTTTCAGTTTAGACAATCTATTCAAGTGAAAATCGTATTAAGCAGTAACCAGCAGGTTACACAAATTAGAACTTAGCTGCTTGTTTCAACTCTTGAGAAAGATTTTCCTGTTACTGTTTATCTATATTGCCATAGAAATGATTACAAAGCAGACCTTTATCAAATTTTATTATTAGGTCAACCATGTGACATTTTGACATTTACCAATTTTTTACTAGAAAAGTAATATTGGGGGGGGGGGAGGGAGCAGAGCTGGGAGGAAAATGAAACAACTGTCATTAAAGTGTGCCTTTACGTTATCAGCAGACAGAGAAGTGATGCATAACCGTCAAGTTCTATACACCGACGGGTAGTTCATGCAAATGAATATACAACAAGGACAATTAAACAAACTATATCAGGACTCGAGAAGAAAGTGAAAAATGATTTTATGCCATGGCTATATTTGGTAGGCCAAAGCAATTTTGCAACCATTGAAAGTAACCGTCACTATAACTTGTCAACTTAAGCATCTTATGAATAAATTGCTTGACTGAGAGCCTAGTATTGTTTACAAAAGTTATCAGTCGTAGCTACTAGATTAGGTGCCTGTCTGTAGTGGCGTAGAAAACCTTAACTATTAAGTTGTTGCTTAGAAAAGCCAGTTAGTTCTTCTGTTATTACGATGAAGCACTGCCTCAAGAACAAGAAGAAGCAACTTCAGAAGTTGCTTCTATTTTGCAGATATATCAAACAAAGGGACTTGTCCACTTTTATCAATCCAAGCGCCTTTAGTATCAATGTCAAGCAAAAGAAACGCTTTCATGCCCAGAAATATTCCCGTGAAACATGGTACTCAGCCAAATTCAGCTGATTAACCAACTTTATTGATAATTTCCTCACCCAACTATAAGCTTTCCTTTACGGACTGAGGTTTATCCATAATCTTCTTTGATTTGTTATTTTGTTGTTTATTTCTTGTAACACCTGAATAAGCGGTGGATCATGGGCGCGACAGCTCAACTCCTTCCGGCACATGCCATTTGATGGCACCTGCATAGCCTGAAGTTTGATACTAGGTAAGTTCGACTGATTCGTTATCGTGCTGTTTATCAAATGCATTTGTTTCCCTCTTCTTCGCTTTCTTTCTCTTTTTTCAGGTATTTCTTCGATTTCTTCATAAGAGTATCCTGGCATATAGGTTATCTAAAAGAGAAAAAATTCATGAAAGCACAAACATACAAATCACATTTTATTATATTTGTTTCGAAAAATTGTAAATCGTTCATTTTAGGCTGACAAGACGATATCTGTTCCAAGATAATTAGAAAATCTGACAAGAAAATCTCTGAATCAAATAATGCTAGATATTAATAAATATATACAAAAAAATAGTATAAAAAACTCCACTAACTATTGACATATATTCATATGTAATCACAATGCAGAGGCTGACAGGAGAAATTCTTTCTACAAGGTTGCTGCCCAAATCATAACTTTTCATGTATTTATTTATATATGGACGTTTTATGTAGAAATTGCTGTTGTAGCTCATAATTTAACGGTTTCTAAATATCCGTATGGGATTGTTTTATTTCTAGTTGGAACGTTTGCCAACGTTTTTTGACAGTAAACCCTTTTCTTTTAAAACACACATTCGTTAGCTATAATTAAAGCTAAATCTATACGATATTTTTTCGACAAAAGTTTCATCCATCAATGCAGGATAGAGAACATTTGTGGTCTTTCTGTAATTCCTGTAGCTAGCGACTGTAATTTTGATAAAGTGTCTTTCAATGCGATTTTAATCCCCATTCGTGGATTTTATTAGACATTATAAGGACATTGAACAACAATTCACAGTCACGTTTGGGGGTAGTTTGAAGAAAATTCTTAGTGCATTTTGCGAATTTCAGCACAAAAATTTGATCAGGGATATTTGAAGTTCATTTAAAGAAAAAACTAAAAATATAAAAGGTGTACCTTTTCTCGGAAGAATACGCTAGTCGATCCACGTAGTTTTTTCTTCGCTTCACACAAACCGTTGTCGCCTTCTTGATATAGCCTTCCCTCTATAACAACAAAAAAGGAGAAGAGCTTAAAACAAGGCCAATTAGAGTTGCCATAACACGAAATGTAACTACAAATTTGGTGTATGATCATGTACATTTGGAATGAAGCGGAATAGTGGCTTTGAGATGTCATTTATGACGTCATGTGTCTTTACCTGTAAATCTTTTTCCGTTAATTGATTTTAATTGTTTGAACACGTGACCACAATGGCATGACTTCATTTCTTCCGGAACCTGAAAAACAAGTTAAGAATGATCTAAATAGAGAAGCATACACGCAGCAACATAATTATATGATTTGTTTGAAAGACCAACCAATGAGACTTAGTGTCTATAGAATGGTATAAAAGAATTGTTTAAGCACGAGAAATGCGTAACACAATGTGTGAGGAAATGGCAGAAGAAAAAAGTATGATGGGGGCACTCCTTGTAAACAAAAGAGTTGCAGCAAGAAGAGGATGCGTGTGTCTTATGTGTTACTTACAGTTACCGTTAAAAAAATCATGACGAGGGAAAGGTTCCTAAAGTGCCATTTTCACCATCGACATCTTCACTTTTGTATAGTACCTTACTTTCTCTCTTTTCAACCGAGAAAATTAGGTTCCGGTGTTAGTGACCGTCCAGTTTTCAATAATTGTCAAATGCTTTGGCGGGAATCGCTAGACGCATGCATGCGAGAGTTCCAAGGCGCATGACTCGAGCCTGTCACATTGTGCCCAACCAGAGGCTAAATAGGCATGGCGTGGCGAGGGAAGACTTGTAAAACAGTCCTCATTCAGAGCTTAAGTTTGACTAAAGGCCGGTTTCCACTTGATTCGCTCTGGTTGCGCGACTAAGCGAATGGACATTGGAGCGTGCGTAAATTTAACTTTCTCATTCGCTGCGACTGAGCGACCATTCGCTGAGTAGTTCAACTCAACTCAAAAAGCGCAACACAAGACCACGCCTTCCTAATAGTTCTTGTAATTCATAAGCAAGCAAAGCCCATCCAATTTTATGTATTCAGATGGACTATGTTGCAAATTGCATTCAACTATTCTGTTCATGGAAATATGTTCGCTAATTTTCATGTTGTTAGTCAAAAAAAAACAGATGGCCTTTAAATTATTCAACAAAAGCCACCATATATACTAAATAATATATACTACACTTTAAAATGCATGAAGTATTAATCATAAAATAGATGACCATGTATTGCCCTAGATGTTTGATTGCTCATTGAATGAATCTACCTGAGAAATATCTAATTAGAACTGAATATGAAACCTAAATTCGGAAAAATTTTAGACCCTGTTTACACGAGCAACATTGGATCTAATCTTGGTCCGATCTACTTTGATATGTGTAATCCTTGTGTTTAATCGGAATCTCAATCCATTTACTGTTCGCTATCCGATCAACATCTGGTACGATTTCGAGAGAGTTTATGTTTAGTGCCGATTCGCTTTTGCGAACGGATAGATAGAATCCAAAACTGGATCTCTTAGAGCTGTTGCTATACTGAACGGCAAATATTCGTTTTTCCTTTCTGACACTTAACCTTAGATGCGGTACCAGTTTCTTAGTTTCCTTCTTGAAAAAATAAACACAAGATGTTAGTTAGTTACAATTTCAAATTGGAAAAAATCTTATCAGATGGCAAAAATTCAGCAAAGAGATTGATTTTATTGTAATTTCAACGTGGTGTCTTCAAAGTTTTGAAAAAAATCTGTTCAGAAGGGGATATCTCTTCCTTTTCAAATAATAATGGCCGATAAGAGTTTTAAGGTTTGAGTACTTGCACTTCAGGCAAACAGTATAATAGCCGTACAGTGTTAAGAATACATATGATTTTCCAGTTTTCTCTTGAATTAGCAAAGGGCGAAATATAACTTTTTGATAATAGAACAGGATCTGTAAAATTAACTGAGATAAATTTTGAAGCATTCGATTGCTTAAACCACGATCTATTAATTGCTAAAGTAGAGGCTTATGGTTTCACAAGAAAAGCTTAAAATTTTATATATAGTTTTCTGAACTCTAGAAAGCAACGTGTTTAAGTTGATAGATCTTACATTGAATGGAAGAATATAAACCATGGAGCGCCTCAGGGTTCTGTCCTAGGACCTCTCCTTTTCAATATCTACATTAACGATTTGCTTATATTTGTGTTTGACAGTATGGTTTGTAACTATGCGGATGACAGAACTTAATATGTCAGTGATCATATGCACGATGAAATAATTGGTAAGTTAGAAAATGATATTACCATTTTATCTAAATGGTTCTGGGACAATTACATGATAACAAATGGAGATAAATGCCACCTGGTGTTTTCAGCAGTATAAAGAACACCAACCTATCGATAAGAATTGGCAACGAAGTAATTGCTGAGAGTTCAGAAGAAAAATTACTGGGTATTATATAAGATAAGACTTTATCCTTCAAAACACAAGCAACATCTTTATGCAAAAGAGCTAAACAAAAGTTTCATGCTCTATCTCGTATCGCAATGTATATGGATACTGTAAAACTAAAACAAGTTATAAGGGCCTTCATCCTTTCCCAGTTAAACTACTGTTCTTTTATATGGATATTCTGTGGAGACGCTTTAATAATAAAATAAATCACCTCCATGAGATAGCATTACGAATCGCCTATAAAGATGACAATTCCGATGTTACAACACTTTTAGAAAAGGACAATGCTGTAAAGATTCACACAAAGAATTTACAGCTTCTCATGATGACTGAGATATAAAAGACACATAATAACCTTAATCAAACATTTATAGAAGGCATATTTTTTGCTGAACGCCCCCAATACAGCCTAAGGAGCGGAAGCCAAATTCATCTTCAAAAAGTCTGAACTACCATCTTTGGAACAGAAACCATTTCATATCTAGAGGGGAGGGGGGGGGGGTATTATGGCATAAGTTGTCCACAGAGATAAAAGAGTCATTAAATCTTGCCCAGTTTAAAATAATATAAAAAATAGAAAGGAGAAGAATGTTGTTGCAAATTATGTAGATTCTACGTAGCTCAGATTGGATTTCTTGAAATAAAGAAAATAATTGTCTTGGTGTGAAAATATTAAAATATCTTTTAACTAGAAACGCATTTTAAAATTTAAAAAAGTTTTTTCAACCTTCAATTTCATTTCTTTCACTATTTAACCAATTGTTTTATATATGTAATTATTAATTATTCATTCTTAATTGCTTTTTATTCTAAAATTTGTAAAGTTGGCCTAAATTAGCTTGTACATAAATTGTACATAGATAACAATATTATACCCACCTAAAGTAAATAAATTGATTATTATTTTTATTGTGAGGGAGTGAGTGAAACAGCCAGGGCAGGTCTCAAGCCCACTTTACGTCATTGCGCTACCACCTGGGCTACTTGGTCACGCCCTCTCTGTCACACTAATGGAGATAATGTTGAAAAGACAAGAACAATCCGAGGTCAAATCAGGTCGACGCACGTATTCCCAAAGAGAAAGCGATTCTCCACGGACAAGCATTTTCGCAGAAGGAAATCTTGAGAAATGAAAGTCTCCATTTCTATAGAATAAATCTATGAAGTTTCTGGTTTGTGAGTAAAATCGATTAAGGTTTTGTGAAACAGAACCACTTTGGAAGCAAAAAATGGCATGATTCAAATGGAGCATGCGCATAATAAGTTATTATACTGCCAATTGTTGCAGCTTTTGAAAAAGCGCCAAACGGATGGGAGGGGGAGGAGGGGGTTGGGAGCCCAGCCTCTGCACTTCATTGCAAATCAGTAAGGTATATTGTTGATAATTGGGAACCAAACTTTTTATACCCTTTGCTCCCAGTTAGAAATGTCGAGGCATCGCCCTCCTTGATAACTCTAATTCATTTAAAACACAAGTCATGAATATTACTGTTTACCAGTCTGTCATAAACTGCTCGATGCCGTATTAGCAGAGCTGTGCGTGCATTGGTAAATAACAGGACGGTTCTAAGTTGCTACTGAGCTATAGGCTTAATGCGATCATCAGTAAACGATTCACGAAGCTTCGTTTGAATAGTTCTTCGAGATCAGACATTTGAAATAAAGATGCTAAGATTGTGGAAGGAAGTGTGACCTCAGACCCCTGTGAGCCCAGACCTCGTCTAGACGAAGGCGTGTTCAAATGAATCTGTATCAGTGATAACTTCACGAGGAACAATCACAAAATAAATATTCACAAAAATAACAAAAGTTTAGTCATCCCAAAAGTAAGGACAGAAACTGGGCGTAAAACCTTCTTGTTTCTGGGAGCAAAAATTTTCAATAACCTACCCAATAACTTGCAAACTGAAGCATCATTTTTGAGATTCAAAGCATTCAGCAAGAATACAAACTTCGATTTTTAATCATTTTCTTGATCTTAATTTCAATCCTGTAAATATTTCAGCTTCTATCTGTGTAAATTTTTAAACCTTTACGTTTGTAAACTTTACTTTGTAACATACAGGTCTCTGGTTGATAACAGTAATTTACTTACTGAATAAATTAACCTGTATAAATATGAAAGATTATTATATTATCATTATGATCTGTACTCATCTAATGCTTAAATGGCAAACTCATGGCAATGCTTTCAAAAGTGGAATATTTTCAAAATGTATCGTTTCAGTTTCATCTTTTTCATTGAAAGGAAAAGATGATGTAATGGCCTGAGTAAGAAAATATTTGATTTGTTTTTAAGTGAAAGCACCACCTTTCAAAACGTGTCCGTTTAGACCTTTCTTCAAAATATATATAGGTAAACGAGAGTACAGAGCGTTTGTCAAAGACAACTTTAGGTTTAAACATCATGCCAAGAGGTCATGGTTAACTGCCACAAAAGAGTCCTCATAAATTTTGGTTTTAAGGAAAATCGAGCGGAGAAGTAACTAATAGAAGAATTTTAAACGTATGCGATATTAATTAACAGCCATAGAGGATACCCATACATCTTTTTTTCACCGAAACGACAAGCTGAAGTGACAGTTTGAGAAAGATTATGTCGCTTAATACGTAGATTTATCCACTACAGGCTTAAAGAAGATTTTCTGAATGCCCTATTAAAATGGCATCGGTTAATACATGTTGATGTCTTTATTACACAGAAATAAGAGACTTATTTTTAAAATGAAAAATCAAGAGGTATGCAGCAATTAGTAACTTCCACTAACCCAAAAAAAGATTTGGTATAAAGCCATGGACCCCAAGCGAAAAACAATCATAGCAAACGGGGCCTAGCCTTACTTCACAAAAGTGACAAAGGATTTAAGAGCTTAACAGCTTTAAAAAATTTATAAACTCCTATTTGACATCGTTATTTTTCTGGTCATTCTGTCTCATCTAGGTTTTATGTTTTTGATCACTTTGTCCTTTTTAAGCATTGTGTTTATGTTCACCCTGTCCTTGGTCGTTATGCTTCAGAAAATTCTTTCTCTGGAGTTGTCATTATGCTTCATGTCACTTCGTGTCTGACTGCTCAATGCATAATTGCGCTACCTGTTTGAGCCCAACCGCCGCCTTGATTTTTCGTGCGAATTTTTGTGTTTGTTTTTTCTTGAGTTTTAATGAGTGTGTTATGCTCTTTCAAAACAATATTTTGTAGCAACTGACATTATGATTATAAGTCCTTCTCAATTTCACAATGAAATATTTATGTACCTTTGCTGCAAGTTGCATAATGCGTTGTCGAAAATTGAAACCGGTAATGCCATGCTTGTTGACAAATCAATGAATAAATAAAGGAAAAGCTCTTACGAAAAGAAAGTTGAAAACCTCAAAAATCTACACCACAGTTACTTTCCAATCACAATAACTTTTGGAATCTATATTTTGACCAAAAATGATTGATTCAACAAGTTGCGGATTTATGTCCATATTGTGTTTGTAGTGAATGTGCTATATTAGGAAGATTTTGAATTCCAAGGTATGGAAAAGAGAGTCATCCACCGGGAAATGAGCCAAAATGTTGCAAACAACAGCAATTTTAACACACGGTCTGGGTATGAACACTCGAAGTCCTCGGTTATTAATGAGTTTCACTACAGCCACCGGCCATGTGTCAGTTTTTCAGAATTTGGTTTTTTAAATTCCTAAAAAATATCGCATCCACTTTTAGGTCTGACAGCATTTCGACTCATGGGTCCATTATCTGTTAATATTAGCTTTAGAACAATTTTTTTTAGAAAATCATGTCAAGGCAGTAGCTGAAACAGTGGCATCGACAGTCTTAAAAGGTTGAGGAGTGCTTGAGGGTGTGGTCAAGCTACCACTGCCACTCGTTTACCGAGATAGTAGAATCCGGGCTGTGGGGAAGGGGAACTATCCCATAGCTTGGAAAAAATAAGAAATGACTAGCAATAGAAATTAGATAGGCTTTCTTTTTCCTAGGCCCGAGGACTGAGCTCTGCAGATGGGGAGGGGGGAGGGTGGAGGGTTAGGACGTAGCTCCCTAAACTGAAAAATGTTTCATCTGATAATATCTAGCTTATGATATAGATAACATGGTTAAGTACTCTTTAGCAACTTGCATGACGTTTTGCAGAAATCAGGGGTGCGAAGAAAGTACCGATGCCATCCTGATTGAAAACAATTGCAATTTGAACATACTAAACATTTGCAATGTGAACAAGCGTAGATCTTAACAAGATCAGTGAAGTTTTAAGATAAGAGTCAATCTGGATATGAGAGAATTCTGCAAATTTGAACTTTTCTCGTTTTTCTCGAGGTGCTTCTAGTTCTTGTTGTTCTTATGTAAAGCAAAATATGAACCACTGATCAACAGGCTCGTAAATATCGAGGGTGTTGGGGGTTGTCACACCTTCCCATCCTAATCTTTACAATTCTTCGAATTAGTCGGGAAATTTTAGAATAATCGGTGAATCGGAGTCGTAATTGCAGTATAATGTTACATGGTATTGCAAAATGTTTAGTATATGCCTTGACACATTTCGTCCCCAGTCAGTCTCCAACGTTATTTTCAAAAGCAGCAGCTATCTAATCTTGTTTTATGTGATTTCAGCCTCTCTCAGCTTTAACTATTCTTCAAACACGGACCTTCTTTAGCTTGCCTAGGCGTATCTCACGTGCCGCTGAAATGTATCGACCACACTAATTTCTTATAAAAAACCTTCAATCTGAAACCAGCAGTAGGTCAAATTCAGGCACAATAATTACCGCCAAGTTTCTTGCAGTGTTTCGTAACCAACTAAGCAAAGAAACTGAAGCTTGAAGCCTAGCCGGAAAATAAAAGCATTTCTGGAATCGACCAATTGGTATTAAAAAGGTTTTCGGTATTCTTGGTCCCTAATTAGCTGGAAATCCACATTTATACATTATATCAAAAATTAAATGTTGAAGTATCAAAACAGAAATTATTTCTCAGACCTGCGATCAATTCCATATAAGCGACATTTTCAGTAAAGAAGTTTCTTTTATTTTCAATTCTGATTTAGTAGTAAATCCAATTGAATCTTATTCTCAGGAATATCAATCACAACTTTGAAAATTCTACTGTTCAACAAAAATAGACCCAAACTATAGAGGATGAGTAGTTTCCAAAAGTGATGACGTTATTCAATAAAAAATGCCGAGGCTAAGAGTCTAAAGGCATATTCTTAATTACCTTTCCCGGAGGCATTCTTTGGCAAGGTTGTAATGAGTGCTATCTTGGTGTTACTGGATATTCTGCGCAAAAATAGACCTCACTGAACCTGTATCCTTTTAACAACACTCCTTGTGGGCAACACTACGTCATCGATACAAATGCCCACGGCTTAACCTAAAGACGGTCCACGCAATTTGTCTGAATATTATTCTGTTTTTGAAAAGGACAATAGATAAAGCTATGGTTTTGGATTTTAGGGTGTGGCTTGGAATTGCTTAGTGAGTATTTTAAAGGGACGCAATAAACCCGGCAGGGAGTGAATTGAGTCATTTGCGATTAAAACCATGATTTCGTTTCTTTCCCCCTAGGCACGGCTGTGCTGTTTTCTGGGAAGTTTGATCCGGTGACACAACAGGAACCAGTCTTTATTCCCCTGCCAAAATTTTTGTAGATATCTGTCTGGTTGGAAAATCCACTTCTACAAACTGTCGTGCCCTTTGTAAATAAAGGTACACTTGGCTACCCGTTCGCCTCATACTGCTTGGAAAAACGTCATAGGGAGGTTGCTGTGGCTAATTTGTCAAATCTCTAATCGGCCTAATCTCCCCTTCAATCAACAAAAGAGAATTCGAATCATCCAAGATTGCAAACTACACAAACTAACCCGGGTTCGCACCGGGCTAATTTTAACCTAGGGTGAACCCTGTTTTGTCGACACTTGATTTTCATGTTTTGTAATGTGGACACAAAGTAGGGTAATGCTACGCATGCTTAATTAAATTACAACAACAACAAAACAACGAAAACAAAACAAATATTCCACAAACATGATCAAGAATGTGGAATATTTCAAATACGATAAGTTGCCGAAGTCGCAGTTGATTGTATTTTGTCTAAAAAGTTTTTCCCGGCATTGGAATTTATTCAAAAGAAATATCAAATGGCACGGCAGTCAAGATTAAACCGAATATTGGCTGCATCTCGCAAACGAATTCGACAGCATAAGAGATTCAGATGATAGAGGAGGAAGAAATTTGAAACATGCCTTAAACAAAGTATCGTTCAACCAGTAGACGTGGAACGAAAATACTGATGTAAAACCCGATGTAAAGCTGGTAGGACTCAATTGTATTGCATCATTTTTAGGCATATGATTGGCATGCGTTACAAAATCTAACCCAGGTTCGCCCCTAAGTTCGCCCCAGGTTTGTGACCACACTAGAAATTCATAACACTAACCTGGGCCTGGGTCGGACCTGGGTTGAACCCACCTCTGGAGATGGGTTAAACTAACCCCGGGCGAACCCAGGTTAGTTGTGTCCACACTGCGAAATCTAACCTGGGTTAGCGAAAACCTGGGGCGAACCCGGGTTAGTTTGTGTAGTGTGGACAGGGCTTTATATTAGGATCGACAATATTCATGCATAGCGAAATCGGAGGATATTTGCAGCAGGTGGCAGCAAGAAACCCAAATTGAATCATTAAAGGGGAAGTCACTGTAAGACTGCTAAAAACACAGTGCTGTGCTAAAATTGCACCCTTTCATTTCCTGGTTTCGCTTATAAAAATTTATACCGTGTTTCAAAGGCTTCGCCTGTCTCAGCTGATCCTTTTGGCTGAAATGGAATGGGAAACAATAAAAAGAAAGGAAACTGTCTTCCTTAATCTCCCTGTAGCTGGAACTATTTTCCGTGTTGTATTGCTCTAATTTTAGTTTCAAATGCCCAGACAAAAACAAAGAATGACGTCACGTTTCAAGCTTCGTGGATTATGACGTCACGATTCACGTGTGCATTATTGTTACCCTTGCCAACTCTGACACTCCTTCAAAGTGCGAAATATGTACAGCGAACTGCGGTGGGGGTATACCAGCAAGCCCCTTATTTCAACTTAAGGTTTCTAATCAAAGCCCTGTGTGAGCACGTTTTGTGAATAGAATATAAACGCTGATAAATTTTATCAAGAAACTTTGTTTCTTGCAGCTTTGTCTTTGAAACGAGGGGAAAACTGTGAAAATCTTATCAAAGGCTTTCAGCTACCCATGTCCTCCCTACAAATGGTTACCACACAAGAATGGAAATACAAACCATATTATCTTTGTTATTTGAAGTTACTTGCTAAAAGATATGATAATACTTGTAATAACTGGAAACATGAAAATGATCCTTTTCATGTCTTCCTGGTTTGGATATTTCGTTATAGGTTTACCAATGAAGGAAAAACAAGCGCATTTTCAGACCACGTTGAACTGTTCTGGGCAAAACAGTTCTTAATCTAGGCCTTATGGACTTACCCATTTCGAACAAGCCATGCACAGTTTGGTCTTATCTGCAGTGGACATGCTTCTGGTCAACTGATCGTCCTTGTCTTGGCTGCCCATCGAGAAACCTCTATACATGTGCGTTGTTTTTACTTCAGCAGGTACCTGCTTGGTTGTGCAGCTTTTAGCATTAGACAGGTGAACTAAATAATTTCGGTCTTTATAGACCATGGGACATCTTCTCGTCGCACTAACAAGACGATTCCTCAACCAGTTCCACAAACTTCGCAATTTAAAGCACGCTAATGTCACGTGGTTCTATTGTTTTCCCTCTATCCCACCTTTGGACTGAGCCAACATAAGTGAAACACATAGGATCAGCTCAACTAATCAATTGTCTCAATGGGAAAGCTTTATGAACTCCTCATTCAAAATTGAATGAAATCTGATGAAAGTGATAAAAGACTGAAGGTCGGATTTTCAGATAGAGGTCCGCAAGAAGTCTTAATATATAATAGAGTATCTTGTTAATTGAAAAAGAACCTCAATAAATGTTACATCAAAGTAAGAGAATGCTACTAGCAAGATTCAGTGTGCGAACTCGGTTACATCTAATCCACGTACATCTTGATCATTAAGCTTCACCTGTTTTTCATTATGATAGAAAACACTTAAAAAGCTGTAAAACAAATACGAGAAAGTCAGGACCACTCCCTGAATGAAACCATTTGCTACCTGTGTCTCGTATTACCTGTGTTTAGAAGAAAGATATTGCAATAAATTGAGACGGCAAATTTTCTAGCCTTCCATTAGTCCAACTAATATTTGAAGCTGAGAATTTTATTTATTAATGTAAGGTTCTTCCGAGCTGTTGATTAAACATGTCCAAAACAATTTACTTTCTAACCCAAAATCTCGGTACTTAATCAATACATACAGTGTTGTTTTGCTCAATTTATTTAATAATCAAACTCTTCTTTACAAGCAACTTGACCCTTCCCATCCAGTTTTCACAAACAATGTTTGTTATGAAAATATTTCGTAGATTTTAGGATAAGCAGAACTTTGGCTTTGCCTAAAATTCGGCACGTGAAAGAAAGAACTCGAAGTTCGAATTCTTTTTAGTCAATCCTATTTTATGAATATAGTTTCAACAAAATCAAATTTTGGTATAGCCGTTTTTGATAAAACATAATTTGTAGAAATGAAATAGAAATATGATATTATATTAAATTTATTTGATAGTAAACAAACTTGGCTGTTCTTTTTTTTAAAAATTCAACGATCTATACCACCTGACTGAGAATACAAATGCAGCTAAAACCACTTTATAGGAAAAAACAAACACTAAAGATAAACAGTAAAAGTGTGATCGATCGACAACAAAACGAACACTAGTAGGATCAACCAATTCAAAATAGAATTCAACTCAGTTGATGTGAAAACCTTGCCCTACTCTGCTTCAAAGAATCTTTAAACGTGCAAATTAACGGTGCAATTCCTTACAAGGGCCTATGATTTGAATCACAATTCCCTACTAGTCAATGTTCTTTTGTTGAAATTTATTTTAAAAATGAATTTTAATAATATCTTTTGGTTCGTTATTTTTGCTCTTAATTGCGTCAAGTAAGAAGAATGCCCTTTTACCTCAAATCGCTACCAGCAGAAATTCCTTAAAAGATCCTCTAACTTGCTAAGATAACAGTAAATTTATCTAGGCCTGATAAAGTGGAGAAAGCACGGTATAGTGGATGAATTAAGTGTCATGTCGGTATGACATCACCTACGGTCGTAAACAGGGGAGAATATGCGCAAAAATGTTGCAAAAACCAATAGCAAAAATAGGAATGACAACCCGGACACTACACCCTTGATTGTGAACTATGTACTTCAGTTTTAGTAAACTGTTATCTGTGAATGTGAAATGCCATATAATAAACTACTTCGTTAAACAGAACGAGCGTTACCACCCCCGTTACTCGAACAACGTGTGCATGCATATAGAAGAGATTCTTTTCTCTGCAAATACCTTTGAAATTTAACCTAAATTCTCGGCGATTTAAGGGCCGACATGCTCCAAACAAGCCCATGTTTTGCAGAAACGCAATATTCATCAAAGTGAACATCTTTGGCAACACGATCAGCGTTAAAAGCAAACAAAAACAATTATATTGTGTGACTTGAATTTGATAATTTGGGTGTGATACTGAATCGATTGCATTCTCAACAACCTGCTTTTTAGCCTGCATGCAGTCTATGCGCTTCGCAGACTACCTGCTTCTCTCGTGTAGCGCTGGACCACAATATGAACGCTTGCTGTGTGTGACTTTCGAGAAATTTCTTCACGATTACATTAGACTGAGTAGAGAGCTTGTGAACAAAATTACACCAACATAAATCAAATTTATTTAAACTATAGGGAAGAGGTACATGATCAGGAGCGTCGAGAAGGGGATTAAGAGGGGCAAATAGTCCGGGACCCGTGCTCCGATGAGGCCCGTAATAATCTTGTTGCTCTCAATTGCTAAAGATCTACAATGCCTGCCTAAAGTCTTGGTACATTCCCCTTCCTCTTTTGAACAAGGTTGGTTTACTACAAAACGACGCGGGGGATTGAGAAGTACTTTTTTCCTTCGATTTTCGAAAATTTCTCCAAATTATCAACATTGTTTTGAGGGAAAGGGAGTGTGTGGGAAAGGAATTGAAAAATATAGAAAAATGACGCACATTGCTGGGCGTTGCAAGGAATTTTGGCAGTGATTGTATCTACAAGGCAGGGAACTTCTACTTTTGGCTACTTATATGGAATCGATGACCGTTAGCTTAACACGATGCCCTTGATTCATGAATACAATGTTTTTGCTTAGAATCCTTAAAAAACTGATCAACAATTTCTCTCCCTAAATAAAACGTTTCTCTAGTTCTCCAAAATTTTCTCAGAGGGCCCAACTTTGCGAATCACTCCTGGATCCGACCTGATTCTCGACGGCCCTGTGCATAATTGAGAATGCCAACACTCTTTTTTTATTAAGAGCCAGTAAATCTAAGTTCAGGCTGTCGAATCTAAGTTCTTAAATTTTTCAAAATCTGAGGCTGGATTGTTTTTAATTTTTCCTTAAATTAATAAGGTGTAAGCAGTGCGATTGCATGCTTTTTCACTCCTGGGAGGTGTCCAGGCCTCATTTGCTAATAAAGCGACTGAGACACCCTTCAATTGCCTATAAGTTTGAAAACTCACCGAAAAAGCACCCACACATGGCATAATATCTTCGCTATTTAAATAAATTTACATTTCACAGTAGCACAGCCTCACCTTGTTTTTAATTTGTTCTCAACTTTGACCAATTCTGAGGCTCGTGTTCTTAAAAAAAGGGTGTATTGGACATTTTAGGGTCTTTTCAAAAACAAATTGTTTATCTTAACCTCAGTCTTATTGAGAAGGACAAAGAGAAATTGATAAGGCTGTACGATGTCATGAAATGCTGTGCGTATAAAGCTATAAAAGAAGGTGGGGGTGTTGCATATTGGGGTCGTGTTGAATTGATAGTTTGATTCCAGTACTCAAAAGAAGATTTGCCTTTTTCAGGGATTTGCCTTCTCTAACTCAAACGTAGAAAATTATGCTTTAAATCTCAATTGAGCTTAATTTCTATATTTTGTACTCGTCGTGTAAATCAATTGTGTTCAAAGTCTTTCCTGCGATGTACCAAATGGTAAGTTTACCAGCTTGGCTGGAATGTTATCACAGAGCTACTGGTATTGCGGATATGAACAGTACCCGGATACAAATGAAGCTGCTTGTTCTGTGACCTTGGCATCTTTGTCTATAATTTGATGGTTTGCATTCTTTAAGTGCCATAGCTATGAGAATGAGCCATTTCTTCAACAATGATTGTACTTGCAACGGTTCAAATGAACTTTTGAGTACAGCATAATCAATTGTCCACGGACGCTTTATACAACAAGATATTGTTTGAAGGGCTAAACATAGTTTCATCTCAGATCACTGACCACTGTGTTTAATGTTTCAGTTGAAGGAGGACGCTGGAGCAGGTTGAGGGTTCACCAAGGCACCACAGGTGGCAAAAACTCCACATGGATTCCAATAAACATTAAATTGTGCAAAAGGAAAGTGTTTATTAAAAATTGCTAATAATCAGTGACCACAAGTAACTTAGAGCATATAACAAGTTAAGCAGAAAGAGACCCAGAGAAAAGCAGAAGATAGCAGTTGAAATGACTGGAGGGCACGAGCAAACAACTTTATGATTAAGTTAATCCCCTGACCCCTCGACCCCTCGACCCCTCGATAGGACATTGCGAACGATGAAAATCTGCCCACTCTAATCAAACTTCCAAAATTTTTATCAAGAATAGCTGGAAGATGTTTTGCTATCTGGCAGGAAGCAAGCATTCCTTTTTCAAAAATTTCTTGAAAATCTTTTACGTACATGTTTCATTCATTATGCCTAGGTTTAAAAACAAAAATTTGTGATATGAACCTCAAGCCACGCTTGCTGATGTGTATAAGAACTTCTTTCAGATGAAAAGAACTACAATTTTTTACAAAATTGCTGAAGAATGCAAGAGTGTCTTTTGAAAACAAAGGCTAAAGTTGCAAATTACATACCCTCTTTTACTAGGCCTTCAAAAAAATTCTCGCGACCATTGGATAGAATTATTCGTGGGAGGGGGGGGGGCACCAATTTTCGAGAAATATAGGAAAAATATTTTTTCTTGGGTTTGTGCATAAGTAATGCAAAAGATCAATAGCAGCTTACGCCCATAAATGGCGTTAATTTCTTTTGAAAAATGCTCCTTTTTTCAAGGACATGCTTTTTTATAGTAGTTGGAATGAACCCTTGTTGTCCGATATAGGAAACTTTCATCCAAACCTTTCTTAGTAGTTCTATCCTTACAGGCTGTTATAAATGGAGGAAGTTAGTACATTATGCGATGAATGGCTCTTCAGGAATTGTGTCACTTTATCTAAATGGATGCAAAATGTTTTGCTTTAATAATTAAAGAACACATACACCCAACCATCTTTACCCGCATCCACCATCAGTTTTCTCTGCAAATTTGCACGCATCTTGAGTCTGTATTTTTTAAAACGTTGAAGATGTGAATTTCTTCTCTCATTCTTTTCTGTTTCCACCAAAGCAAGAAGTAAGAGATCTTTAAGCTCTCTTTGTAGGCAATGAAATATTTTTCTTGTATATAAACAGTCAATTAACATGAAACAGAGCAATGGAGAGCTCTGTATTTGCCTTATGACTGAGTTGCTATATGGGTGAATCTTGTT